GCCTCGCCCCGGGCCCGGCGCTTGCCTGCGCCCGTGCAACGTTCTGGCCCCCGCTGCATGCGGCTCGCCGGTTTCCCGCCGCCCACGCCCGCACACACGCCGCCTTAGCGCACCACCTCCCTCCTTTCCCGGCCCGTTTGGCACCTGTAACCCCGTTCCCACGTTTGGTTCTGTCCCATGCCCCACCCCTGCAGGGCAACACAGAGCCGCTGGAGGCGGCGGTTGCCAAGCTGCAGCGCACCAAGCGGCCCGAGCGAGAGCAACTGGCGGCGATGCTCCTCGAGCTCTCCGCGCTGCCGGTGCAGCCCGACGAGGCGGAGACGCTCGACCGCCTGCTCAAGAAATTTGACCGCTGGGCGGTGAGCTTGGAGCCTCCCTCTTGCTGCTTCCGCGGCCGGCACGGCAGCGAGCAGCTCTGGGAGCAGGGCGCCGGCAGGGCCCAGCCAGCCTCAGCCTACGCAAAGCTGCAGTCCACCCACTTACACGTCCCAGGTCCCCACTTCATAGTACCTACGTCCGCCGCTGGTGCTTGTATCTCCCACCATGCAGACCGCCACCAGCCGGGCCGTGGAGGTGCACAAGCTGTCGCGCACGCTCGGCAGCACGGGCACCATCCTGCCGCTGAGCGAGGGCATGCTGCACCAGCTGCTCAAGTCGGCCATGGCGCTGGAGATTGACGGCACGGGTGGGTGGCGCGGAGGCTTGTGTGCGCGTGTGTGTAATGGATGGGTTGCGCTTCGGTACGCTGAGGGGCACGCTGGGCTACCCAGTGCCTGCTCATACGCCAGCTGGCCGGCAGCCTGGGGCATGCAACCGTGAGTCGCGCATTGCTGCCCCTCTCCCCCGCTGGCCTGCCCTGCTGCAGACCATGCCGACAAGGTGCTGCAGCTGCTGCGGTGCAACAAGTGGCGCGCCAAGGCAGAGGCAGCGCTGGGCCCCCCTGGTGAGCTGCCGCTGCGTCGCTCCTCATGACGCCTGCTGCCTAGCTTGGGGGGGGGTGCTCCCTGGAGGCTGGCTTATCAGTGGCAGGCTGCTCCCGGTGACCCTGCCCTGCTCCGTAACTCACCTGTCGGCTGGTGGCTGGCGGCTGGCGGCTGCAGGCAAGCAGAGCATCGAGGGCCTGCAGAAGCTGCTGGAACAGGGCCAGGAGTTTGACATCGATGCAAAGATAGGTACTGCTCATGGTACTGCCGGTATCACCTGGTGCTTCCCTGACTGCAGCTGTTCCGGCGTGCCCGCCTCCACCTGCCGCATGGTTGCACCGCCTCTTCACGGCACGCCCTTGCCCTCCCGACTCTTCTTGGATTCTTTCGGCGCCCCCGTCTGGCTGCCGCCGTTGCAGATGTGACAGGCTCCAAGATGCTGGCGGCCATCCAGGCGGGCAGGGAGTGGGAGCAGAGGGTGCAGGCGAGCCTCGCGGAGCTCAAGGCCGCTCGCGAGGATGTGGCGGCGTTCCAGGCGGCAGCCGCCAAGGCGCAGGCACTGGCCAAGGAGGCTCAACAGCTGGGGGTTCGCATGGACGCCCAGCTGGAGGCGCTGCAGGTGCGGCACAGGGCGGTACAGAGGGGCAGTACAGAGGAGCGGTACAGGGGCGCAGTCTTGTGCAAGGGTTGATGCAGGGTTGCTGCCAGCCTTGCATTGTGGCTTGAGGCCTGGTTTCGATTGGAGTGTGCCTGCTGCCGCCCGGACCGTACCGCAGGAGCACTCCAAGCTGTACTGCCTGTGCAAGAAGCCGTACGACGAAGACATCCCCATGGTCGGCTGCGATTACTGCCAGGCAAGCTTAGAGGGCATGCAAGCACCCGTGCAGCTGCACAGCCAGCGGGGCACGGCGCGTGCACGCGTCCTGGCCGCTGCCAGGCGTCGCTCTGTGCATGCGCGCCCCTCAGCCGCCACCCAGCTTCCTCGGCTGTGCCGCAGGATTGGTACCACCATGCCTGCATGGGCCTGCGGGCACCCGGCACCCAGGGAGACGGCGACGACACGCCAGAAACCTTCCGCTGCCCGCTGTGCTGTATGCGGGTGGGTGGGCGCGCCGCCCCCGCGCGTCTGTACTGCCTTGCATGTTTTTTCCTGCTCCTGCAAGAGTTACCATGGCACACAGCCTAGAGGTACCACCGTGCTCATGGCTCCACACTGCCCCAGCTCCTGGTCCCCTACATCTGGTGCAACCCCAGCTCCTCTCTTTCTTCTGTGGTGCAGATGGGGGTCAAGTATGCCCACTTCCACAAGCTACCAGAGCTCAGCCTGGATGCGCTGAAAGACGCGGCGCTCAGGCGAGCCCGGCAGCCTCTGCTGCCAGGCCGGCGCGCTCTGCCCGCGGGCTGCGCTTGCCGCCTGCTCTGTGGGCATGTGCTGGGCGGCGTGCCGGCCTGCTTTGCTGCAGGCCGCGGCGCATGTGAGTGGAGTGGTTAGGCGCTCGTGTTGTTCCTGACGCGATGCTGGTGCTGGTGGCCGTGTGCAGGCTGCCGCCTCCGCCGGCTCCAGCCCCACCGCCACCTGCGCCTGCCCCGGCGCCCGCACCGGCGCGAGAACCGGCCCGCAAGCGGTCCGCCAAGCCGCCCGCGGCGGCTCCACCACAACCGGCAGCGGCGGCGGCGGCAGCAGCGCCAGCCGCGGCGGCGCAGATGGCGGCGGTTGGGGCGATGCCCATGCAGGCGATGATGTCGCCGGTCGCTTGGGGCGCCATGCCTGCGGCTATGACAGGCATGGCGGCGGCGGGCATGCGCCCAGGTGAGGGTTGCGGGGTTGGTGCGGGGGGCGGCCAACAGCCGCCGCTGCATGCCCTGTGCACAACCTCATGCTGGCCTCAGCCGTGCCCCCATCACTCCAGCCGCCGAGCTGCCGACCCGAAACCCCAGTCAACTCTGCCTGTGTGCCCGCCCCGCGGCTGTGTGCGCTGCAGGCATGGTGCCGGTGCCGGCGGGCATGCAGATGCCTGCGGGGATGACGCAGGAGGCTATGGCCGCCGCCATGCGCCACATGTTCCAGTCTGGAGCCTACGCAGGCATGATGACAGGTGTGCGCCTCCCCTGCGTTGCATACTCCAAGCTGCAGCGCATCTGGAAAACCATGCCCAGCCCCTGCAACTCGGCTGGGCTGCCGGGGCCGGGCGTACGGCGATTGCCGTCGGCAGGAGGCGACCGCAGGGCTGCAGCGGCTGCCAGGCCGGCCGGTTCTCCTCCCGCGGCCAGGAACCCCGGTCCCACTGCCTGCCCTCGTGCTGCCTGCAGGCATGTCACCGGGCATGGGCGTGTATGGCATCCCGCCGCACATCATGGCCGCCATTCAAAAGCAGCAGATGGAGATGAAGGCTGCGCAGGCCAAGGCCTCAACCAGCAAGGGCGCCGCCAAGTCGCCGCCCGCCTCGCTGCCCGAGCAGCAGCAGCAGCAGCAGCAGCAGCAGCAGCAGCAGCAGCAGCAGCAGGCGGGCGCCAAGCAGGATGGCCAGCAGGAGCAGCAGGCGGCGGCAGGGCCCAAGCCTGGGCACATTGAGGAGCAGAAGGAGCAGGCGGCGGCGGCGGCGGCGAAGGGAGGCGAGGGGCTGGCGAAGCAGGATGCCAAGGAGGGCGCAGAGGCTGCAGCCGTGCCGGCCAAGAAGAAGCGGGTTCGCAAGAAGGCCGGCAGCGAGACGGCAGAGCCTGGTGCTGCTGCTGCTGTCCCTGCCGCTGCCGGCACAGGAGGCCCCGCCGCCGCCGGCAAAGGCAAGCAGCAGCAGCCTCAAGGGGACGCGCCGGATGGCAAGCCCGCCAAGGCGCCCAAGCGGCAGAAAACAGGCGAAGGCGAGCCGACTGGCAAGGCGGCCGCGGACAAGAAGCCCGCCAAGCCGCGGCCGGCGGGGGCGCAGCCTCCAAAGCCAGCTGGCCAGGGCAAGGAGCAGGGTGTGCCGGTGGAGAAGCAGGATAAGGATCCAGGGGCCACTGGTGGCAGTGGCGGCGGCGAGGGCGACGGCAAGGGCGCCAAGCGACGGCGCAGCAGCCGGCTGGAGCCATCGTCCCAGGATCAGGAGCAGCCGTCGTCCCAGGAGCAGGCAGAGGGTGCTGACGCAGGCGCCGGCAGCGCCGGCAAGCCCGACGCGGGCGGCAAGCCTGCAGCCAAGAAGCGCAAGGGCGATGCGCAGCAGCAGCAGCTGGACGACGGCCGGCGGCGCAGCGGGCGCCACTCGCAGCCGCCGGAGCCCGCCCCTGCGGACCAGCAGCAGCAGGAGGAGGAGAAGCAGGGGGAGGAGAAGGAGCAGCAGGGTGGTGATGCGGGGCCCAAGGAGCAGGAGGGGGAGAAGAAGAAGGAGCAGGAGGGCGAAGCGGGACCCAAGCGGGGGCGTCCGCCTCCTGGGCGCAAGCAGCCGCCGGGGGCTCCTCCGAAAGAGACTGCCAAGTCATGATTGTTGGGGATGCCATTGGTTGAGCGACACAATTGTTGATAGCAGCGGAAATTTTAAGACGTCTGGAAATTCTGGGCATGTCGGCGCCCTCTGCGCTGGGCGTGATGCGTCTGCAGATGCATGGGAGGATTGCTCGCCTCATCGCACCATCCACACGTTCTCGTCTTCGGAACTTCAGCTTACTGTTTGCGCCTCTAGGAAGCGGCTGGCTGACTCTCTGAGCGTTGTGCCCATCGGCACACCACACAGCGCCACCCACCTGGCTTCCTCTTGCGTTTTTTGTGATATATACATCCATCTGAAGCACATGATGGCATCGTACCTTGCTGCAAGCTCGACGCTCTTCGCCTCAGCGCCGGTGCTACCACCGGGAGCGGCACAGCCCTCCAGGGAGGCGCGATCAAGCTCTAGGAGCGCGGCGCATGGTAGTGTGATGGCTGCAGCCACGGGTAGGGGTGGACCACGGCAGCTGGTCACCCAGCGCCAGCGCGCGCCCCTGTGCGAGGCTTGGCAGCAGCAGATGAACCCGTCGGTCTCTTTGGCCTCCCTAAATGTACCGGCCCATAGCGTCCCCGCGCGGCGCAGCAGCCTGGACGTGCAAGAGCCTCGGGGCGGCGCCATGGCCGCCGTCCTGCAGCAGCGCCGGCGGCAGCGCGGCTTGGTGCCCAGAGCGGCTGTGTCCCAGAGTGAACCAACCACCTTGGCGGCCTCAGACGGCCAGCAGCAGCAGGCGCAGCAGCCACCGCGCCGGCAGCAGCAGCGCCGCCTGACCGCGGCAGAGGAGGCGCAGCTGGCGGAGCTGGCGGTTGGCGGCGACCACCGAGCGGCCGCCATGCTTGCCCATGCCAACCGGCCCCTCGTCACCTGGCTGGCTGCCAAGTTTGCGGGCCGTGGGCTGGCGAAAGAGGTGAGGGAGCTCCAGCTTGGCCCACATCGAGCTGTCTTGCACAAGGCTACATCGACCCACCGAACCAGACAGAACTCACAACCTTTGCCTGCTCGCCTGCCTGCCCACCCTGCCAACGCAGGACCTGGTCGCAGAGGGCATGCTGGCACTGGAGCGCGCGGCGGGGAGCTTCCATCCCGACCGCGAGGCGCGCTTCGGCACCTTTGCCGCGGCCGCCATCAGCAACGCGCTGTCGCGGGCGATCCGCAGGCAGTCGCGCGTGATCCGCATCCCCGAGACTCACTACCGAGACATGGCTGTCGTGCGGCAGGCGATGGCGGAGCTGTCTGCAGAGCTGGGCAGGCCGCCGCGCTGCGAGGAGATTGCCCAGAGCTGCGTCTTAACCGTCAAGTGCGCACGCTTCTCCTGCTTCGCTGCTGCTGGTGCACTCTGTGGTGGGACCTGCTGGTGCAACCTGTTTGTGTCACAATTTCCGGGCATGACAACAACATCCCCTCGTGTCGTCTGCCTGCAGGCACACTCTCCACCTGCTGCGGGCCATGGGTACCCAGCAGCAGCAGGGGGGGGGTTCCGAGGCGGCAGAAGAGTATGACGTGGTGAGTGTGGCACTCTGGCCATGCACGGCTCGCGCGCTTTGCTGCTTGGCATGGTGACAGCCAGTGGGCCTGCATCACCCTAGCAAGGCACAGCAAGCTGTTTTGGCTGCCTCTCCCCTCTTGTAGGTGGACGATTCGCTGGAGGAGGAGGAGTGCTCCTTCGCCCAGGAGGAGCGCCAGGGCATGCTGCGCCAGGAGCTCAGCAGCAGGCTGGCACAGTGAGTAGAGGCTCCCATGCAAGCTGCACGGCTCGCTGCCATTAAGCACACCCCCGTGCCGTCTGCAAGCGGCCCACCACGCGCTTGCTTGCGTTGCTGCCCCCGCTGCCACAGGCTGGACTCCAAGCAGGCTCTGATTGTGTCGCTGCGCCATGGGCTGCACGATGGCCGTGCTTGGAGCTGCAAAGAAATCGGGGAGCGCCTGGATTGCACTGGTGAGCTGGAGTATCACTCCCCTCCTAGCTGCAGCAACTGGAATTTGGGCTGGTCGGCCCATCGCCTGCCAGGCACACGGCCAGCAGCCGGCAGCGCCCTTGCACAGCTGCTGACCCCACACTGCCCCACGCTGTGCCCCCCCTACGCAGCTGCCTGGGTTGCTGCACAGTACAAGATGGCCGCGCACAAACTGCAGCGGCAGGCGAGCGGCGCCGAGGATGCAGCACCGGCACAGTTGGGCGCCTCGCAGGCGCTGACAGCGGCCATTGCCAGGTGCAGAGGCTACCCGTTCCGCGGATGCCCCCGCTGTGCAAGGTGCCTGTGCTGCGCTGTCCCCCTTGTTTGCCCCTCCTGCTGTCCTGACATGAGGCGCTTGCGTTCCCTTGACATTTGCTTGCAGGCTGAGCCTGGAAGAGCAGCTGGTCCTGGCGCTGCGCTGGGGCTGGCTGGATGGCAAGCTGTCGACGTATGCCGAAATTGGGAGGCGCATGAACGCCAGCAGTGAGTGCTCCGCCGTCTGGCCACCTGCGTGCTGCCCCTCCATGCCCGCCAGCCAGTTGCGGCTGAGGCTTGGCATCTAGCTGTGGTTGACTCCTCCTCCTCCGCCTTCCTGTGTGCAGCCACCTGGGCCAGCAGCCAGTGCAAGAAGGCAGAGCGCAAGTTGCAGACACTGCTGCCCGCGGCCGCGCCCTTCAGCCCAAAGGCGCTCGAGCGAGTGTCGCTGAGCCCGCGGCAGAGCCAGGCATACCAGCAGCAGCTGCTGGCTTCGTACGGAGCCGGCAAGCAGGACAGCGACAGCGCCGCCGACCTTCATGACAGCCTGCTCTCCATCGCTCAGCAGGCACAGCAGGTGCCGTCTGCGCGCGCCCTCGTAGCAGAGCCTGCGACGGGGCCCGGCCGCAACGGCTCAGCAGCGGCTGTGCAGCAGCCGGCTCCAGCGGGGAAAGCGGCAGCAGCGCCCCGCCGGAGAAGCAGGGCCAGCGCTGGCAGCGCCAAAGCCAAGCTGGAGAGGCAGTGGCTGGCAGAGCAGGCGGGGGAAGCGGGGGCGGCTGCTCAGTACGCCACAGCTGGTGCGGGCCTGCGCAGCCTTTAGGCCAGTTTGCTTCTGAACTGCATCTCAGTATGGCACCATCACAGTTTTAATTCAGCATTTGTTTTTAATCTGCTTCTTCAACTTCCCTTTTCATGGAGACTTTATGGAGCGCCAGATTTTATTGAGCGACTGCCTGGCTTGCCGCTGCCTGCCGGATTCTCCTGTACCAGCCCACCAAATGCACGATGATCAGCCAGCCGGCGCCCATTCATTACTGATTTATTCCAAGCACACATCTGATGTAAATCGAGTCGGATTCCACACATGGCTTTGCCGCGCGAAATTATGACCAGGCGACTGAGCCTTTGCCGCCGCAGCAGACTCCATCGGGCGGGAGCGGCAGCGCTTGGGAACGCCAGCTGTGGCAAACCTTACAAGCTGATCCGTGCTGTTCAAGCAAGGGAAGCGATTTGGGTGTGCTGTTATGGATGTGCACAAATGGGGAGGTGGAGGCCGGCTGTGGCCGAGTGGTCCAAGCGGCTGGGGCGCCATGCGGGCGGCGGCGCCAGGACCTCCCATCCTCACCCAAATCCCCATCGCCTCATTACCTGTGGCGCATTTGAGCCCCGAATGCTCCCCACAACTGGACACCGCGACGGTTCGTGGTTTGCGAGGAGGCCGCAGTGGTTCAAGCGGCAAGCCCCAACCCGCCGCCCAGTTGACCGCAAAGCGATCTGAGACCCAGTGGCGTCAGCATGCGTGCTGCCGCACCGGGCAGGGCGGGCCCAGCCCAAGGGCTGGGGTTGGAGGTTCGGCGGGGGACACCCCTGCCCCCTCGCCCAATCGTGGCCCAGGCCCTGCGGCGGGACCTTCTGGCCTCCATCCTGGATCCGCTGGACGAGCAGCACCAGCAGCAGCTACCCGGGTGGCGCCGCGGCGGCACCGCAGCGGCGTCGACGACAGTTTCGGCAGCGGCTGCTCCTGGCAGCGTGCGGCAGCGCCGGTGGCGGCGCCTGGTGCGTGCGGGAGCCGAGGCGGGGACTAGGCAGCAAGGGCCGCCGCTCCTGCTGGAGCAGCTGCCTCAGCCAATAGCACCAGCCGCCAAACGCCACCCGAGCGCCGCGGAGCAGCGTGAGCTGGCTAGAGCAGCGGGGGCAGGCGACGAGCGTGCCGTGGCCGCGCTTGTGGACGCCAACCGCGCACTCGTGCATTTCTTGGCGCGGCGGTTTCTCGGCAAGGGACTGGCGCGGGAGGTGGGTGGATGGGCAGCCCTGGGGCGGTGGGGGTGGCGTGGTTGCTGCTGGCAAGCAGACCGCCGGCCTGCCATCGCACCCATCCAGCCCTTGCTGTCCCATGCCCCCTCATCTACCTGCTGCAGGACTTGGTGAGCGAGGGCATGCTAGCGCTTGAGCGGGCAGCTAGGCGGTACAGGCCGCAGCCCGGGCGGGACGCCAGCTTTGGCACCTTTGCTGCCGCCACCATCCTCAATGTGAGCGAGGGCGCTGAGCGCGCTGAGCGGGGAGCGAGCTGCGCTGCTGCCGCTGCCACTGCCGCTGCCACCAACCCGGCAGGTGCCGTGCTGGAACGCAGCAATTCTTTCAGCAGAGGGCAGTCCGGGGGGCAGCCATGCGGCGAGCCAGCCCACCACAATGCCACCTTGCTGTCTGGGCGGGAAGGTTGGCATTCACATTGGCTGGTGCCCATGCCCAACTCTCCATGCTTGTTCCTTAGCGCAGGGCATGTCGCGTGCGCTGCACACTCAGTCGCGGGACGTACGCCTGCCTGTGCACCACTTCCGAGGTAGAGTGCCACACGGGCCGCTCGCCTGAGCCGGCCGGCCGCTCAGCCAGCGCCCTCCCCGTGTTCTCTGGCGCCCCAGCATGCGTCTCGGCCCCTGCTCTAGCCTGCCTTCCTGCCACGGCTGTGCTGAGCCTGCTGAGGCGCGTTCTGGTGCCTGCCTGCAGACATGGCCCGCGTACGGCAAGCCACCCTGGAGCTTGCCACCGAGCAGCTCAGGCAGCCGGAGTGTGGAGAGATCGCTGAGCGCTGCAGCTTTGATATCAGGCAAGCACGGCCGACCTGCAGCTGTAGGCAGGGAAAGGGGGCGGCCGTGCGCTGCCATGCCTGCTGCGCCAGGTCACCCACGCCAGTCAGTCGCAATACATTTACATCTCAACTCCTTTTCCTGCGGCATGCGTGCCACCCTCTGTCCTGCCGTGCAGCTACACGCTGCACCTGCTGCGCGCCATGGGCAGCCAGGTGGGCCAGTCGCCGCTGATGCAGGTCCTTGACCAGGAGATGGCGGCGCCGATGGATCAAGACCCCACGCAGCAGGTGAGCCGGCTCGGAGGCCGAGGCATAAGGCTGCTTGCTTGGAAGGGCAGTAGCGCAGCACTGCATGCGCTGCAGACAGCGCCGGCCTCTGCCCTCCCATGCCTCTCCTGGTGCCGCTGCCCAAAGCCTGCCTGTTGACCCTGCCGATGTCGGTCCCTCTTCCCCGCCGCAGGGCGGCGTGTCGCTGGATGGGCTGGAGGTTCTGTTGGAGGACGAAGTGGCTGCAGAGGAGCGGAGCCAGCTGATTGAGGCAGAGCTGCGCAGCTGCCTGGCCAGGTGGGCCTCCCGCGGCCTGCCGGCCTGCCCTGCTGGCCTGCTGCAGTGGCTGCCGACAGCCCGGCTGTGGCGATCGGCGGTGGCTGGCCGCCTTGCCTCGCCTTCAAGCCGGGAGTTGCTCTGCCTGTTGGTGCGATGCAGGCTGGAACCGCAGCAAGTCAGCGTGGTTGAGCTGAGGCATGGGCTGGATGGCGAGGGGCTGCGGCGGACATGGAAGGAGGTCGGGGAGTGCCTGGGCAGAAGCGGTGAGCAGGGTGGGGAGTGGTGGGTGTGGGGGGTGTGTGCTGCAGCCGCCCCTGGCCTGCCTGCCCTTCTCATTGCAGGGCAGCTACTGCGCCTGGGACTCCTGCTTGTGGTAGCGCCGAGGCAGGCTGTCCCGTCCTCGCCACCGTCAAAGCGCGCTGCCCTCTGTCTCAAGTCTGCGCGTGGTACTGCATGGTGTACCGCAGGAAGTTGGGCTTCGATGCAGTACAAGGTCGCCGAGCGCAAGATGAAGGCATTCATGTGTGCAGACGAGCAGCAGCAGCCCCACAGCCCTCCAGCCCGCCGCAGCGGCCAGCGCAGCCGCAGCAGCAGCAGACGCAGCAGCCGCAGCGAGGCGAGGCCGCCCATCTCTGCTCTGGAGACGTGTGCTGAGAGGATGGCTGGCGTCCAGGGGCGTGCGGTGGATGCACAACTGGCTGTGGCTGATGCCCTGGCAAGGTGTGGCACCTGGGACCTGCCGCACAGAGGGTGCTTTGCAGCGTGAATCTGGCGTCCCTTGATGTGATCCCCATGGGGCTGACGTTGGATGGGAGGAGTTGTTTGCGATACGTGTCAGCGCCAGCGCAAGGCGCAGCTGGCGCCTCGCTGGCGCCAGCTGGGCCTGACCTGCGTCTGCTGCCTCCCGCCTCCTGCCTCCCCTGCCTTCAGCTTGAAGCCCACTGAGCAACTGGTGGTGGCCCTCCGGCACGGCTGGGTGGACGGCACTGCAGAGCTGGTGATGTTTAAAGACGTGGGCACCCGCATGAAGCGCACACGTGAGTATCTCCGCCATACGCCATACTGTATAAGACGGCAGCGCAGCGCGGCGGGGTGTGAGGCATGAGGGTGTGAGGCGCTGCGTGGCACAACAACACGCGGTGCTCGCGCGCCGTGCTTGCACGAGCAGCAGCTTGCGCCGTGTGCTGCATCGCCGTGTGCTGAGGCCCTCGGCGCCGAACAAAACTAAAACAGAACCTGTGCCCCGCGTTGCACCTCGCCCGCAGTCAACGGCGCCAGCAACCTGTACAAAAAGGCTGAGAGCGTGCTGCGGGCGCGGCTGGAGGCGCTGGGCCATGCAGACCTGGAGCTGGGCCAGCTGCGCTTCAGCCAGCAGCAGCGGGAGGCGTGGCAGCGCCAGCTGGAGGGGCTGCCCTGCAAGCCCAGCAGGCGCGGCGCGGCCGGCGGCTCGCGCCCAGCCCGTTCGGCGACGGGCAAGGCCGGCGGCGCGCTGGAGGCGGCTGAACCGGCAGAGTTGGCGGCAGCCGGCGGCGGCAAGGCGGAGCAGGGGGTACCGCAGCAGCAGCAAGCCCCAGAGGCGGACCCCGAGCCTGCAGCCAGCTCCTCCACACGGCCGCCACCTGGGGAGGGCCGCCAGCAAGCCCCTGCTGCGGAAGCAGGCGGCCCTGGCCCCAGCACTGGCACCGAGGCTGGCAGCCCGAGCGGCCAGGCGGCCGCCGCGCCCGCGGCGGCGCCCTCCGTGCTTTCCAACGCGGCAGTGGCGGTGCCGCCGTCCTGGCAGCCCCGCGCAGAGGCCGCCGCCAGGCTGCTCTCCCAGTGGCAGCTCATGGTGGTGCGGGCAGCAGAGCCCCGGGCGTTGGCAGTCCGGTAGGGGGCTCTGCCCCTCCCTGGGCGGGCCTGCGGCTCGCCGCACCTCCCTCGCATTCCTCCTCATCATCATCATCATCATTCCTCCTATTCCTCCTCTGGTGACCCTGGTTCCCGAATGATCTGTGTCTAATACGACTGTACACCTCCAGCAGCCCCGCTCGGCTGCGTCTGGACAATGGAGCTGCTTACTATCTGCACCTGCACCTGTCTGTACCCACCCCAGCTGGGGTGCAGCCCCCCAACGTACGCCCACGCACCCGACCCCCCCCCCAACGAAACAAACCTGCGCTCTGTGCAACCTTTCCTGCCATTCATCGCCCATTTCATCCCCTGCCAATTCATTCAGAACGCTGTGCAGCAAGTGTGTAGGCTGGGCCTCCAGCCCCCTGTGTGCCTCTGTGTCCCCGTCTGACGGTGGGCCCCGATGTTACAGGCGGCGACGCCGCTGTTCAAACCAGTTCAAAAGGGAATGGCAGCAACGCGGGGGAAGTGGAGGAGGATGGCTGCGGGGGGGTGGGACGGCACGAGAAAAGGGAAGGGGGTAGCACGAGAACGCAAGCGCAGAGGAAAGAGGAAGGAGCATGGCACGGGCCCATCCCGAGGGGCGGCAGAGGAGAAGGGAGCGCGTGCGGGCACGCACGCGCAGACGCACAGTGGAGAGGTGTGAGGGAGGTACACTAAGACGAGTCAGGAGGTGGGGTGGGGAGTCAGGAGGTGGGGTGGGGAGTCAGAGGAGGTGGCGTGGGGAGTCAACAATACGCACGAAGATGGCGCTGGGCAGAAGGGAGAGGGCGCGGCGGAGAGCAGGCGGACCCAATGTACAGGCCGGGTAGGCGGCGCGCTGCGGTTGCAGCAGCGCTCAAACCGCCGGCACCCTCTGGCGGTGTTGGGCGCAGGGGGTGGCGGCAGGCTGGCTCCCAGAGGCCGCAGCAGAACTAATGGCAGTGCTGCTTTCTGGTGCCACGCCGGGCGCAGCGGCTGGGTGGGGGCCGGAGCGGGCTTGTCAGCGCCGCGGCCGCCCGGCGCTGCGCGCGGGCCTCCCCCGCTTGCCGCTGCTGCTGCCTCCGCCACCGTTGGCCGAGGGCCCATTGGGGATGATAGCCTGCAGCGCCGGGGGCAGCGAGCTGTGCTGGTCTGCCGCCGCGGCGGCGGCCGCCGCCGCCGCCATGGCAGCTCCCGCCTGCCGCACGGCCGCCTGCTGCGCTGCCGCGGCCAGCTGGCCGCCACCTGCCGCCGCCATGGCCGCCGCCATTGCGGGGGTGAGGGTGAAGGGCGGCCGCATCATGGCTGCCGACGTGGCCACGGCGGCGGCCGCGGCGGCCGCCGCGTTGGCGCCGCCGCCCCCCGACCCGCCCTGCTTGCCGGCCGCGTGGTTGGCCGCCGCCGCAGCTGCCACCATTTGTTGCGCCATGTGTGCTGCCATGGCAGCATTCATTGGGATCATGACCAGCGGCATGCCGTTGGGGCCCTTGAGCGACGATGAGCCCGCCGCGCCGGCAGAGGAGGATGCCTTGCCGGCCGCCGCCGCCGCCTGCCCGCCCTGCTGCGCCGACGAAGCCGTCGCCGCCTGCTGCTGGGCGCCTGCCATGGCGGGAGTGGAGGCCGGCGAGGGCGCCGCTAGCATGCCAGCCGTGCTGGGGGTCGCCGCCGCCGAGGCGGCGCCTGCGGCAGACTTGCCCGCAGCAGGCTTGGGGCCGGCGGGTGGTGCCGCCGCGGGCGCGCCGCCGCCAGCGGGCCCCGCCAGCGCCACCGCCGGCGCCGAGGCGGCGCCCGGCAGGGTGCCCGAGCCTGGGGACGCCAGCACGCCGCCGCCGCCGCCGCCGCCGCCAAAGCCGCCGACCAGCGCGGGGGCGGAGAGGGTGCGAGACACGTTGGGGCGCGGCAGCGACGAGTGCTTGGTCCGCTCCTTGGTCACTTTGCTTGCCTGCTTGTTCTTCTTCACAGCCGCGTCTGCAGGAGGCCGGGGCAGGAGACGCAGCGGTGAGCGCAAGAGCCGTATGCGAGCAGGAGTCTGCTGAGAAATTTGCGACTATGTGAGTTGGAAAAACGCATAGGAAGCGCTGCCAGCGCACACGGCCCGCCGCCCCGGGCAGCCCCAGGCAGCGGCCGCCGCCCTGCACACACACACGCTCTAAGCCGCCCTGCGCGCACACACACGCTCTGAGACAAGGCGGGGCGCACCCAGCACAGCCTCATAGCGCGCCCGCTCCGCCGTCTCCATGTGCCGATGGCGCGCCAGGAAGGCCTCGTCTGCGGCGGCGGGCGGGCCGGGGAGCAGCGGCACGCGAGGTCGGCGGCCACCAGCGCCTCTGCCGTTGATTCCGCAGCCAGCACACACACACCAGGCTGAGCAGCACCAAGCAGCAAGCCGCTCGCAGGATGAGCAGCACCAGCAGCAAGCACCTCCCAGGCTGGGCACAGGTGCAAGCTGGGGGGCAGCAAGAGCCCGGAGCGGCCCTCTCCGCCTCTCACCAGATGTGTCCTCGTCGCTGGACCCCTCGCCAGGGCACATGGCATCAATGGCCTCCGCCGCCGCCATGCCCTCACCTGCGCCGACAACAGGCGACAGCAGCGCAGCCAGCATCAGCGGCCAGCACAGGCCGACAGAGGCGCCGCGCCACACCCAGGCTCGCTGCTGGCATGCCATCCCTACAGCCGGCCGCCGCTGCCTTCCCACGCCCTGCCAGGCCGGCCACAACCCTACAACCACCCACCCACCCTGCTTCAGCTCCGCCCCATACGCCTCCACCGCTGCCTGCCGCTTCTTGAGCTCCGAGGCGGGCAGAGGGCGCACGCGGGGCGTGTCAATCGTCTTGACCTGAGCTCGCTCCACAAACTTGGGAGCACCCAGCGGGGTCAGCAGCTCGCCAGTGTCGTAATCCTGCAGGGCGGCAGGGGGGCACGGGTGGGAGAGGGGCCACTAATGGAGCCGGCGAGGGACTAATGGTGGCGGTGGTGGGTGAAGTGCGGAGGGTCGGGCGCGCAGGTGGGTGGGATGGGCAAGCAGCAGGGGTCGGGCACGGCAGGCAGGCAGGCAAGCACAGGACAGCATGCTGCGCAGGCTGCAGCGCGCAACCAACGGCCGCCGGATCGACGTGTCGCTGGCGGCAGCGACGCCCTGCTGTCGCCAGGCGGGCGTGGGCCCCCACCTGGATGCGCCGCCGCTTGGACAGCGAGTCGCTGCGGAAGAAGGAGGAGCCGCGAGGGGTGCCGCGCGGGGTGAACCCGCCGCTGCTGCGCGGCGTGAAGCCGCCGCGGCGCGCGCCGCCGCCACTGCCGCCGCCGCGGTAGCCGGGCACGCGCACCGCGGCGACGCGGTGCAGCGCGGCCTGCGCCGCAGGCTGCTGCACGGCCACCAGCTGGCGGCGCAGCGAGGACAGGCGCTGGTCCAGAAGGTCCAGGGCGGCATGCACCTCAGCTGGAAAGTCGTTGCCATCCAGGGCCGCCGGCTCGTCGGCCGCGGCGTCGGCGGCCGCCGCGGCCTGCTGCCGCGCGCCCACCACGCTGTGCGCGGCGATGAAGGGGTGCTGCAGCAGGCCTGGCAGCTGGAACTCGGGAAGCTCCAGCCGCTGGCGGCGCACGTGCAGGAGCGGCGCCGCGCCGCCCGCGCCCGGCTCGCCGCCGCCTGCAGGCTGCGCCGCGCCGACCTTCTGCTTCTGCTCCCGCTGCTGCTCCGGCCCCGCCGGCGCCTGCGCGGCCTCGCGGAGCTGCTGCTGGTAGCGCTGGCGCTGGTGCTGCAGCTCGGTGAGGCGATGCTCCAGCCAGCGTGCCCGCCACTCCACGCCCCGCCGCACCTGCTTCCACTCCCGCGAGTGCGGCGCGTGCTCTGCGGCCGGCTGCTGCTCCTGCTGCTGCCGCTGCGCCTCGCCTTGACGGCCCGCGGGCTCGCCGGGCGCGCCAGCAACTGCGGGCGCGGCGCCCCATGGCTGCACCAGCACTGCATCCCGGGCATACTCCAGAACCTGCTGCTGCCGCACAGAGACGCCCTCGCCCTCCCCCTCGCCCTCCAAATCCGTCTCCTCGTAGCTGCTGTAGCCTGCGGGGTCCACGTCAGCGTCTGCTGGCGCTGGCATGGTGCCATCTGGCGCGTCTAGCTGCATCGGATCTGACTCCGCCTCTGTAGTGGCGGTGTCCGCCGTGGACTGCGACCGAAGCATTCCTGCCGACGTGGGCGTGGCGCCTGCTGCCCCTGCAACAAGAGTACGAGCAGACGCGTGCGAGCAGTCGGTGCATAGGCTGGGGCACCGGCGTCAGCAGCAGCGCGCGTGATGTGCACAGCTCAAGAGCTGGGCAGCGGCACCGACACAAAGTGCGGCTGGCTGCGCAGGGTGAGCAGCAGGGCACGCACCGCTGCGGAAAAGGCTGGATGGCACCGCCTGGCTGTCAGCGGGCGTGAGCTGCACCGAGCCGGGAGCGGCCGCTATGCCGCCAGACGCCACCAGCGCCGCCATGGCCCGCCGGCCCTCCGCCTCCATCTCCACCAGCAGCTTCTTTCCAGCCCGCAGCATGACGAGTGCCTGCACACAGGGAGGTGTGCGGCAAGGGCTGGAAGTAACGACAGAGCAGCAGCGGAGGGGCCAGCGAGCCGCACATGGCAGGTGTGCCGCTGCAGGCAGAGAGCGCAGGCTCACGCGCACCAGCCAGCATGCAGCAGCGGCACACGAGCAGGCACCGACTGTGAACAACAGTCTGCCCAACACACACGCAGCAACCCAACGGCGCAGTGCAGCCCGCCGCTGCCCCGCAGCGCTGCACCCCGGCCGCACCACGGCCCGCGCCGCACCTGCTTGTGCACGCGGGAGCGGCGCTGGTTGTACTTCATCGCATTGCTGCAGATGAGCTCAAAGTCGCGCACCACCTCCTGCCAGTTGACGTACTGCCGCCCGCGGATCTTGCCGCGCATCACCTGCAGACCACAGGCGCAGGCATGCCCCGCGAACGGTGAGCGGCGGCGGCGCGCCCCGTGCTGCCGGAAGCGCGGCACGCACGCTTTGCTGCCATGCCATGCTGTGAGGTGCCCGCTGAAGCGCAGCCAGCGGCACCCACGCGGCACCAGGTCTGTGCCTCAAGCTGGCAGCGCTGCCAGCAACCACCTGGGCTGGGCACCCACCTCGAAGCACATGGGCCGCTTGATGATCTTGTAATAGTTGGGTGCATCGCTGTGGCGCACCGGGTGCCTGAACCAGCCCTCTGCGTCCAGGTTCATGATGCGCCCCAGGATGGCTTCTAGGTCGGCCACCGCCTGCTGGCCGGGGTTGGCTAGGGCAGCGGCGGCAGCCGCCGCTTGTTGCGCCGCCGATGCGGGCGCGCCTGCTGCTGCTGCCGGTGCCGGCGGCGAGGCAGTCGGCGTGGCTGCCGTGGCCTGCACCGCTGGTGTAGGCACCGCGGTCTGCTGGCCTGCACGCGGCTCGGCCCGCTGCGCTGCAGCGTTTGCCGGCGCGCGCCCAGGGGGCGCTGCCGCCGGCGACGTCACGGCGGCGGCCTTGGAGGGGGCTGCCGCCCCGTTCTGCGGGCGCTGCGGCTGCCGCATGTTCACCTCGGGTGCTAAGAAGGCGCTGCCTGCGCTGGCCTGCAAGCCCCTTGAGCGGGGGGGCGGGGACCCCACTGGTCCCTTTGGCCGTCGGCAGGCCCGAAGGTTCGTGCGGCGGCATGGCGCCGGGCGAGGCCCGCTCCGGGAGCTGCTGGCGCTGCTGCTGGGGCGCTACGGCTGCTCGCTGCTGCGGCGCGCCCATGGGCCTCGCCAGGGCTGCAGGGGCTGCTCCTTGCTGGTCGGGCGGCGCTTTAGTGCCATTTAGTGCCAGCACCATGCGCTGCGTCGGGGCGTGCGGCTGATCATCGACTGGGCGTCAGGGGTGTTCGGCGTGGAAGGCTCCTCCGAGGGCTCGATGCCGGGCCGGCGGGTGTGTCGGGACGGCCAGACGGGGGCCAGGGAGGGAATAAATGGGTCGGGCCAGCTGCGGGAGTTGGGGCTTCTCGGCCCGGGCCGGCGAAAATGTCAGGGGACAAGGCCAGCCAATTGCGCGCCGCCGCCGCATTGCAACCCACTCCCGGCTGCCCTGGCCCTCCTGGTTGGCCGCTGCACAGCTTTGGGGCTCTCACCAGACCCTACCTCTGAGCCCAAGCTTGGGCAACCCATCCCCACCCATGTTGCTCTCACTCACTTCCCAACCCCTCAGCGCTCAACAGGGACGACGCAGCCGCAGTGCAGCCCATTGCCGAGCCCCCGGCAGTCGAGCCCGCCTGCCGTGCCGCGCGGCGGCGGGCGGCGAGGGTGCCGACGCTGGCCCGTCAGCTCGAGATGCAGCTGACAACGTGGCTGTAGAGCTGCCGCCGCTGAAGCAGGCAAGTCGCTGCGGGCACATTGCCTGGGGCGGCGAGGACGTCACCCGTCAGCATTGTGGCAGCATATTGGCACTCGGAGGAGGGGGCGGCCGCCCACCAGCTGCGTACCTGCATGGTGCCAGGTGCGTCCCAGCGACCTGCCTTGCCTTCCCTGCAACCCTGCCTGTTCCTACCTCCCCGCTGCAGGTGCCGTACCGCGCCATCGCTGCCCTGGCAGCCGCGGGCCTGGCCGACTCTGCGTACCTCACAGCAGTGAAGGTGCTGAGCCTGACGCCGGCCTGCCCGCTAAGCGGCGGCGGCACAGGGGCCAGCTGCGGCGACATTCTCACTAGCGAGTACTCCACCCTCTTTGGGGTGGTGCCCCTGGCCGCCGTGGGCATGCTGGCGTACGGCGGCATGGCGGCGCTGGCGCTGGCGGGAGCGGCGGCGGCATCCGGCAGCAGCGCCGCATCCGCGCCAGCATCGGCAGCAGCGGCAGCGCAAGCAGCGGCAGCCTCCGGCGAGGCGCCAGCAGCAGCAGAGGGCGAGTCGGCAGCAGCGGGAGCGGGCGCGGCGGCGGCGGCGCCTGCAGCGGAGCGGTCTGCAGCGCAGGCTGCGGAAGAGGCGCCGTACCGCCGGGCTGTGCTGGCAGGAGGCCTGGCCATGGCCACCTGCAGCTCCTGCCTTCTGTACATCATGCTGACCAAGTTTGGCGGCGCGCTGTGCCCCTGGTGCCTGGCCTCCGCGGCCCTCAGCTTTGGCATCGCGGCGCTGGCGGCCTCGGGGCTGCGCCCTCGAGAGCTCTCCGAGGCCGCCGCCCCCGGCGCCGGCGCCGTGGCCACCACCCTGCTGCTGCTGTCGCTGGGGTTGGGCACTCCCAACCTCTCCTTCGCCTCGGGAGGCTACGACCTCGACTACAGCCTGCCGGAGGTGACCAGCGCCAGCGGCCCCGACGCGGTGTCGCTGGCGGAGCGGCTGGCCGCGGCGGGCGCGCGCATGTACGGCGCCTTTTGGTGCTCCCACTGCTACGACCAGAAGCAGGCGTTTGGGGCGGAGGCCATGGCTGCCTTCCCCTACGTCGAGTGCTACCCAGAGGGCCTGCACAAGGCAAGGCCCTGCCCTGCTACCTGACTGGCCGGCCGGCGCTCGCCGGGCGGGACGCAGGCCGGCAAGCGTGACGCCGCCAGGCCTGGGCATGCTGCCGACGCTGGCATGCCTGCAGCTGCTGCGCGCGGCGTGGCGCAGCAGCCCCACTGCCCTGCCCCCACACACAGGCCCTGCCCCTCCCTCTCTGCAGGACACTAAGATGGCTGCGGTGTGCGAGGCGGCGCCCGGCGGCCTGCAGGGCTTCCCCACGTGGGTGATCGGCGGCGAGCAGCTGGTGGGGGAGCAGACGTTTGAGCAGCTAGAGGCGGCGCTGGCCAAGGCGGAGGCGGCAGCGCCCGCGACGGCGGCCAGCTAGGACGCTGGGCAGGTGGCAGCGGCACGAGCGCCGCGATGGTGCTGCGCAGCGGTGCGCCCTTCCCAGCTGTGCTCTTGCAGTTATTTTGATGATACAGACTGTATGTGTGATCGAGGGAGAACAGACATGCAACAACCTGACAGGGGACGGTGAGGTGACAGGTGCAGACAAGAGATGGGCAGGGTGGCCAAGCCGGCAAGAAGATACAAGAAGTGCCGCATCCGTGGCCGGCCGGGCGGGAAAAACTATGCAGCTCTCTGGATGAAAACGCTCAATGAATAGGTCAACTTGATTGGTCAGCTTGATGGTCGGTGTGTTTATTCTTCAGTTCTCTCAACAATCATTCCGCAGTGGCCGGCTGCTGCGCCGCGGGGCCGTGCCGGCCCTCCATCATGGCCTGCAGGCGCAGCATGACTTGCTGCGCCGTGGGGCGCGCCGTGGGATCCAGAGACCCACACTCCGCCATCAGGTCTGCAGCCTCCTGCACGCCGCGGGTGGGGAGCAGCCCAAAGGAGGGCGGGCACAAGACAGCTGGGTGAACGCAAGGCGTGCGGCGGACCATGCATGCAGCAGCCAGACGCTCCGCCAGTGGCGGGTCCAGCCCAGTCCTGCCGGCCCAGTCCTGCCGGCCCAGCCCAGCCCAGCCCAGCCCAGCCCAGACTTGCCTGTGGGCACTCCTCCGGGACCAGCGGCTGCCGCAGGTGGCCCCTCACCGGCTGGCCCCCTGCATGGGGTGGACGGGCAGGTGGCAGCGCTGCTGCTGAGTGGCCCGGCAGGCACTACGGCGCGAGGCCCCCAGCAGCACAGCACCACACACCCTGGCAGCACCAGCTGTCCCGCCCCTCCACACACACATCGCCACCACCGGCAGCGCAGCAGGCGTTCAGCAGCCCCTTGGGCAGCGACCCAAGTTTGGGCCATGCTGGCGTGTGGCAGCGCCTGCCCGCACCTGTGATGATCTCCCACAGCAGCACCGAGAAGCTATAGATGTCCACAGATTGGGTGCAGCGCCCGCCCATGAGCACCTCGGGAGCCACCCTGCGCGGCGGCGGCGGCAGGCGCGGCGGCGTGGGCTCAGCTTGGGGTCAGGGCAGACAAAGAGCAGGGCGGGGCGGGACGAGTGCTGGCCCGCTCCGGCCGCCGTCCTCGCTCCCGTGTGCAACCCGGCTGCTGAGCTGCACCCTGAGTGAGGTACAGGCGGGGCATCTGTCATCCAGCCCTGCTCCATCTACACACATACACATACATCACCACCGCACACACACAGTATCCCATCTGCAGTTAGGAGCCCAGCTCCAACCCCCCACCCCAACCCCAGCCCAGCCCTCACCAGCTGAAGGTGCCCACCACCGACGGCAGATCGCTCAGGTATGTCTTGGTCTGCAGCCGGGACAGGCCCACATCCGACAGCTTGGCGGCGCCGCGGTACGTCAGCAGTACGTTCTGCACAAGGTTGGGTGGGAGGGTGCAGGTGGGGTGTGCATGAGGCGGGGTGCATCAGCACGAGGGGGAGGCGCACGGCAGGGCAGCAAGGCAGCTGGCAGCAGCAGCCCCGACGCCGGTCGATGCAGGCGTGCGGCGCTGGCGCCGGCGCCTCCCTCCCTCCCTCCCCGCTGCTGCTGCTGCTTCTCCATCACTCACCCCGCTCTTCACATCCATGTGCACCACGCCTGCAGGCAGCACGGCAGTCGGCAGCAGCCGTGAGTGAGCAGTCGGCAGCACCGAGGTTTTTTCGGGTGCATGGGTGTGACGAGCAGCAGGCGGCGGCGTCTGGCTCAGCGGCCTCCGCCCTGCAGTGCCCAGCCGAGCATTTGGGGCCTGCAAGCCCATTTAAGGCCACCGCCGATGCGCTTGCCCAGCGCCCACGCTGTCCCCATGGGCCCACCTTTGCTGTGCAGATAGTTGAGAGCGGTGGCAACCTCCCAGGCCACCCGGCAGCCGTGGCGCCGCCAGCCAAACAGGCGCTGCCCGTCGCCGCCGCGCAGCCGCAGCACGCTGCCCAGGTCGCGGCCTGCGGCGCAGGCACAGGGGGGGCCGGGGCCGGTGGGTCGAGGCACAGCCACATGCCCCTGCCACAGCCGCGCTGTCACCACAACAAGGTGCCCACCACCACGGCCGCGCACCGCACGACGCCCCCCGCCCCCCGCAGCCCCTGCACCCGCCCACCTTCGCACAGCTCCAGCAGCAGGATGCCGATGGGCCCGTCCAGGCACACGCCGTAGAAGGCAACGAGCTGCGGGTGCCTGAGCGCCTGCATGCGCTGCGCCTCTGTGAGGAACGCCTCCTGCGACTCCACCGCACGCCCCACCTCCACCTCTTTAGCCGCCACCACCTCTCCGTTGTACACGGCGCGGATGACGCGGCCGCTGCGGGGCGGGGGAGCGGCAGGGCAGAGGGAGCGAGCGCGTGTATGGATCAGTGTGTGGTGTGGGTGGGTGGGTGTGTCGGGAAGGGTGGGAAGTGAGCCTGCCGTCATGGCGGCGAGCAGGCTGGAAGCATGAGAGGGACTCGGCTGGCGCGGCACACATGGGGCTGCCCTTCCCGACGGCCGCCCGGCGTCACAGCGCAGCACAGCGCGCGGCGTGCCAGGCTGGCGTCCCACCTGGCGCCCTTGCCCAGCTCCACCACCTCGCCGTTGGCCCTCCGCTGGTACTCCACCGCGGACGGCGGGATGAGCCAGGCCTGCAGGCTGGGCGGCAGCGCCGCCAGCGACAGGTACTGCGACGGCGTGCTGCCGCTGCTGGCGCCCAGGCTGGCGCTGCCGCTGCCGCTGGTGGGCGCTGTGGAGCCCGAGGCTGGGCCGCCGCCCAGCCTGGCGCTGGAGGCTGGCACGGAGGCGGCTGCCTCCTCTGCCGCCCGGTGCCTCATCAGCTCCGCCAGCTCCCCAGACGCGCCGGACTGCTCCGGGCTGAGCTCCGCCTGGCTGACCGGCCGCGCGGGCCGCCCCTCGGCCCCACTCCCCAATGCCGCCGACGGCAGCGACGCGCCGCCGCTGTGCCGCGCGATGCCGGCGGCGGCGGCGGCCGCGCAGCTCGCCATGCGCGACTGGCGCAGCGCGACAAAGGGGCTGGCGGGGGGTGGCCTGGCGGCGGCGGCGTTGAAGCGCGTGGCCGTCCTCTCCACGGCGCCCACGATGGTGGTACCGCCAGCGATAGTACCGCCGCCGGGGCCGCCAGGCAGGGCCTGGTGCTGAATCGGCAGGCCCGAGGGCGGGCCCGCCGCCCCGGAGCTGCCAAAGGAATGCAGCGGCAGCAGGTGCTGGCTGCTGCCCGCCGACCCCACGCCTAGCACGCCGCGGAAGGAGCCCTCCTGTAGGCCCAGGCCGCTGATCTTTCCACCCGCGTCGGAAGGGTGCTGCGCCGGCTGCTGGTCAGGCTGCGCTAGCCCGCCGTTGGACTTAGGGGCTGCCGCCGGCGTGACCGCCCGCGCCCCGCCGCCCCGCTGCCTGCGGCGCCGCAGCAGAACCCAGGCGCCGGCGCCGGCCACCACCGCCACCACGGCGCCGCCCACCGCGATGCCGGCGATGGCGCCGGCAGACAGGCCCGAGCTGCTGCTGCCGCCGCTGCTGCTGCTGGGCGTGGCGTCTTTCACATACACCGCGGCAGAGGGGTTGGGAACCATGAAGCTGGTGTTGGCCCCTTCTGTGCGGGGGAACACCCCCAAGCGGGACGTTCCCTCCCAGGAGGCCGCCCGGTTTGTAGATGACTGCCGCACACGCCGGGTCGGCGGTGCAGAAGTTGCCCATCTGAGGTGGCGCCATGGCCAGCACACACTCCTCCAGATCCGGCCTGCACGGCAGCGGGGGCGTCGGTGCCAGGCGTGGGAACGGAACAAGGGCAGGGCAGGGAGAGCCCATGTGTCCACGATCAAGCCATGCCGGCATGGCATGGAGGCGGCACGGGAGGGAAGCAGGGGGCATGGGCGGCCAGCAAGGGACACGGGCGAGGCGGTTGGGCTCACGCCAAGGAGCCGTTGCACGCGTAGCCTGGCTGCCCAAACAGCCCAGCACCGTTGTACAGGGTGTAACCTTCCAGGTCTTGGGGCGGAGCCACCACCAAGGGAGCGCCCGCGGTGAAGCCGGCGGCCTCAGGCCCCTCAACCAGCACATAGGGGGGCCCTCCCGTGGAGGGCTCTGCGGTGAACTGGTACCGCAGCTCGCCTGCAGCGGACACGGGAGAGCAGCAGGCAGGCTGGGCCTCAACAGCCAGGGCGAGCAGGGTGGCGGGTCCAACCGGCGGGCTGCCGGCAGGGCAGAGGGCAGGGCAGGAGCTGATCCCGGCAGGCAAGCAGACAGCAGCGCCGGTCCCTCACATTGCTTGTCTTGCAGATCAATCAAGGTGCTGAGGTCCTCATACCTGCGGCGTGGATGTTGGTGGGAGAGCAGGCGGGTTGGGGAGCCCACGATCGGAGCAGGCGCCAGCCGGGGCAGCAAACCTCCCAGCACCAGACGCGCATCGGCCGCTACAGATGAGACGGGCGGCATCCAAGGACACAGGAGCCGCACGCCGCGCCCTACCTGCAGCCTCCTGTCTGGTTGCACCAGTGCCACACGTTGCACCGAGGGCTCCGCTTCCTGCACTCCCTGCAGCAGCCCTCAGCCGTGGGCACCCCATCCACGGATCCCACCAGGTCGCCTGCCATGATGGCATTGCCGTTGGCCACGATGCACCCCACCCAGCTGTTGTTGGAACCGCTGGTGCCATTGGCAGCGGCGGCAGCGGCCTCCAGCTCGGCGGCGGTGGGCTGGATGAGGGATGACTCCGCCTTCAGCAGGAACTTTCCAGTCTGCAGCGAGCAGGGAGCAGGATGTGTGCGACGCTTGGCGGCCAGCCTGGCATCAGCGGACCATCGCTATGCAGGCGCATCGCTGCCTCTGCTGCTGCTGCTGCGAACCCATGCCACGCCGCAAGCGAGCGGGCAACACCGATCAAGTTGATAATGCTGCCACTCCAGCATGCCCCGTCTCCTCGCCCAGCCCAGCCTCCCGCGCCACATTTGGTGGCCTCCAACAGAGGCTCACCGGCGCGCCATCCACCTTCTCCAGCACGTAAGTGGTGGGCGCCATGAAGGAGTTGGATGGCGCCAGGTTGGCGGTCTTGAGCACCGCCACCTGGCTGCTGCAGCCGTCGGTGCCGTTCTCATACACCATCACGCTGTTGCACTGGTCGGCCAGCGAGTTGCTGCAGGCCGCGCCCGCGTTGATGGCGGCGGAAAAGGCGCAGATGCCGGGCACGATGCTCTGGTTGCAGGGGAAGTCGCCGCCCACCACGCCCTGCGCCTGGCGCACCACGTAGCCGGGGAGCGCGGGCAGCACGCGGGTGCGGATGGGGAAGCCTGCAGGGCGCCAGGTGCATGTGAGCGCCAGGTGCATGTGAGCGCCAGGTGCATGTGAGCGTCAGTCGCATCCTTGCCCCGGGCTGTGTGGCAGCGCGGCGTGGGGGCGCGAACAGTCCCTGCACCCCGTGCACGCGCTCACCTGCAATCGACGCCAAGCCGGCCTCCTTGCCCCGCTCGATCACTCTTGGTATCAGCGTGCAGTTGGCGGCCATCAGCAAGCATTCCCTGTAGACCGCTGTGCGGTTGCCAAAGGTGCAGCCAGCCTGCACGGAGCCAGAAACCGCGTTGTCGGCAACTGCGGCAGCGGCCAGGGGGGCGGTAGCCAGCGCCGCAGCCAACCGCGGGCCTTCTGCCCGCCGGCCGAACCTGTGCGTTGCAGTAGTTGAACCATCCGCACCCGGAGGTGTTGCGGCACGCCGTGGCGCAGTCCCCAGCTTCAGAGGCGGAGAAGCCTTCGGTGTGGGCAATTGTGGAGAACAGCACCGTCCCGCCGAACGTGACTTCGGGGGCGAAGACAGCGAAGAATCCAGGCACATCCTCTGCACCAATGTACCCCTCGCTGGGGAAAAGGCCGTCGTGGTGGGCCGCGGCGCCCGCTGCCAACAGCAGCAGCAACCCCAACAGCAGCCTCATGTAGTACACATCGGAACGAAGAAGAAGAAGATGTGACCAAACACGGTGACTCAGGGGGAGAAACGGTGGCAGCGACTTTCCAGAGGAAGCCTGCCGCCACTCCCTCCCCACAGGAGGCTGTCAGGCTGGATCTGGAGGGTTCTGAGCTGCCGGCGGCGTCTGTGCATACAGTGATCGTCGTGATGTGCGAATCTGCACGTTGTAAGCCAGGGCACTGCGAACAAGGCGGCGAACCGCCGTCGCCGCCAGGCGGGGCGCAACGCCGCACCGCTCGAGAGCAGCGCGCGCTGTGGAAGTGACCAGGCCCGAGTGGGACACGGCGACAGGGAAGCAGGTGACCTGCCACCCCTGTTGAACCAACCGGAATCGGTAGACGAGCTGCCAGAAGCCTGCCTGGCCTCCCGTGCGTGCCCACATGGCAGTGAGCGGTGGCCAGGTGGCTGAGCGGCCAATGCGCTGGAATTCACTGCTGGTCTTGAGCAGCACTGAGATGGCCCTCCAGCAGCACATTTGGCAGCTGTACAGGCAGCTAAACCTTGCAGAGAGGGCACCTGGTACCCTGCACCGGCAAGCCCATCCGAGTCGCAGCTGGCGGCTTGTTGTTTCCCCCTGGACTACTGACACCAGCACGGTTCTGCCTGGTGTGCCTTCCGCACATTTCTGTGGTGTATGCCTTGGTTCTCAGGCATTGTACATTGTAGATGGGTGTGGATGGCCACCAGGGACAATGAATCTTCATCTTCGACGCGGGCGGCAAGCGGTGGCGAGGTGTTATCCACGTGTGGAAATTGAGGCTTGGCCGTGTCCGATGGGATGCAGCGGGTATTATGCTGCACCCTCGGGTTCTGAATGTGCCATGCATTGAATGGTTCAGGGAGCAACAGCATGGGGCGTCCCGGAGGCTGGCTGCTGAGGACGCTGGAGCTGGCGGAGCTGGTGCTTCACAGCCCTGGTCACCGCTGCCGCTGGCACTGCCCCTGCTGCCGCCGTCACACTTGCATGTGGCAAATAGATCCCCATTCATCACAATGAAAATTGCGCACCGCGCCAAGATGGTACGAAGTACCGGCTCCCCTCGCGCGAAATGCGCCAAAAGCTGGCCACACATTCAAATCATCGCCCCGGGTCAAAGAATGCTCCGTCGAGCAGATAAAATCGCCGCCCATTGTCAGCACCTACTGTCGCTCGCTCCGTCGCCGCCGCACGCCCCTACTTGGCATCATCAGCACAATGGCGACCATCAGCACCTGCACCATCGGCTTCCCGCGCATTGGTGAGCGCGGCATGGGTGGGACTCGGCATGATCAACGTTTGCAGCTGCAAACCCACGGCCTCCTGCATTGCCGGCTGGCTTGGCACTGGCCTGTGCTGCCTTCTGATGTCGCCGCGGGCAGCGGGACCTACCGATTGATTGCCGCCGCCGCCACCGCCACCGCTGCACCCTCCCCGATTGTTTAGGGTCCAACCGGGAGATGAAGAAGGCGCTGGAAGCCTACTGGGCTGGCTCCAACGACGCCCAGGCCCTGCTGCAGGCCGCTGCGGGCGTGGAGGCCGACGCGTGGCGCTGCCAGGCGCGCGCCGGCATCCAGCTCATCGCCCTGGATAGCACCCTGTATGACCACGTGCTTGACGCCACCTATGCCCTGGGCCTCATCCCGCCCCGCTTCAAGGCAAGATCTTGCACGGAGTAAACATTTTTTTTTTAACCTTTGTTGCTCACCCTCCCTTGTTTTTGCAAGAAATGCTTTCCTTTGCTCACCCTCTCCGCTCCCAACCCCCTGCGCCACCCCGCCGCAGGCCCTCCAGGAGCGCTCCGCCACGGGCGCCCCCGCCGCCGTCCCCGGCGCCGCAGCCCTGCCCGTTTACTTTGCGATGGCGCGGGGCGCAGAGGGAGCTCCCGCCTGCGACATGTCCAAGCACTTTGACTCCAACTACCACCACATCGTGCCGGAGCTGGATGAGCAGTCGGGTGGGTGCTGGTTGGGTGTGTATTCTGCTGGACGTGGTGGTGGTGGTGGTGTGGTGTGGTGTAGTGTAGTGTGTGCATTGTGGGGAGCGTGTGACAGCAGCGCGAGGCACAGCATGCGCCACCCCGCCCTGCCAGCCCCGCCCCGCCCTGCCTCCCTGCGCTGGGCCCGTGCGCGCGTCGTGGCTTCATCGCGAAGCGGCTGCTCCCGTCCCGCAAGCTGACCGCCATGTCCATGCAAGCTGACCCCTCTGCCGCTTCCCCGCTCACCCCTGCTGCAGAGCCCCGCCCCGACTGGTCCCTGCTGCTGGACAGGGTGAAGCGCGGGCAGGAGGCGGTGGGCCGCGAGCGCGCCGTGCCCATGGTTGTGGGTGCGCCTCCTGCCCAGCGCCCTCTGCTGCCCCGGCGCCCTGCTTCCCTGCCCTGGAGCGCCGCTCCCTCCCACCTGCTTGCCCGGTGGGCTCTGGCACCTGCTTCGGATGCGACAATGCAGAGCTGCGCGCCCATTTGCCGCCGCGCCTGGTCCCGCCGGCGTGCCAGCACCAGCCTTCTCCCGCCCTGCGGTGCCCCGCCAACCCGCTGACCTTTCGCGCTCCCAACCTGCGGCTCCCTCTCCCCCTGCTGCAGGCCCCAGCACCCTACTGGGCCTGGCCCGCGGCTCGTTTGACCGCTCCTCCCTGCTGGCCCGCCTGGCCCCGGCCTATGCCCAGTTGCTGCGCCAGCTGGCAGAGCTGGGCGTGCCCGAGGTGCAGGTGGGCGAGGCAGGGGGGTGCACAGGGGTGCTGGCGCGGGGCTGAGAGTTCAGGCATTCGGGCTGCTCCTCTCTGACTCTACCGGGGCCTAGGTTTCGAGCTGTCAGCAGGGCGCTGCAAGGGCTGTAGTTGCGGGGGCTGGGGAGGGGGTGAGGAGGTGTGGGGCAGGGGTGGGGCGGGAAGGTCGGGGCTGGGCCGCTTTCCCTGCCTTGCCCTGTGTCGGCCTCAGCTCACTGCATGCGCACTAGCCTGGCAAATGGTGTTTGGCTGATCGGAAAGCACTGGCACCTCTATGCCAGAGTAAGTCGGTTCGACTCCGACAGCACCTTCGCTCAGTGCTTGCTTGCTGCGCCGCTGCGGTCTGGTTGGTCGGGTTGTGGGGTTGCGCGGTCGGGCGAGGAGTGGGGCGGAGCATGGGAGGGCGGGGATGGGCAGGGTGGGGCAGGCTGCCCCTGCTCCTCTGGGGTGGGATATGGTAGTTGTTACGGAGGAAGGGATGGATTAGGGACAGAGGAAGGAAGGGATGGAGAGCTAGGGAAGAATGGAGGCTCCACGTGGCGGCAGGCAGCGCCAGCTGCAACTGGCAGGAGGCGGGCAGGAGCAGGGGCACGGTTGGCTGCGCCGGGGGGAGGAGCGGGCACTGCTGGGAACCCCTGCTCCTCCTCCCTCGCCTAAGCCCCGGCCCGCCCGGCATCTGCCTGCCTTCGAGCTGCGCCGCCGGTGCAGATCCATGAGCCCATCCTGACCATGAGCGGCTCCGAGGGGCTGGCCGCCGACTGCGCGGCCTGCTATGCCGAGCTGGCCGCCGTGGGCCTGCCCATCAACATTGTCGTGGCCTACGATGACGTGCCAGGCAAGGAATCAGCTGCAAGGCATGCCAGAGGCCGGCCGGTGCCAACCCGTTGATGTTTCTTTTTCAGCTGGGAGGCAGACCGCAGCAGGGAGTCGGGGAGCTAAGGCTGGGTGATGGCCAGAGCTGCCTTGTCCTCGTGCCTGCAGAGGAGACGTACAAGTGGCTGGTGGAGCTGCCCGTGGCGGCCCTGTCCCTGGACTTCCTGGGGGTGCCAGGTCAGCGGAGCGGGTCGCCAGCCTGGCGCTGATTTAGTTTTTGCATCCCCGCTCCAGCCCGACGCTCTGCTGGTCTGCTGTGCGATGCTGCCCCGCCGCTGCCGTGCTGCCGTGGCCGCCTGGCCGCCGCTGAGGAGCTGCTTCATCTGCGGCGTGCAGGAGCCGAATACGGCTCCAGCACCGCCCAGCACATCGCCAAGCACGGCTTCCCAAAGGTGTGGCGCGTGTGGCGCCTGCCTGTTGCCCCTGTGTGGGCTGGCGGGCTGCCTGGATGGATGGGCATGGTGCTGGTCCGCTGGCTGGTGGGCCGGCTGGCCCATCCCCTGCCTGCCGCCACCCCTCTGCCTGCAGAGCAAGCGCCTGGGCGCGGGCGTGATTGACGGGCGAGGCATCTGGGCGGACCAGGGGCAGGCGGCTCGCCTGGTGGCCTCGCTGCGGGCGCTGCTGGGAGAGGAGCAGCGCATTGCGGTGCAGGCGCGTGGCGGTGGCGGCGGCGGTTTGTGTTCAGTGTGTGTGGATGGCATGGTGGTGGTGGTGCGTGTGTTTGGTGGTGTGTGTGTGTGGATGGCGGGCACCAGAAACCGAACTCTCTTTGCCTCTACCACTCCCTGGAGCCGCCCCCCCACCNNNGGCCCCCCNGGCCCCCCCCAACACCCCCCTCCCCCTCCCCCCCCCACACACACACATACACACCGCATCCCACCCATTCCTTGCGTGCGCCTGCCCTCCCTGCCGCAGACCTCCACCTCCCTGCAGCACGTGCCGTACGACCTCGCCGCCGAGGAGGTGCCCCCCGCGGGCCTGGCCCGCCCGCTGGCCTTTGCGGTGCAGAAGCTGGGGGAGGTGGTGGGCACGGCCGCGGCCGTGCTGGGCGCCGCCCCGGGCGCCATCCCCGCCCTGGACCTGGCCGCCTTCACCGGCGCCCCCGGGGGCGCGCCTCGGGAGCTGCCTGCCGACATGTTCCGCCGCCCCGAGCCCTACGCCGAGCGCAGGTGAGCGGGTGGGACTACTGCCGGGGCGCGGCTGAGGCCGGCAGGCGGCGGCAGGCGCGGGCAGGGAGGGAGGCTGGAGCGGCGGCGGCCGCCGCGCTGCCGCCCTTGACGGCTGGATGGGTCGAGCCGCGCCCGCCTGCCCAGGCACACTGCGGCTGACCTGCCGTCCCGCATGCTGCCCTCCCTCCCTCCTGTGCCCTGCCGCAGGCCCAAGCAGGTGCAGTACCCGCCCTTCCCCACCACCACCATCGGCAGCTTCCCTCAGGTGCGGCGGGCGTACTGCTTTTACTGCTGTAGCCCGCCAGCGCTCTTACCGCGGCCTGCTGCCTGCTCGCTGGCATCTGCTGCCGTCTGTTTTCCTCTGCGCTGCTCTGTGCGCTTTACATATCCAGAGCGTGAGTGGCTGGTCCTGCCCTTCCCCTGCAGACTCCCGCCATCCGCCGCTCCCGCCTGGCGTTCAAAAAGGGGCGCCTCAGGTGCGGCCAGCGCCCAGCCGTCCCACCCCCGATTGCAGTTCGAGGCTGCTGGCAGGCACGGCACACCCAGCTGATTTGTGCTGCTCCGGACATTGTACCATCATACCATGGTACCGCCCGTATGTACTGCCCTGCAGCCAGGAGCAGTACCGCGAGAAGATGGCGGGCGAGATTGGCCTCTGCATCGGCGTGCAGGTGCGCACCGGTGTGCTCACCCCGCCTGTGGCTGAACGGCGCTCAATGGCAGCTGCCACCTCCCCTGCGGCCGCGCTGCTTGGCCCCACGCCCCTGCCCAGCCACGCGGCCGCCTGGCTCTGCCGCCCCTGCACCGCCGACGACTGCCCTCTACCGCCATGTACCGCCCTGTACCGCCCTGCAGGAGGCGCTGGGCCTGGATGTCCTGGTGCACGGCGAGCCCGAGCGCAGCGACATGGTAGAGTACTTTGGCCTCAAGCTGGGCGGCTACCACTTCACCGAGCAGGGCTGGGTGCAGAGCTACGGCTCGCGCTACGTGCGGCCACCCATCGTCACGGGCGACATCTCGCGTTCCGGGGTGGGTGGGGAGGCGAGCTGAGGTGGCGCTGTAGGGGGCTGAGGTGGCACGCTGACCTGGCATGCGGAGCGCCGGCAATTGCATCTCCTGGCTTGACCAGGATGCCTCAGTGTGGGGGAGCTGCACCTGGGGGTGTACCATCCGGCTGTTTGTCTCTGCCTGCCCATGCCTGCGCAACCTGGCACTGCCTCTCCCCTGCCAGCCCTAAACTCTCGCCCTTGCCCTCCGCCCTGCCTGCGCCTCGCAGCCCATGACTGTGCATGAGTACGAGCTGGCGCAGGGCCTGACCAGCAAGCCTGTGAAGGGCATGCTGACGGGCCCCGTGACCATCCTGCAGTGGAGCTTCCCGCGCCGCGACGCCACCCGGCGCCAGCAGGCGGAGCAGCTGGCGCTGGCGCTGCGCGACGAGGTGGCAGACCTGCAGGCGGCGGGGTGCCGCGTGCTGCAGGCAAGCGCGGGCGCACGCCCTCCCTTTTTTCTAGCTGTGTCTGTGTCACCCCAGGTCGTTCGCCGGTGCAGCTGCAGGGCCGGCAAAGGGCCTGGCGCACGCAAAGCCTGAGAACAGCAGCGCGCCACAGCAGCAGCAGCAGCAGCGGCAGCAGCTTGGCACTGCCGAACCGCGCCCTGCTTCCTCCTTCTCTGCCCCTGGATCGTGCAGGTGGATGAGCCTGCGCTGCGCGAGGGCCTGCCTCTCAAGGCGGGCCGCCGCGACGAGTACCTGCGCTGGGCGGTGGGCGCCTTCCGCCTGGCCACCGCCTGCGCCATGCCCGAGGTGCAGGTGCGTGCCTGGGCGTGCCTTTGCGGCTGAGTGCAGCCAGCGCACTTCAGCGGGTCCCTCCCGCAAGCGCCGAGCCGTGCCGTGCCTATCAGCTGTGTGCGCTGTGCCTTGCTGAGCCTCATCACGCCTGCTGCCCTCTCGAGGTTGGTTGTTCAGCGCCTACGGTCACTTTTGATTGATTCTTGAGCCCTGCTGAGCCTGCTGTGCCTGCTGTGCCTGGTGCCCTCCCCCAGGTGGTCACCCACCTCTGCTACTCCGACTTTGCCGACATCATGCCCGCCATCGAGGCCATGGACGGTGAGTCGTACCGCTGATGTACTGCTCACTGTACCGCTGACTGTATTGCGTCACTGGCTGTCACCGTTTTCGGCGGCGGGGGCGGCTGCACGCTGCTGTGGGGTGATGAGCTGCTGCCGTCGCATGGATCGCGCATGGTGCGACTGTCATCCAAATGCGGCTACTCTGCCACCTCTCTCCCCATTCCCTGCCCTGCAGCCGATGTGCTGACCATTGAGAACAGCCGCTCCGGCAACGAGATGATTGCCGCCCTGGCCGGCACCGGTGGGTCCGCCTCGCCTCGCCCCGCTGGGCCCCGCGCCCCCGCACCACACACACACACATACACTCAAGACCACACACCACACACGCACACCGCCACCTCCCTGCAGGCTACCCTCGCGACGTGGGCCCCGGCGTGTACGATGTGCACTCCCCTGTGGTGCCCACTGTGGGCTGGCTGGCCGACCGCATCCGCTCCTTCCTGGAGGTGCGCCGCCGAGGCTGTGCAGGTCCAGGCAGGGCCCCTCTGCCCCTCCCCTCTCGACCCTCCTACTCTGGAGGCCCCTCACACCGATCTCTGAACCCCTTGCCCTGTCCTGTGCGCCTGCTGCGCCGCTGCTGCTGTGCGCAGGTGGGGCTGCTGGAGGGCGATGCCTGCCGCATCCACGTCAACCCCGACTGCGGCCTGAAGACGCGCCGGTGAGCGGCCGAGCCGCAAGCCTGCAGCAGCATCCTGCAGCTGCGCCACCGTCCAGTGCTGCCGTTGCTGCCTGCTGCTGCTGCTGCCGCCACCGCTGCTGCTGCTGCTGCTTGCTGGGTCGGTGCTTGCGTTGCCGCGTGCTGGGGCCTCTGCCCGACGGCGCCGCCCACTGAGCCCGCCTGCTGCTGCTGCCACCCTTGGCGCAGGTGGGAGGAGGTGCTGCCCTCCCTGCGCAACATGGTGGCGGCGGCCCACCTGGTCCGCGCTGAGCTGGCAGCCGCGGACAGGCTGCGCCCCAGGCGCCCCACCACGCCCTACAAGCCCCACTCGGGCGCCGCCCAGCGCAGCGCCTCATGCGCCGCGCCCTGCTGCGCGCCCTGAGGCGCCGGCAAGCAGCAGCGCTTCAGCGGCGTCCAGCTCGCCGCTCGCGGCGAGTTGGGCGCCGAGGCCAGAGCGGCGTTTCCCGTCCCTGCTGGGCCACCGACACAGCCGTGCATGGCACAAGCCGTGCCACACCCCTGGCGCCGCCTGCCCTCAGAAGAGGGCCGGTGTGGCGACTTTCTCTGTAGCGTCTCCTTGAGCACATGCTCGCCCTGATACCGCCTGCCTCTGTCCCTAATGCCCATCCCTCGCCAATCTTTGATAGTGCCCTCTCGGCACAGCCTCCCCCTGATACTGCCTGCTTTTATCCCATACCCCTGCCCTCTCCTGAGCCTCCCCCCGTAGCGAGCTCCCTGGACGGCACCGCCGATTGATCTCGACTGCCTGCTGTTGTCCAGTCGATTGTCTGATGCCATGGTAGCGTTTGCATGGCCAAGAATGTGTAAACAGTGTGGTCTAGTGTCAAGCGGACGCAGGTGCCCGGCAGGAGCCTGGTCTCTGAGGAACCTGCTGACGTCCGCGAGCCCATGAATGGGTGAAGCCTGCCGCCGCCTCCCAGGCTCCATCCAGCCACCCCAAGCAGGGCGCATGGCCTCAGATGCACTTTCTGAGCACCGCCGCAGGCCCCGCCTCCTCGTAGTCTGCCTTGGTCAGGAAGCCGCCCGCCTGGGAGAAGGTGACGCGTGCCAGCACCGCGCCGCCCATCCACGCCGCGTGCCGCCGCGTGCCCTCGGGCAGATAGTCTGGCACGCCGCACAGCATGGGGGACACCTGCTGCGTGGACAGCGCCCGCACCTCGCGCAGCAGGCGTGCTCCCAGGCCCGGCGCGCCGCTGCCGCCGCCGCACAGCATCATGCCTTCCAGCCAGGCCTGAGGGGCAGGCACCGGGTGGGTGGGCAGGCAGGCGGCAAGGTGAGGCAGCTGGGAGAGGCCGAAGGCCAATGCAACATCCCAGTTCAATGCAACAGCCCAAGCAGCAGGAAGAGCAGGAGCATGCCAGGGACACACACCTTGCGCGTGTCCTTGTCTCCCTGCGCCGTGGCGGCCGTGTGCACCGCCTCTGACAGCCGCTCCACATCCAGCCCCAGCCGCGAGCCATCCATGAGCGCCTCCCCCAGCTGCAGCCCCTCCCGCTGCACGGTGATGGTCTGGCCATCGGGCAGCGTGTGCGTGGTGGGCTCTGCCGCGGCTGACGCCGCCTCCTCTGCGCTGCCCGCCACCCGCACTATGCTGCGGGCGAGGTCTTCTAGCGCGGGCGCTGCTCCTGCTGCCGTGCTGCCTCCTCCTCCTCCTCCTCCGCTGCCGCCGCTACTGCTGGTGCCGCCGAGGTTGATGCCGCGGGCCGCCAGCTGCGTGCCCAGGTGCTGCGCCAGCTGCTGGCAGCCGTAAGGCAGGCGCTGCGCGGTGGACAGCTGCGCCGAGCCCTCCAGGACTGGCACAACATCTGCACCCAGCGGGGCAGCAGCAGCAAGGCAGCTGGTGGGGAGAGTGCAGCGAGCGGCCAGGCAACTGGCAACGAGGTCCACGAAATCAGTCACCCATGCACCAGCAGACCAGCCAGCAGCGATGCTATGCCGCTCCTACCGCCACCTTCCCGCCAATAAAGCCCCGCCTGCACCCACTCCCAGCCCGCCCCACCTGTCTTTCCGTAGCCGACGTCGATGACGGTGCCGCTGACTCGCCCCAGGGCGTACAACGACAATACCGCCTGGTCTGCCGCATAGTACCCCGCCAGGTTGAACACCTCGAACATCAGCTGGCACAGCCGCTCCCGCTCATCGCGGCTGGCAAAGTTGGGTTCCGCCAGCAGCATGCCGCCCTCGTGGCCGCGCCGCCACCCGATCTGTGGCGCGTGGCAGGGCAGTGAGGGACGGTGGGCGGGGCAAGGGCAGTTGGAGAGGGCCAAGCGCATCAGCAGCAGCACAGGCGCCGCCCAGAGGGGTTTAGCTGCATGCAGGGCTTCCGCAATGCACGCCTCTATCATGCTGCATTCTCCGTGGACTATTCGCCGATATTTTGCTCGGCGGTACGTCGATCTATGCTGCATTCTCGTGCTGCGTCGACGCTGCCCAGCCCTGGCAGCAGTCAGCACCCACCCGCTCGTACAGCACATGGTCCAGGCAGGCCTCCAGCACATCCCAGTCGCTGATGGTGCCCTTCTCTAGGGGGCTGACAACCCGCCCCGCCGCTCCCGCCGCGCCGCCGCCGCCGCCGCCACCGCTGCCGTCTGTGCCGGCGGGTGTGGCGGGCGGGCCGTTGGGATCGCGCACCACGGCCTCCGCGGGGGTGATCTGCGGAGTCCAGTGGGGTGCAGGGTGATCTGGGAGAATAGCACCAGGGTGATCACCATCACGCGCCGCAGGCGTTGCCTGGGCTCACCACCCAAGGTTCTTGATCATTGGGAAACGGATCGGCCTTGCCAGCTCTAATGAAGCGGCTGCCAATGTCCACCACCGTCACGTCCATCTCGCCCTGGGCACTCCAGGCCCTTGCAGGCACTCTCAAGCAGCAGTGAATAGTGGTTATTCGATCCAACAGCCGCAGCGGTTGAAATGCCCAGGGCTGCATTTTTGCCCTGAGCTGGCGTTCGCCCCTTCGCATGTGCTGGCTCTTTGGCTCGCTGCCTGTGCAATTGAAACACATCCTTGATATTTGGCAATGCAACACTGAATTGCAAGCCCGCCATGGCCAGCCTGCCAGCTGCAAGAGCCGTTCTGGCCGCCTGCCTGCTGGGCTGCGTTCTCCCCCTGTACGCGAAGACCACCCACACCGAGGCTGAGAAGGCGAGGGCGCTGGAGACGCTGTTTTCGAGCATCGACGTGAACCACGACGGCCAGCTGGACGCGGCAGAGACGGAGCAGTATGCTGCGGCCAGCTTGGACCTGCTGCAAGAGGGGTGGAGCGCCCGCGACGCTTCCAACGCCGCCCAGGCGCTGGACGGCCCCGACGCCGGCGCCACCGTCTCAAAGGCGGAGCTGGCAGCGCACCTGACCGCGCTCCTGCAGGCATGCACCTGCTGCATTCGTGTGTAGGGGCTGCCGTTACGATGCATTCGTTGCCCCTGCACGCTGCTTGGGGCGTGCTGTGTTGTCCGGCCGGCCGCCCACGCGGCACCCGAGCCCGCGCCGCCGCCTCCGCCTTGCTGCCATCTGGCAACCAACCACGCCCTGCCCGTCCGCAGGACCACCGCGTCGAGGACTGGGTGAGCCACGGCCTCAACCTGCCGCAGTACGCCGCCGCCTTCCGCCAGGCCGCTATCACCGCGCTCGACTTCCCCTTCCTGGTCAGCGACGGCGGCGCCAGCCTGCAGGCAGAGCTAGGGGTGGTCAGCAAGCTGCACCAGCTGCAGGTGCGCATGCTCGTGTTGGGGTGGTGGTGGTGGTGGTGGTGTGTGTTTGGGTGCTTGGTTATGTTTCGAAGTGTGTGTTTGGGTGCCAAGTCGGGCGGGAAGGGACAGCAGGGTGTGCGGCGCCCGAGGAGAGCGGCAGCGGTGGCATGCCCGTGCGCGTGCGGTGCGGGCGCCTGACCTCCTCTCTGGCCCCCCGCTGCCGCTCCTGGCTGCGTCCCGCAGATCCTGCGCGGCCTCAAGCGCCTCATTCTGGGCCTCGGGGAGCTGCCCGGCGCGCCGCGCCAGCTGGAGTGCGCCGCCGCCAACAGGAGCGCGGTGCGGCTGAGCTGGCGGGCGCCGCGGGTGCCGGGCCACCCCGCCCTCCACAAGTACGCGCTGCAGCGGCAGCGCGTGGTGGCAGCTGCGGGCAGCGCCGGCGCTGCGGCGGCATGCGCGGCCGGCCTGGGCGACGGCGCCGGCAGCGGGCCCCGCCAAGGTGGCGTGTGCGTCGGCGTGGAGCGGTGGGAGGCGGCTGGGGAACCGGATGACGAAGACAGCAGCTGGGTGGACCTGCCGCCGGCCAGGGGAAGCTACCGGTACCGTCTTGCGGCCTGGAGCGCCTTTGGGCGCAGCGAGTATGCCGTCAGCGGCGCTGCCTGCGAGGTGCGGGCCGTGCACCAGCGGCCGCCGCCGTCCGCGCCGCTGCCGCCGGCCGAGGTTCAGGCGCTGCTGGCTGCGGTGGCGGCAACGGGCAGCCTGTCGGCGGGGCGCACGGGCGGGGCGGCGCCGGGCGGCGCAGCAGGCGCGGGTGTGTGGTCCTGGTCAGCGGCCAGCAGCGCGGCGGTGGTGGCCCTCACCATCCTCCTCAAGGCCAGCCAGCTGAAGGCAGGCGGCCTGCTGCTGGCGCTGTGGCGCAGCCTGACAGCGCGCGTCAGGCGGCCGGCGGCCGGCGCAGCAGCAGGAGCAGCAGATGGAGCTGAGCAGCAGCAGGAGCAGCAGCAGGAAGGGGGCCGCGATGCAGCATGGGCCGGCATGCCGCGAGCGAGGAGTAGCCAGGCGCTGCTGGCCGCCCTTGGCAGCGGGGCGGCGGCAGCAGACGAGCAGCAGCAGCGGGTGGGGGTGGCCAGCGGCGGCTCCATGCTGCGCAGCTACAGCAGCACACAGCTGCTGGGCGAGCAGGGCGGGCAGCTGGGCAGTATGGGGGTGGAGGCCGCGGGCTGGGATGCGGCGGCAGAGGCGGGCGAGATGGACGACGCAGCTGCCGAGCAGCTGCAGCTCGCAATACAGCGCGGCACCCGCTGCGCCCACCCCGGCTGCCACCGCCGGTTTGACCGCTTGAGGGACATGCGTCGCAAGCTGGAGGCGAGTGGGGGCTGCGTGATGGGTGGATTACCTTCCCGTGCCGGCTGCCTGCCATCCGCTGCCACAGCTGCGGCGTGCCATCCATGGCTGACAGGCCTGCTCTTGGGTTCTCATCCTTCTGAAACTACTGCTGCTTGCCGCCACTTTTCCTGGGTGCAGAGCCACTACTGCTGCCTGTGCCAGTACATGTACTGCCTGCAGCACACCCGCATCAGTCCCCACGGGCCACGCGGCGGCTGCGGGCTGGAGAGCCAGTGCATCTGCCATGCCTGCTTTGCCGAGCTGGCGCCCGCTCAGCAGGCAGCTTGCGAGCGCAACAACCGCCTGCCCAGGTCCAGCGCGCCGAGCGCAGCGCCATCGGCGGCTGATGCAAACGGAGCTCCGCCAGTGGGGGACTCGCTAGCACCTGGCACCGCAGATGAAGCAGCAGGCAGTGCGGATGCGACTGCAGAGCCGACGACGACCCTGGAAGCAGCGGCTTCAGCTGGTGCTCCTGAAGAGCTGCAGCCTGCAGCTGGCAGCGGCAGCAGCCCCCTGTCTGTGGCTCGCCAGCGCTGGCGGACGGCTGGCGCCGCCATGCGGGCGCTCGTGCGGTTCAAGGCCGCAGGCAGCAACTCGACCTCCCCTTGCTGATCCCTTGCTATTCCTGCAATTGTAACTGGTTATTTGAGTGTGAGCTGTTCTGCATGCTCAATGATGCATCATAGGTGCCTGGTCCCCGCCCGCCAGCTCAGCCAGTGCGGCAGGAAACCCACAGGGATGCCATCAGGTGTTGAGCGTGTCATACTTCTTCTCCTTCTTTGTTCACGACGTGCGCCTACCCATGGCGGTCGCCTACCCACGGCGGTCGCCATGGGTAGCGTGCACCAGTCCCGCCCCGCGCAGGCGCACGCATAGACCAGTGGCCGCGCAATGTGGCATGTCAGACGGCGGACCCAGCGCCTCCCGATGCGCTGCACCCCACACCGCCGCCGCCTGCAGTCGCCGCCTGGCGGCGGCGGCGCTCTTGGCGGCAGCAGCAGCGTGGCCGGCCGCAAGTCCCCCAGCGCGGGCGGATGCTGGCAGCGCCCCGGACGCAGGCAGCTTCTACGCACGCTGGCCCTATGTGCAGCCTGGCGACATCCTGCCATATCTGCGGGCTACTGCCGCCGCTGGGGATGTCGACTCTGTGCTGGCGGGCATCGACCGTTTTGCCGGCTACTACCCAATGTATAGGTCGGTATTCGCTGCCTCTCAAAGTGAGGCCGGTGTCCCAGATGTGGATTCTGTAGCAGATGCAGGATGCGGCAGCAGATGGTGCGCCTTTTTATTGCCCGGCCCGTGCCAGGTGCACACACGCCTCGCCCCTGCGCCGACTGCCCGACAGGTGCGGCCCCGAGAAGGGTGCCATCCTGGAGCGCCTGGTGGCGCGGCAGCGGCCGGCGCTGGCGCTGGAGCTGGGGACGTTCATGGGGTACGGGTGCGCTCGCATCGCGCGCCAGCTGCCGCCAGGCGGGCGCCTGGTCAGCATCGAGGCCCGCGAGGAGCAGGTGCGGCTGGGTGGGCAGGGAAAAGGGCTGCCTGGCTCGCTGCTCGCTGCGCCTGCTTGTGCCGCTGTGGCTGGCTTGTGCTAGCCAGGTAGCTGGACTGCAGCTGCCCTGCCTGGCTCGGTCTGCGCAGTGTGCCAGTGGGAAACGCGCAGCGCAGCGTTTGCCGCGCCCAGGGAAGGCTCGCCGCCACCTCCCAGCCCTGCCCGCCGCCGGCTCCGCCCGCGCCGCTGCCCTGCGCAGGCCGCCGTCGCCCGCGAAGTGCTGCGCCTGGCGGGCCTGCCGGTGGGCGAGGGCCCCGAGGCTCGGGTGCAGGTGGTCAGCGGGCTGTCTGGCGACGTGCTGCCGCGGCTGCGGGAGCTGGCGGGGCTGCACGTGGGGCAGGCTGCTGGGCTGGTGTTCCTGGACCACTGCAAGCCGGTGGGTGCGCTGGGCGGGTGCACTGGGCGGGCGTGTGTTGTGTTTGTGTATGGGATGGGCAGGCGGGGATGCAAGAGGAAGAAGATGCGCGTCAGTGCATCTGTGTCGTGGCGGGCAGCGACAGCAGCTGTGGCCCAGCCAGTGCATGAACTGCTGCCCTGCCTGCTGTCCCAAGCTCGGCCGCCACGCATCTCCGCCCCTCGACCCGCCCCTCCTCCATGTCCCCGCCTCTGCCGCAGTGCTACCTTCCCGACCTGGTGTGCATGGAGGAGCTGGGGCTGGTGGGGCCCGGTACCATGGTGGTGGCAGACAACGTGATGGTGCCGGGCACGCCAGACTATCTGGAGCATGTGGGCGCCGGCACCGGGCTGCTTGGCCTTAGCGCACTGACACCAGAAGCGGTCAGCAGCAGCAGCGGTGGTGGCAGTGGCGGCGGCATCGGTACAGACGGTGCAGATGGTACGGAGCGGTATTGCACGTACCGCACCGAGCTGCTGGCCACCATGTTTGAGATGGAGCAGCGGTGGAAGCCAGACTGGCAGCCGCAGCGGGATGCCATGTCGGTGTCTATCTGCCTCCCCGGCACGCCAGCATAGCAAAACCAAGCGGTCGGTGGGTTTGCACGGTACTGCCTACGAGTTGTGCCATCTCTTGATGCAAACTTCATTACTCGTGATTCCAGATCACTTGTGCAGCATGACATCTCACACCCAGCAGGCGTCAATCAAATTATGCAATCCATGAGCGATGGCTGGCCGGGGCTGCAGTGCCGCGCCGCCGGCCTGGTGCCTAGGGCTGCACCGGCTGCTTGGCCAGCCACTCCAGCACATCCATCGTCTGCCCCGCGCCTGCAGCACGGCGCCAGCACACCGAGGAGCACAGGTGGTCATCCGACCCCTCTGCTATGCCTTGGTGCCACCTAGTCACAGACGCATATTCCATGCTTCCGCAGCAAGCATGCTCTTGCCTGAAAAGGCAGTCAAGCAAGGACCAGCGCCCACCTGCCCGCGCCCTGAGGCGGCCGCTGACGAGGCGCACCGACAGCTTGGCGGAGCCCAGCTGGTACTGGCAGGGACCGCACTTGCGCAGCGGCACGCGCAACCCTTCCCTGCGGAACAGCTGCAGCAGGCCCTGCAGAGGCAGCAGGCAGCAAGGACAGGCCCGCAGGGTGTGCGCCCAGCAGCATCCGCAGCCGGCCACCGATCCAACTCGCCACCCAACCGCCGGCGAGCCGAGCGCCTCTGGCTGACAGGCCCGGGCCAGCCTGCTCGCCGGACTGAATGCGAGACGCATAGCCCCGCGCCGCCCCGCCACAGCAGCTGCAAACAGGCCCCGAACAGGCTCGTTGTGAAGGTCAAGGCAAGCCCCGCGGCGCTCACCTGCACCATGGGCTCTACCTTGCCAGGCTCGCTCTCAACAGCGCTGCTGCTGCTGAAGGCGGAGCGCGCCCAGCGGCTGGCCTGCTGCCCCGCCTGGCCCGCCACCACTGCACCGCAGGAAGCAGGAGGGATCAGAAGCAGAGGTGCAGCCATGGCCCAGGCCTGCTGATGCAGAGGCGCACAGCACAGAGACATGCAGAGAGCAGGCACGGGTGGCCCCCAGGCCCCCCCAGGGCCACAACACCCCAACAGTGCCTGCCTGCCTGCTGCTTGCTAGCATGCCCTGCCACCGCAGCCCCACCTGCATGATAGGCCTCCTTGATCTCCAAGAAGCAAGGGTCCTGACCGTACGTCCGGCGCGGCGCCTTGCCGCCAGGCGTGGCCGCCGCTGAGGTGGCGCCAGCGGGGCGCAGCCGTGGCGTCGCGTGGCGGCCTCCCCGGGCGGTGCATGCGGTGGCGGGGACGTGGCGCGCCGACATGGGGGGCCCTGTGGCGGACAGCTGGTGTGGGCGGTAGGCAGGAATGAGCGCCTCCTCCTCTGCAGGTGCTGCCGATCGAGCCGATCGAGCTGTGAGCTGCCACTGCTGCGCCGCCGCCAGCAGCTCCTGCTGCGCCGGCGACACCGCCCGCCGGGCCGTGAGCAGCGGCGGCGCCAGGTCTGCTGCCGCTGCCCCGCCCGCGCCGCCTGTTGCCAGCGGCGGCAGCCCGGGCGGGCGGCGACAGCTGGCGGGAGCAGGGACCGGAGAGGAGGCGCTGGTTTCGGCTGGAGAGGCGGGCGGCGGGAAGCCCGGCGCCGCGGCTCCGTCAGCGGCCGCCACAACATGAGCAAACAGGTCGGCGCTGCGCGTCTGCTGCTGCTCCGGCTGCTGCTGCTCCGCCGCCTCCTCCTGCTGCTGCTCCTGCTGCTGTGCTGCCGCCACATGCTGTTGCAGCTGCTCCAGGCTGATGGTGGAGAGCTGCAGGCGGGGCACCTGCGGGGGGCGCCCCAGTGGCTGGGCCGAGGCCGAGGGGCTGAGGGCCGATGAGACCTCGGCTGGCGACTCTGGCGGGGACTGGATGCCGCCGCCGACGGCGTGGCCTGCCAGCGCCAGCGCCGCCCTGCTGAAGACCTGCGGGCCGGGGGGCAGGGTGCCCGGTCCAGTGGCATGTTAGCCCCACCACCATAATCGCACGCTAGCCACCATACGGTATGTTAGCCCACCACCACAATCTCCCACGGCTGTAATCACATATAGGCATGTAGGCAACAGCCAAGATCCAGAGCTTTCTCCGCATCATCCCTGCTTCCCCACCCACCCACCAGCCGACTCGCACCTTGTGCACCGGGATGCCCAGGGCCTTGAGCGCCCCGCACGCCGCCGCCACATGCACCTTGAGCTGCTGGCCCTCGTGGCGCGCCGCCGCCGCCCGCTCCTGCCACTCCCCCTGCGCCGCGGCCGCCCTGCGCAGCTCGGCATGCGCCTGCTCCGAGGCCTGCTGCGCAGCCGCCAGCTGCTGGCGCAGGCCCGCCGCCGCCTCCTCGGCTGCCTGCTGCTTGGAGGCAGCCGCAGCCAGCCGCGCCGACAGCTGCATGCACAATAGAGGCGACGGCGTTGGGGTGGGATGCTTCAGCCTGATGGCCCCATGCCACACAAGCCAGTAGCACCAAAGCCAGCGGCAGCAGCTGCCTTGCAGACGCACCTGCTGCTGCCGTGCCGCCGCCTCGCCCAGCTGGCACTGCAAGTCTCCCGCCTGCTGCTCCAGCGCATGCGCCTGCTGCGCCAGCCCAGCCGCCCGCTCCTCTGCCGCCTGCACAATAGTCAAGACACGGCGGGGCATGGAATGAATGCACCATGCAGTTTCCATGCTTCCGTCCCCAATTGCTCCCTTTTCCACGCGTCCCGCTTCCACACACACTGTCTGTGGGCTCCACAGGCTGGCGCCGCCCCTGCTGCTGCCCCGCTCCGCCCCAACCTGCGCCCGCTGCTCTGCGTCGTCGGCGCGCTGCTTGAGCGAGTGCAGCTGCACCGTCCTGGCCTCAAACTCCAGCTGCGCAATCTGCAGGCTCTGCTGCAGCTGCACCACCTCAAGCTCCAGGCACAGCAGCTTCTCCACACCCCCGGGGAGCGCCGCCCCGCCGCCACCGCTGCCGGGCACGCCGACCGCCACGCCTGCGGCCCTCGGGGAGGGTGGCTCCCCCGGCGTGTCGGGCGGAGGCGCGGCAGGTGCAGGCGCCTGGTCCTGCGGGGCAAAGGTAGTTGTGAGGAAGGAAAACAGCCAGCAGCGAAGGTTGCCAATGCCTGCACCAGTCCACAGCGGGGCGGCCACCCAGCGGCCCCACCTGCTGTGCGCTTTCCTGCCCTTGGCCTGCTAGCAGCTGCTGCAGCATGCTCATGACTGCCTCCATGGCTGCGCCGGGGATGTCGCCGCTGCTGCTGGGGATGGCCACAGCCTCCTCCTGGGTCGCCGCTGCCTCGCTGGCTGGCGCTGCTGGCAGGGGCGGGGCTGCTGTCAGCCGCGGCGTGGGCCCTGACTGCTCCTGCAAAGCTGGCTGCTCCTGCATCGCAAGCTGCTCAGCTTTAGGCTGCTCGTCCAGCACAGCATTGCAGGGTGGCTCGGGTGTTGCTGCTCCTTCCTGTGTTGCCGCGAGAGGCGGGTGGCTGGCGGGTGGCTCAGTAGGGCTGCATCCCTGCTCGGCAGCCATCTGCAGCTGGCTGCATATATCTATGCAGCCAGGTGGCTCCTCCTCCGCATGCGGACGGCTTATCTCTGCTACTCCCTGCTGCTTCGCCGCCACCGGCGTGGCGGCGCCGTCGCTGCCATCACCGCCGAAGCATCCTTGTTGCGGGGCGTCCAACGCCGCTGCAGCTTCTCTAACAGCCCCGCTGCTGGCACAGTCGGGCAGCCCGGCCGAGCTGTCGTCCGAGGCAGCTGACGACGCGCCATACCGAGACAGCGGCGAGCCGAACGACTTCACGGGCGTGCCCGCCAGCATCAGATGAATAGCCACGGCAACACCGTCGCCCCAGCACAGCAGCTCAAGCTCCACGGCCTCCATCGCCCGACCACAACAGCTCGCAACAGTTCGCACAGTCCCAGCCCTGATTGTGCGGCGGCTCAGCTCCGCAGCTATGTGTGAGCCCTGGGTGGTCGCGAGGCCTGGCCTGGCCGGGCGAAGTTCATGCTGCGCCACGCTGTGCGAGCCGCCGCCGCCAGGTGCGTTGCCGCTTTGACACTTGCTGTGCCCCTCAGTCAAGTGATTCCAACAGTTGGTTTACACGGTGCTGTTTGGTTGAGTTCATTTATGATCATGCTGGGCGGCATGCTCGCGGCCCTCTGCCGCCAGCCCTCACCCCAGGTTGTTCTTGTTTGCGACAGCGTGGCACAGCGGGCTGTCCAGGTACGCTTTGACGCCCGGGATGGCTGCAAACTGCGCATGGTGAGCTGCCAGGTCGGGGTACTCCGCTGCAAACTTGTCAGCCCAGACCCTCAGGTGGAGGTCCGTCATGTTGTAAAGCGTGGCATCGGCGATGCTCACTGCGCTGCCCACCGCCCAGCCGCCGCTGCCATACTTTGCCACCAGCTTGGAGAGGTAGGCAAAGTGGGCGCCCGTGTTGCGGCCACCGGTGGTGGTGGGGTCGATGTGCGCGGTCCAGTAGGCTGCCTTGGCCTCTTCAGACTGCGACGCATGATTGGCACAACACGCAGCAGTGGGGTGAGAGTAGCGAGGAGTCGGGAAGGGCTGCCAAGCAGGCAGGCAACGGCAGGGAATGTTCCCTGCAGGAACCGGAGGTCCTGCCAGGAACCACAATGCACTCACCAGCTGGTCTGTGTATATGAGGTCCAAGTACTGCAGGGACACAGCAGCGGTACCGGCACATATTCAGCAGCAGGTAGCATGCTACGGAGGAACCATGCAGGGGGAAGGAGCACGCTCACACACTTGGCAAGCAGCACCTTCAGCCAGCGGGAGCTGTCTGCAGCAGCAGCAACACACACGGCCTGCCCTACCTTGCGCTTCACTGCCTCCACACCATCCACAATCATATCGATGGCCGCCGCCTGCTTCAGCCCGGTGCCATACATTCCGTGCTTGCGCCCTGCGGCAGCACAGGTCGAGGGGTGCAGTTGTTGAAGGTGCCAAAACAGCGAGGACCTGCCCCAGGCTTTGGTACAGCAGGAGGACACGCACGCTGGCAGGCAAGGCACATCAGGGCTGCTGCTCACCAATGTGGTGCAGGATGGTGGTGGACTGGCAGATGTCCACCTCATCGTCGGCATACCTGCAGAAAGCGGCAGGGAAGGGGCGGACGGAGGCAGCAAAGGGACCCGATTGGGTGGTGATGCCAGTGGAAGAAGGGCTGCCTGCCCTGTTGCGCCTGCTGCTGCACCTCAGCTGAGGCACCTCCTGCAAGCAGGGCTGCGAGCAGGGCCGCAACAGGGTGGACACGCGCCTGGGGCACTGGGCAAAGGGGTAGAGTTCGAGGTTGCTCTTCATCTCGCCATAGTCAATGCCTTGCACCTCAAACTCAACACCGAGCTTGGCCGCCAGTGCCAGCCGGATGGGCTCGGCGCGGCCTGCGGCAGGTAAGGTTTGGAGACCACGAGTTGGTATGAGGATGACATGGGGATGACGGCAACCATGCAGCGCAGCGGCAGCGCCAGGTGCCCAACTGGGCAAGGTGGCGGCGGTGACGGGAGCCGCGCTGCAGGGAGCGGGAGGCGGCAGGTGGTCCCCAGGGGCAGTGAAATGGGGGGCGCTCACCCCGGAAAGGGAAGTAGAACACTGTCGGCTTCATTGCGGGAACCGCCAGGCCTGGCATGTGCGAGTGTCTCGTGGTTTCCGCACGGAAGTAGCAAGGGGAGTGGAGTGCAAGGAGAGGCTGTAACACGACGCTTTATAGTCGGGGGAGGGGGCTCGGTGAGCCGTTAGGTGAGCTCCCCGCCGCGACGTGCCTGCTGTGGTATTGGCCGCTTCATGGCGCCAAAGCCTCAACGGCTTCATCTGTGCCTGATTTGGTGCAGTTGACAGGCGTACATATAGAGGAAATTCATCATAAAATTGAAACACATATAACAGTGGCGAGCATCACAAGTCGAAACCGGGGCGGCCTCCCCAAACGGGAGCATCCGCCGGCGCAGCCGCCGGCGCAGCCGACGACCCACTGCCGGGGCCCTGCTGCTGCTGCTGCTGCTGCTGCCCGCCCATGCCGGCGTCAGCCCAGGCCGTTGCCGTTCACCTTGAGGCATGCACAGCGAGCGAATGGACATGGCGCTTCATTGCGGGGCGGCAACATGCGGTCGCCGCCGCCACGGGACCCGGCCCAGCTTTGTTGCCACTCCTGCCAGGTGGCGCCTCACCCCAGGCCGTTGTTGTTCACCTTGGCCATGCGCCCCGGACTTTCCAGGTAGGCCTTCACCCCTGGGATGGCCTCCACCTGCTTATACACCGCCGCCAAGTTTGGGTAGGCTGCCGCAAACTTGTCCTCCCCAAACGCCCGCTGGTGCACGTCGACAATGTCAAAGAGAAGGATGTCGGCAATGCTCAGAGCGCCGCCCACCGCCCAGCCGCCGCTGCCGCATTTTGCCACCAGATGGGAGAGGTAGGCAAAGTGGGCACCGCCGTTGCGGCCGCCGGTGGTGGCGGGGTCGAAGTGTGCGGTCCAGTAGGCTGCCTTGGCCTCCTCTGCCTGCACACGGCGAGTGTCAATGGCATGCAGGGGAGAGAATGTCAGGTCGAGAAGGACTGGCGCGGCACTGCGACATAGGGAAGTGCAGCAGCAGCACCACCGGAATGGGCCGCAGTGGCGGGTGCAGCAGCCCACAGCTGCACACCCAACGCTCACCAGCTGGTCTGTGTAGATGAGACTGAGGTACTGCAGCAGCATAGCAATGAGCAAAGGCAATGAATAGCAGCAGCAGCAGGGGGCAGCAGTCTGCAGCATCAAGGCAGGCAGCCAGTATAAATCCCGCACGGCAGGAGTGGGCTGGGCTGGCGCTTGCACCGCTGAGGGGGTTACCTTGCGCTTGATGTCCTCCACGCCATCTGCCAGCATGTCAATCTCTGCCGCCTCCTTCAGCCCCTTGCCGTACAAGCCGTGCTTGCGCCCTGCACGGAAGATCACAGAGAATCCTGGCGTGTGTGGGGCTGCTGCTGCGAGGGACAAGGGGGAGGCGGGCGGTCGGCTGCTTCTGGTGGTGCGCACCGATGTGGCGCAGGATGGTGTTGGACTGAGAGATATCTCCATCCTCATCCACAAACCTGCTCAGCGAGGGGCAATGGCACCGGTAGGGAAGCAGTGGGGCGAGCGGAAGCAGAACTGCTGCAACAAAGAGCGCGGAGCAGCGCCTGCCTTGCTGCAGGGCTGCTCACCGAGGGCACTGGGCGAACGGATACTTTTCCAGCGCGCTCTTCATCTCGCCATAGTCCACAGCCTGCTCTTCATACTCAATGCCCATGGCCACCAGCGCCAGGCGGATGGGCTCGGCGCGGCCTGCAGTGCACGGTGTGTGCAGGCGGGGGGTGAGCGCTGGCGGGAAGCAGCGCAAGGCCGGCGGGCAACAGCTGCCGGAACCCTTCTGCCGCGACGCAGCCACTTCAGGGGTGCATGCAGCAGCTTCAGGGTGCTCAACAGAGCCCTACTGACCCCTGATCGGGAAGTAAAACACAGTGGGAGTCATGGATGTCTGTGTTCCGGGCCTGCGACTGTCTGGCCTGCCGGGATGCTTGGCTAGTTTGATCGGCCCAATTCGGGCTGTCGCGGCGTCCGCGGATGATGTCAGCGCTCGCCTGATGGCGGGACAGTGAAGTACTGCTGCGCCTCCTCGTTTGCGCGTGATCGGCCTCTGGGCAATGCAAGAGAGCTTGGGTTGGCTGCACAGGAAGGTTGCCGGCGCTGGTGAACCATTTGACCGTCCCCACTTGCAAGGCATCTCCAGAGTGGCGGCAGGCAGTTTTGTCACAACCAGCATGCTGCACGGCAGCAGCACAGCGGTGGGCTGCGGCCCCAGGCCGCCAGTCATGCTGCTGCCCCGCCCCAGCCCCTTTGCCCCTCGCGCTCGACCACGGGCCTCCAGGCACCGCCTCTCGTGCCGGGCAGTCGACTCGCAGCAGCAGCAGCAGCAGGTGGACAGGGCGTCACCGGCGGCAGCAACGGCGGAGCCGGCGGCGGAGCAGCCTGCGGCTGCGCCCCACCTCGAGTGTTTTGACACTGGCCTGGGCGTGGAGTGCCGCATAGTGACAGACGGCCCGGAGCACGTGCCCGTGGCCAGCCCCGACGAGGAGGCGCAGGCGATGCTGGAGCAGGCGAAGCAGCTGCCGCACCAGAGTGGGTGCTGCTGCCGCCAACTGGCTTCCTGCCTCAAACCCAAAGCATGGCAGCAACAGTGCAAGTTGCCCGTAGGGAAGAGTTGGGGTCGCTCCGCCAGGCCGCAGCCAGCCACGGCCTGCTGCAGGCAGGGCCGCTGGCGAGCGCCCACGGTAGTTGGGCCAGCGCTGCTTACCACACCACCTGCCGCCGCTGCCGCCGCCTCCCGCACGCAGGCCCCACCTCTGTGCTGGATGTGCTGCTGCTCATCTCTCCTTTCTTCTTCTGGGGCACCAGCATGGTGGCCATGAAGCAGCTGGCGCCACACACCACGCCGCTGCTGGTGGCCTCCTGGCGCCTGCTGCCGGCGGGTGCCGCGCTGCTGGCCTGGGCCGCCGCCTCGGGGCGCAAGACGCCCACCGACCCGCGAGCCTGGCTGGCCATGGCGCTGTTTGGGCTGGTGGACGGCGCAGCCTTCCAGGCAAGCTGCCGCCGCGGGCAGCACCCGCCTCGTGGCTCTTGCTCGCAGCGCTTGGGCCTGTCGCTGCCGCCTGGCTGCTGCTTCTCAACTGCGCTGCGCCCACCTCGCATCTCCCTGCTGTTGCTCCACCACGCCCTCCCCCGGTCCCGGCCCTTGCCGCCGCTGCAGGGCTGCCTGGTGGAGGGCCTGCAGCGCACGTCTGCGGGGCTGGGCAGCGTGATCATCGACTCCCAGCCCCTCACAGTCGCCCTGCTTGCCTCGCTGCTGTTTGGCGAGAAGCTGGGGTCGGCGGGCGTGGCAGGGCTCTTCATCGGGGTGGCAGGCCTGTTCCTGCTGGAGGTGCCGCCCTCGGTGCTGACCTCCCTGCCAGACTCGCTGGCGGGAGCGGCCTTCCAGCTGGCAAGCAGCAGTGGCGATGTCGGCAACAGCGCGGCCGACGCGGCGGCGGCTGCGGCGGCCGCCGCCAGCAGCAGCGGCGCCGCAGACCTTGCCGCGGCAGCAGCAGGAGCAGCGGCAGCAGGTGGCGACAGCAGCGGCAGCGGGGGAGGGTGGTCCCTTTGGGATAGCGGGGAGTGGTGGATGCTGCTTGCGGCTCAGTCCATGGCTGTGGGGACAGTCATGGTTCGCTGGGTGGCCAAGTATTGTGACCCAGTGGTGGCCACCGGCTGGCACATGCTGCTGGGCGGCGTGCCGCTGCTGGCGCTGGCGGCGTGGCAGGAGGGCGCAGAAGCGCCCGAGCGCCTGGCGCAGTTGACGGGTGCGGCGTGGGAGGCGGGGGGCACCAGCGCAGCGCTGCCGCCCTGCCTGGTGCCCGCCTGTCTGCCCGCCTGCCAGCCCTGCCGTCACTGCTGCGCTCCAGGCGGCAACCGTCCCATCCCATCCTCCCCATATACCAACACGGTGTGCTGCCGTGTGCCTGCCCCCGTGCAGGCCTCGATGCCCTGCTGCTGCTCTACATGTCGCTGCTGGGCTCGGCCGCCAGCTACGGCGTCTTCTTCTACAACGCCTCCCGCGGCAACCTCACCGCCCTCTCCAGCCTGACCTTCCTCACCCCCATGTTTGCCGCGGCCGGCGGCTACCTGGCGCTGGGCGAGACGCTGACCCCGCTGCAGCTGGCTGGGGCCAGCGTCACGCTGGGCGCCGTCGCCCTCATCAACAACCACAGCCACAGCGAGGAGGGCGAGCCGCGTGGCCCAGGCAGCGGCAGCAACGGCAGCGGCTCTGGCGGCAGCAAGCAGCCGGCGGCAGAGTGATGTGCACAGGGCCAGCTGGGGTGCCCATCCCCGCTCCAGACACTCTGCACTGCACCAGGCACGCAGCTTGTTTTCAGATGCACTGTTTCCCCCTCTGAGCATTTCGTGTTTTCATCTCGTTCCCTGTATATTACTGCAGCCCCACATCGAATCGGCGCCTGCATCAGCGAGTATCATCGTACTGCCTTGCAGTGGACCTGTATATCTCGTCCAGTTTACATTTGCAGTTGTGGAGCTTGGTTGGTGCCCAGCAAGTTCAGTTGTGCCGCAAGGTAGAAACAAAATCAGAAACAGATGCAATGGAGCGGAGCAAGTGCGAGTGACAGATGGCAGGGATGGCTCTGAGAGGAGTTGAGTGCTGGATGGTGGTACACAATTCTGAAGTTGAGATTGGAAGGAGTCAAGGCGGCAGCTTGAGTTTGAGGGTGAGGGTGAGGGAGGGTGGTGCAATGACCAAGAGCGGAAGAGAAGACAGGGAAGGGGGGAAAAGAGGCAGGGGCATTGGAGGGAGGAATCGAATGGTTGGGAGCGTACGCCCGTAGGCATTGACATCACATGAGCAGCGACCAAAAGTGGCTGATGTGATGCTGGTGTGATCTGAGGAAGGAAGCACAGCGGCAGAAAGATCGAGACAAAAGGAGGGAAGGCGGGCGCTACTGCCCGGGCAGCGAGCGCAGCCGGCGCCTGGACAGGCGGGTGCAGCCAGTGCGCGCAAGGTTGAGCTTGAAACCGGAGGCGCACGCGGTGCAGGCGATGCCGGTGCAGCCGGTGCAGCCGGTGCCGTATAGCTTGGGGCAGTCGCGCAGCAGGCACTGCCCAGCAAGGTTCTTGGCCCAGCCGGCGTTGCAGCGCAAGCAGGCGCCACTGTAGGTGCACAGCGCGCAGTTGGCGGAGCTGGCGCTGCCGCAGGGGCACTTGCTGGCGCACTGCATCCAAGGGAAGCGAGCGAGGGTGGCAGCAGGTAAGGCAGGGGAAAATGGGGCAGCGCCCAGCAGAGGAGCTGATGCAGCGGCCTGCACAAGGTTGCGCGAGGCATGGGAGAGGGCTGGCAGGTCCCTGCAAGGGCTGTATAGCAGGGTAGGATGGGGCAGGGCGCACCTTCTTGGTCGTGGCATCCAGCGAGATCTTGTCGACAGGGCCGCCGGCATAGGTGGCGCGTGAGATGCAGGTGGAGCATACGGGCGAGGTGCCGGCGGTGCACGTAGCACACCAGTCGTCCCGCGTGGCTGTCTGGCAAGCGGTGCGCATGACGTTGGTCGAGTACTGAGTGGCTCCAGCCAGGTTGCCGGGAGGGTCGTACTGGCTGCAGCAGCGCAGCGAGTGGCAGGGGAGGCGACAGGCAGGCAAACGACATGAGCGCCTGATCAGGCACTCAGCTCTGGGCTGGGATAGGAGCGAAGGCAGCAGCTGGCTGGGGCTGGGAGCTGGCGAGCCATCAGGAGCATGCCAAATGAGCAGGCAGGTGACTGCCGCAGCCGGGGTGCTCACCAGACCACAAAGTCCATTCCCGAGCAGGCCGCAAAGCCGCAGCCCATCTGCTTGGTGCCCTTCCACACCACTGCGGTGCCCGGCCCAAGACAGTGAGCCCAATAATAGGAGCAGCTGCCTTGCATGACAGCTGTGCTCCCATCCCAGCCCATCCACATGTGGATGCATGTCCACCAACCAACCACACCACACCACCCTGCCACTCACGCTGGGTGAAGTGTCTGGTGATGCCTTCATCCCGGCTCCTGCCCGGGCTCGCAAAGTTGTAGCTCTGCACGCAGAAGCAGCAGCCGCAAAGCACCCCAGACCACATCAGCTCCTGATTTAGATAGTACGCCGCCAGTGTTGGGGCTGGCCCAATGCCTCGCCTGCTGCCGCCGGTAGCAGCACGGCACCACCAGGGAAGCCGGGCAGGCACGTGCTGCAGCCCCTGCTCACTGTCGCCTCGTTGTACCAATCTTGGGTGGCAAAGCCGCAGGCATCCAGGTTGTTCTTAGGGTAGGTCACGCCCACGGTGCGGAACTGCAGCAGAAGAGCACGAGGGCAGGCAGGCAGACCAGCAGGCTTGCCCATCAGAGCCAGCGCGGCAGGCAGCAGTGTGCGGCACCGGCACCGCCGTGCAGCGGCAGCTGCGCATTCGGGCATGCCAGGGGCCGGGCACGCTGCCACTGCTGCCACGCTGGACTCACGATGAGCTCGGCGTCATTGTTTCGGGTAGACTGGGCTGCACAGCAGACGGGAGGCGGCAGCCAGCAGTGATCATTCACAATTCAGCGGCGCCGCAGGCAGCAGTCAGTCATCATCAGTTGTGGCTTGCATCAAGGGCCACCCAGGCAGCCAGGCCAAACAGAGAAGAAGCAGACCGGCAAGGCAGTGCTCATCGCCTGCGAGAAATGCTGGCAGCAGCACGCACCAGAGTTGGCAAAAACGCACTTCCCGGCATGCTCCATTGCCCGTGCGGCCATCGTAACGTTCCACGTCAGGGCCGCAACGCTGCACATACAGGCAGGCAGGCAGCACGGCAGGTGATACAACGAGACAGCAGCCTGACATCACAGTGTGGGAGACAGCAGCCTGCCACCAAGGGCCCTTGACATGCTCTTCTCTCCGCTGTGGCAGGTGGTCTGCAGGCAGAGGGCTTCACAGGCCAGGCGCAGAGGGCTGGACAACCAAGCGCCCTGCCTCACTTGTGCCGCTTCCGCAGAGCGTTAGTCAAGGTCAGCACACCGCTGGATGCGGTGGGTGCGTTGACGCAGCTCCTGCCAACCTTGGTCGGCACTGGACCTGCACACAGGGGCGGGGCGGGGATGGGCTGGGTGGATGTGAGCGGCATGGCTGCATGGTGTCTTGGGTGCAATGATGTGGCACAGCATAGGCAGCTGCCAGCGGCTCAGCTGCCAGCTGCGCTCGAAGCCAGCTCACCTCCCCCTCCCACGATGGGCGGTGGAACCACGACGCTATCCACACACGTGCTGTTGTCAACCAGGCAGCCGCCCTTGCAGCCCGTCACCTTCGGGTCGCACTTGCTGACGCACTGCACCAAAGAAAGGAGGGGACGGCAGGCAGGATCATTGCTTTGTTGTGGAGAAGTGGCGAGCATCACCACTCGCCAGCAACAGGATGGCAGCACAGCCGAACACAGCCGAACACAGGATGGCAGCGGCAAGCGCTGGACCGAGCAGCACAGCTGTGTCGCACGGCAGGCACCAGCATGCCCACCACCCCCCAGTCCCTTGCCTTCCCGGTGCGAGCGTCGAGCAGGATGGGGTCGGAGGCGGCGCCGCTGAAGGTGCCGCGCGGGTAGCAGGCGGTACATGTAGTACCGCTGCATGCCGAACACCAGTCGTCGCCCGTGGCTTTCATGCAGTCGGTGCGCCGCACATTCTCCTTGTACCAAGAGTATCCCATATCGAAGTCCAGCCAGTTGCCAGACTTGTGGTACTGGCTGCAGAGGGCGACAGAAAGAAAGTAGCATCAGGATCAACATGGTTGCTCACATGTTTGCAGCCCACTTCTCCGCTTGCTTCATTTGGCGACAGCAGGGCCCCTCGAAGCAACGTGTGGGGTGGTGCAACACCGGCAGGCCACGCGGCGCGCAGCGGCAGCAGCACAGCAGGAAGGCAGGCTCACCATACGACGAAATCTGCGGCCTGCGGCGCGCCGGCCATGGTTGGGCACACCGCGTAGCCGCAGCCAACCGACTGCGTCCAGTCCCACACCACTGCAGGCAGCAGCCGGCGCGGCATGCACGGCAGAGATGAGGCCTTGATGGGCGCATTCAGCGGCACTGAGCAGCCCAACAGCTGCAGCAAGCTGCTGCTATGTGTCCCCGCTCTGCGGTACACACACGTACGCTGGGAGAAGTGCTTGGTGTCACCACTGTGCCGGGGCACGTTTGGCTGGTCAAAGTTGTAGCTCTGCAACACCCACAAGCGCACCAGCAGTACAGACAGTCCAGTCAAATGCCTGACACCTTCAGGGAGTCTACCCTGGGCTGCAGCCCACGACTGGCTGCTGCCTGGCCAGCTGTAACACGTGCCAGCCCACAGGCAGGTAGGAGGGCAGGCGTCAGGAGGGGAAGAAAGCAGTGACGGGCGGCAACTCACCGACACCTGAGAAGCCCACACTATGTCGGCATAGGCGCAAGCATCATGGCCATCAATTGGATAGGCCGTGCCCCACGTGCGGTACTGCAGTAAGTGCAGTACAGTGCAGTATTGCAGTTGGCAGCGCTTCTCAGCTGAACTCAGTCCAGCAGGCAGCCTGCCAGTGAGACGCACATGTGCCCTGAACGGCACCGGCATGTGTGCGTGTGTGTGCGCCAGGCATTGCTGACTGCTTGGCAGGTGGTTAGCAAAACACGAACGACGCAGCCAGCGGCATCAGCCAGCAGCTCACGATGTTTTCTCCGTCCCAGTCCCACTCTCCCCACTGCCGCGAGGCAATCGCTGCAGCAGGATCCAAGGGACAGCGCGGCAGTGGCGCTCAGTGCACAGGGGTTGGCGGGCAGCCGCCGTGTAGTTGCAGGCGGCTCAGTGCAGCGCCTCCGCCCCCCTCAGTGCATCTCCAACCAAGCAACTCACATGAGTGTTCCCAGAGGCATTTATTGGCGTGCAGCTGTGCCCTGGTGGCCAGCGTGGCATTCCACACCAGGGCTTGCGCCCTGCACAACAGCAGGGTCACAAGACAGGTGCTCAGCACAGTCGGCCGGCAAGAGGCCGCGCCTCGGTCCAGCCCCTGCCTTCCCCCACCACCATTGCCCACCCACCCACACATACACCATACCCATGTACACCATACCCATGTGCACCAGACCCTCAGCAGCTCACTTGAATTGCGCTCGAATCTTGTTCACCACAGTGAGCACGCCAGAGGGGCCGCTTGGCGACGCACAGTTGGAGGCAAGGGCTGCAGGGGCGGAAGCCCACCATTGCAAGGAGCACAACAATCAGAATGTGTGTAAGGCTTGTTGGGGAGCCCCTGGTGGCATCAAGGCACTCTGACTGTGCCCGCAGCACTGCGAGCAGCCTGAGCGGCGGCTGACGCCGCGAAGGACCGACCGCCAGGGGAAGCAAGCGACGACCGGGCTGTGGGCCGCTCCCATGGCCCCATATCCGCTCACCTGACGCGCCGAGGGGCGATGCGAGCATCAGAGCCAGCAGCAGCGCGCTCCTGACGAACCCTGACCCCTGACCCCTGGCCTCATGTCCGCTGCCCCAGCTGGGGGCCGCGGGGCTTCGCATTTTGGCAGCGCTAGCCCTCCTGGTGAGGATGTGGGCTGCTGCGAGGCGTCTGTGGGCTGTTCAACAGGCTGCGGGCTCAGGGGAGCGGGCCGCTTCCTCCTGTGCCGTGGCCTCTGGCCAGAGTTTCAGGTCCTCAGGTATCAGCCAGCCCAGAGAGCATGGGTACTGAGCCCGAGCCTGGTCCAGACATGAGTGCAGCTGGAAGGTGCGGAGCTGGCAGGGGCCCCTAGGGGGTCAGGGGGTCATTGTGCCAGCCCGTCATGGCTTTGGACGCCGAGACAGCAGTGGACATTGTTCAATTACACGGCGAGTTGGCAGAGTGTGCAGCCGCGCGAATCCACCCCCGAGCCCATGCCAGGTGCCGCAGTGTCACGCCATGCGTCACGCCATGCGCCGCTCCCGCAGCAGCAGCGTCATCAGCACCGCATCCTCCCCATCCGGGTAGTACTGCCGCCGCAGGCCCACCCGCTCAAAGCCGAGGGAGCTGTAGAGGCGCAGGGCGGCCTCGTTGGAGGCCCGGACCTCCAGCAGCACACTCTCCGCATCCTGCCTGCGGGTGAAAGCCGGCGCGGCGTCGTGGCGCACGGTTTCACACGCGAGGCCAGCAGTGCTGCGCCGGCAGGCAGGGTGCGGCAGCGGGTGCAGGAGCGACTCCCAGCCCCTGCAAAACGCAGCTCATGCGTGCGGGAGGCAGCAATGCGGCAAGACAGTGCCGTCGCGGCACGCCCGCAGGCGCCCGCCGCACCTGTGCTGGTTGAAGAGCGTGGTGAGCAGGGCGCGGGCGTGGCCGCAGCGCTGGTGGTTTGGGTGCACGGCAATGTTCATGAGGTGCAGCTCCTGGGGCACCGCCCAGCCCACAGCCCAGCCCACGGGCCCAGAGCCATCGTCCGCCACCAGCACCGTGGCGCGCTCTCGAAGCAGCTCTGCCTGCGACCAAGGCAGGCAACCGGCAAGGGTGTGGCGCAGCCTTCGGCCCGCATGCCAGGGCGCGGCAGACAGGCGTGGGCGAGGGCTGCTTGAGCAGGACAGCACACTCCCGACGCTGCCACGCGCGCCACCGCCACCGCGCCGCCGGCAGCTTGCACGTGGTTGCGGGCGGCTCGGCTTGACCGGTGTCGACATGCGGGTCACCTCTACTTGCTGCGGGGTCCAGCTGCCGCCTGTGAGCGCCTCCAGCTCGATCAAGGCCGGCAGGTCAGCAGCGACTGCAAGCCGCAGGGCACAGCAACATGTTGATCTGCTGCTACTGCTGTGTGCTGAACTGCCAGGCAACGGTAGCCTGCGACATGCCGGCCAGCTAGGTGCCGCAGGGGCCCAAGGGGACCTGCTGTGCACACCGGCGCATGACATGACCTACCAAAGCTGCATCGGCCTCCAATGGAAGCCGAAAGGTGAGATCTTGATCCACAGCATGCTGGGGCGTGATTTGCCCTACAGGGCGAATGGCCAGCGGCAACACCCTTGCGAAAGGGGCATTTGTTCCGTTGTCATCGCTGCCTGATCACCCTGAACGGCACAGCCCAGCCATGGTCAGGGTGCCAAGCCGTGACACGCTCTTGACGGCGGCTGCGGCGGTAATCCGTGTGGAGACGGTCGGGCCAGCCGTAGGATGGCACGTCCGGGCATTGGGGGGGCTTCCGCCTCTGCAACCCCCGCCGCCGCCCGCCGACGACCAGACACATTGCGAGAGGCGCCTGCGCCGCTGGCTGGCCTCCCTGGCTGAAGACTGGCATTGCGGCAGCGGCACCGCAGAATACGACAGGTACAAGCTGGTGGAAGTCGTCTCTTGCATGCCCCACCCTGTGGAACATTCGGGGGAAGTGTGCTGCAGCATATGAGAGCGACAGCGCCCGTCGATCTGCGCCTGCTGCACCAATGCTCACTGCTGACCCGGATGCAGGATGTACTGGCCGCTTGCAGCAGCGGTGTACGGCACATACATGGCCAAGCTGATTCCACAGCTGAGCTGGCAGGACAGTGCCCAGAACTGTGTCATGCTGATCAGCATCGCTGGCCTGGCGCTGCTCTCCAGGTGGAGGCGCTGCTCCTGCTTTACCTTGCATGTGCTGTCGCGTATGTGCAGGGCAGGGAGTTCCCCACTGTAGGATGCACATGCAGCCCGGCCAGATTGGCGACGCAATCTCGTTCATCCATCGATCTTGGCTGTCCACATGCAGGCGGCATACCGCGGCATACCGCCGCCACGGCCCGCTGCTCCGCATGCTGCTGCTGTGCTGGGCATACGCCATGCCGGTGCTGGCCTCCCGTGACGCCATGCACGCCTTCTCCCCAGCTCCCTCCACGGTGTGCGCCTTGCCAGCCCTTTCTGCCTCTGCTTTCCTGCTCGCCCGCAGCATACCTGCCTACCAGCACCACCGTGCAACCCTGCATCCTCTCCTGATCCTCCCTGACCGCGCCCCCGCTCCTCACACCTGCCAGCAGGTCCCATACCTAAGAGGAGTGGTGGATGCCTACTCGCTGTGGCTGTCCACCCGCAATGCCTTTCTGGCTTGGGCCGTCCTGGGCTGCCGCCCGCCGCTGTACCTCGCCCTGCCATTCCAGCTGCTGGGCCTCTGGCGCATCACCGCTGCAGACTTCTGCCAGAGCCAGGTGTGGGCGCACCTCTCAGCCGCCAGACGCCGTTCCCTTTCACAGCAGAGCTCTCGCATGCCAGCACACCAGCCCATCCTGCCATGCAGCGCTCTCGTGCCATGCCGGTGGCCCCCTGGCATGCCGACCTGAGGCCGCCTGCCTGCCTGCCCCCCTCCCCATCTGCCGCCATCCGCCGCAGATCCTGCAGCACCCTGTGATGCAGGGGCGCACGTTGGCGGCGCACCACGCCCTGTCGCACGTCGCGGTGGGATGGATGGGCGGCGCGCTCCCACAGTACAGCCTGGTGCCTGCCAGTGAGTCGTGGTTGGCCGGGGTGGAACCCAGCCTTGGGTGAGCACCAGGTAGTCAGCATGGGAATGAGATGCCATGCTGGGCACCCTGATCCTTTCCGCTGCTCACACCTTTGCCCTGCCCTCTCCTCTCCTTGCTTGCTATTGCAGCCCCAGAGCAGCGCTGCCGCGCCCTGCTCCTCTTCTACAATCTGCTGCTCGCCGTTGTGCTGCCGCTCCTGCTGCTGGTGCCGCTGCGCCAGCATTACCGAGGCGACGCATCCCCATCCCAGAGCGTCAGCACCGACAGCAGCGGTACCAGCCGCCGTGGACACGGCACCCAGGACCGCTGGGGCATTGCGGGGCGCATGGAGCGGCGGATTGAAGGCTGGCTGCGCCTCCTGATGTGGCCGCCCGCTGAGTGGGCCTCGGCCCATCGGGCAGCGGCCGATGGGCGGCCACCGCAGCAGCAGCAGGCGGACGCACCGCCGCCGCAGAGCGTGCAGGCTGCCGCGGCCACGTGGCTGCTGCATTGGTGGGTAGTGCTGGCGTCTGTCTGGTCGCTGTGCTGCATCCTGCACGGATGAGTGGTGCCAGCAAGCTGTCCGGTGGGCAGCAGCTGAGCTACCCGTAGTGCCTCAGGCACTGACGGGACAACCCGCTCGTCTCCCAGCACTTTGCCCTGGTCTTACCTGTCTTACTTCTTGTTTTGCTCATGGCCATGCCGCCAGTCAACTCTTCCTCAAATTCTATTCTTCAGTCAACTCTACCTCTTATCCTACTCTCCAATGGCTACTTTACACATGTTCAAGCACTGCGCTGCTCTTGGGTGATGGCAGGCGTCGTACAGGCTTTCTTGCGGCTACCGCCCGCACCAGACGCACTAGATGCCCTTGTTCTTCTGCTTCTTCTTGTGGTCCTGCACCAACGAGCCGGCTGCAAGCCGCAGCTGAAAATCCATCAACAGTCATGAACCGCCGCTGTTGAGCAGGCACCGGCCTGCACCCACCTGTGCGCTGGCACCTGCGCTGGCGCCCCGCTTGTCAGCCGCCTTCTTCCTCGGCGCCACGCCCATCGTCGCCGCCCCAAAGGCCGCTGCCTTGGGGCCGGGCTGCACCTTGGCCCTCTGTAGCCGCCTGCCGGAAATCGCCGCCACCTCTGCAGATTCAGCCATGCCCTCGCCGCGGTACCTGAGAAACCACGGCACGGCGGCGATGAGGGGTTACTACCGCCTTGGGTACTGCGCTCCTCAGCAGGGGCTCGCGTCCAGCCCCGCCGGCCAGGCAGCTGGGCATCTGCTGCAGCTCCCCTCACCAGGAGCGCAGGCCGTCGCACAGCTCCCGGTCGCTGAGCGGGCCAGCCAGCGGGAGGGGCGGATCTAGTTTGAAGGTGGTGCCGCCTGTAAGGCCCGGAAGGCACAGGGGCAGCCTAAGGACCTGGTGCAGACCCTCCCTGGCAAGCTCTGGTGGAAGGGCGGCAAAAGGTGGTGCATCGCCAACAGCCACTGGTGGCAGCAGGGAGGCAGGCAGGCTTGCAGGCAGGCAGGCTAGGAGAGAATGCTCAGCCCGTGCCCACTGGCGCACCCGCCCGCTTGGTGCCCAGCGTGGCCTTGTGAAGGTAAGAGATCTCGATTGGAGAGACGGAGAGGATTGGCGCCTCGCCCCGTTCCACCGCCTGCCAGTGCACAGAGCGCCGGCGGGCAGCAGAGTGGGTGATGGCTGGCAGGCAGGCATGGGATGGATGCGCGCCGAGCGCAATAGCCTGAGCCGCCGAGCAGTCGGCAAGAACCAGAGCAGCGGCAGCAGAGGAGGCGGCAGCGGGCTCTCGCCACCTGCGCCAGCTGCTCTCCCAGCTGGGTGGCCTGCTCGTTCCACAGGTAGGTCTTGGCCGCCAGCACCTCACCCTCCCTGCTGTTGTCCACAATCCACAGGCCGCGGTGCTGCAGGCAGATGACCAGGGAAATGAGACCCAGCCTGGGCAAAGTCTGAGGCCAACAGCCCAGCGGCGCACAGCACAGGCGCCTGCTTACCAGGTTGCCTTCCTCCGGGTCTGAGTGCCACTGCTTGCCCTGGAACTTGGCCTCCAGCTTCTCCATGCTGTGCACAACGCCTGTGATAGGGCGAAACAAACAGCACGTTCAGAACGGGTGTAGTCGCTAAACTGGCAGAGGCAGAAGGATCGGCGCCGCAGCGGCGGCGACACCCGGCCTGTTACTGCCCCACTTGCAGCCTTTTTCTCACCCACGACCTCCACTTCTAGCGACTTCCTGCCGGGCGTCTCGCCCAGCAGCTGCGCCAGGGTCTTGCGCTCGGTCATCCTGCGGCAGAGGCAGGGCGGGCGGGTGGAGCGGGCGGGTGGAGCGGGGCAGGGGAGGCGGGCGGGCATCGGCGCTGCCAGGCTGCCTGAGCGACCTCCCTCCACCCCAAGCAGCTTCCCCATATAATATAGCCATCTTTGGGCTGCTCTAGCAAGCAAAGGCCACGCGCGTGCGTGAGTTGGTGCAGTCCACAGCAGCAACCTGGCGACCTAGCAGCTTGGCAGACAGGAGCAACCTTCGGGGAGAGAGTGGGGAGACTGGGGCTTGCTGGAGGACACAAGAGGCTGCCTGGGCAGGTGCTGTGGAATGAGTCAGTCTGGGAAGCTTGCATTTGGCCTTGTTTTTAGCAGCAACCGGATGTTTGAATGCAGTTATTATTGCTGCATTCAAATGCGGTCAGTCCCACCTCCCCTGCACAGCAGCGGCGCTGCCCGGCGCCTGCGCCTCCCGGGCCCGTTTCCAGCTGGCCAGCAGAGCCTCTGCACCGCCAGTTTCCGACGCCCCTGCGATCACTTGGTAGCGCGAGTCAGAACCCATGTTGCAACGTGCTTCAACGAGCGCGTAGGCCGGCGAACAATGGCAGCAATTGTGCTGGCACCGTTGCTGTTCCTAGCGCCCATCCTGGCTTCAGGTGCGCTGGTGAAGCTGGCGCTCGCGAGTAGCTGGCTTGCCGCGAGTTGTCGGCGCAACGCGTCGGCACATTTGGCGCGCATGCCGAATGGCTGGGATGGCCGCCTCAGTCCAGCTAGAAACCGACTGATTGGGCCGTGATTGGGCTGGGAGCGGTCCAGGCGGCACCGCTCATTTTGCCGCTCGCCGCCACCGCCCGCCGCCGCTCTCGCCCCCCGCCGCCACCCAGTGTCCCTCACCAAGCGACATCTGCTGCTGGCTCTGGCTCCCCCTGGTGTGATGCAGCCGCCAACCTGACCGCAGACCAAGGCGCGGGGCCACTGTACCGCGGCCGCGACCTGCCTTTCTTCCTGGAGGCGCTGCCTGGGCAGAATGTGTCTTTCAGCGACGGCAAGGCGGCGCGCGGCTGGCTGCAGGTGCCCAACCGCAGCAACTCCACGGGCGCGGTGTGCGCCAAGGGGTGGCAGAACCCGCCGCTGGCGGCGCAGGTGGTGTGCCGCGCGCTGGGGTGGACCGGCGTGGCGCGGGCCGCGGGCGCCCCCGCCCCTGAGAACAGCACCACCATAGGTCCAGAGGGCGTGTCTTGGGAGTCGCTGCGGTGCGACGGCACGGAGGCGGGGCCGCTGGGCTGCAGGTACAAGCCTGTGGAGGTTAACTTCACGGGCTGCCTGCCGCGGGCACGCCTCGTCATCGAGTGCTACCAGGACCCAGGTGGGCGGGTGGGCGCGGGGCGCGGCGGTTTCCCGCAGCCTGCGACATGCAGCAGCATCCGCCATCTGCCTGTGGAGCTGTGGAGCTTGATTTGGCCAGTGCAGGGCAGCAGGGTGGCTGCGCGCTGCGGCATTGCCGTGGCGCGCGCTCCTCGCCCCGCCGAGCCGCCGGCACTGCGCAGCTCCCTGCTGCCTCCGGCTCCTTCGCCTGCCTGGCCGCCGGACCCAATCTCTGCTCCCACACGCCTCCGCCACCACCGCAACTGTGGCTGCTGCCTGCCTGCCGCGCTGGCGCAGGCACAAAGGGCGAGCTGCGGTTCAGGGAGCCGCCACCGGCTGCCAGCGAGGTGTCAGAGATGTACGGCCGCGGTCTGACGGTGGAAGTGTTCCACAGAGGGTTCTGGGGATACGTGGGCACACCCTTGACGCCCAACGAAGCCGGTGAGGCATGCATGCGCTGCTTGGCTGGGGATAGGGCCAGCAAGCGTGCCTGGGGTGCGGGGGCGCTGCAGCGCCGCGGGCCGTCCTTGCTTGGCTTCTGGCCAGTCAGCACCCTGCGCCGCCGTCGGGCGCGGCGCTGGCTGCTTGCTGCCCGCCTACCGCTGCGCCTGCCGAGCCGCTTGGCGCTGCTCTTCCTGCCCCGCAGTGGTGCTGTGCCGGGAGGCCGGGTACGGCAACGGTACCGCCGGTACCGGTGACGTGCAGCTGGCGGGGCTGGGATACCGCGAGGCCGGCGGCGCGCCCACCCTGGCGCTGGCCTGCAACGGCAGCGAGGCGGCGGTGCAGGAGTGCGCCGTGTCCTGGGTGCCTCCGCTGCCCATCAGCGGTACCAATGATACCTACTTTGATTGGGTGCCTCGAGGATCCATCAGCTACTACACCAGCCCCTTACTCCCGCTCCTCTTCTGCCCCCCGGCCTTCAACGACACCCACGCAGGTGGGGTGGGTGGGTGTGCGGGTGGGGCTGCGGGGCCGTGGTGGCGGCGGCTGATCTGCCCGGCACGCGCCGGCTGCGCCTGCTGTGGGGTTCCGTCGCTGCTTTGCCTCCTGTGACCGTCCCCTGTTGGGGTACGTGGCCAGCTGCCGCCGGCTCCCGCCCACTAGCGCCGCCGCCGCTGCCACCGCCGCTGCCACCGCCGCTGCCGCAGAGTTGGACGAGGTGGAGGATGGCGCGCTGCGCTTGGCCTATGGCGGTCTGCCCGCCACTGCTGAGGGCGGGTGCGTCAAGGGGGAGGCGCAGATCCGAGCCGGCGGCTACTGGGGCATGGTGACTCTGGGGGATTACGGCGCTGGAGCAGAGGACGTCGCCGCCGAGGTGGCGCAGAGCAACGCGCAGGTGGGCGGGGGTGGTGGGCGTGGCCACGGTGGGCGCGCTGCGCGGCCCGCCGGCTGGCAGCATGAGCTTACGCGCGGCTGGGAGGTGGGCGCACGCTCACCGCTGCCGTCCCTTGCCCCTCCTCCTGCCCTCCCCGCCTCCCCGCCCGAAGGTCATCTGCCGAGAGCTGGGCGCCCCCACCACCAACGTGACCAGCAGCCTGGCCGCCCCCAGCTCGGACATCCTGCTGCCGGTGTGGCTCACCGACCTGGAGTGCGGCGGCGAGGAGGAAAGCATCCTAGACTGCGCCTTCAGCTCCAGTGTGGTCCCAGGGGGCGCCCCGCCGGCAGAGGGAGAGGCTGTGTATGCGCTGGAAGTGTCGTGCTGCCCGCAGTGAGGGGTGCGGCGGCGGCGGCGAGTTGCAGTACAGCGGTACGCTTCTGTCTGGGCTGCGAGGCACCCAGCCGGCGGCGCCTGGCGGGCGTGGGGCATGCGCTGCTGTGTGCCCACCACCTCCCACCCTTGCACAACCATGCCATGGCCGCTGCCTCACATTTGAACTCCATGCGCTGCCTGATTCTGCTGCTGATTTTGTTCCTGCTCGCGACTCTATACCCGCTGCCTTTCCATCATCTCTACCATCCCATCCCCCGATGCCCTTACGCCACATGTGTCATCGCCGCCGCTGCAAGCGTACGCGGCTGCTCCCTCCCCATCCCCGAGATTCCCGTTTCATGATGTTCCTTGTCCATGCCTTGTCCATGTGGGGCTGCTCCTCATTCATGATGCGCTAAGCCCATTGCAACAAAGTTGCATGCTATGCTCGAGGCAAGAGAGGTCTTGGCATGGCACACCCCAGAGGGCGGCTGGCAGGCAAGCAAAGGGGGATGGCAGTCAGGCGGTGACGCCACCCGGTATCCCTTCCACAGCCGCATACTGCGCCAGGGGCACGTGCTCCACATTGCTGTGCCCGAATGCCGCGGGGCCCACCACGGCTAGCGCCGCGGGCGAGGTCAGCAGCGGGTGCGCCGGCAGGCCCACCACCGCCACACGCAGCCCATACCGCTGCTCCTCTGTGGCGATGGGCAGCCCATCTGCACAGCAGCGCAGCTGGCCATGGCATGCCGTTAGCGGGCTGCCAGCCCCGCGTTGACTGACGGCACAAGCAGGGGCATAGCGGGCGCCAGCAGCGCGGCTCACTCTCCGCCTCCACGCAGCAGATGAGGTCGGGCACAGAGGCCAGCAGCCGCTCCCCGGGCCCCTCCACCGCCAGCAGGTTTTCATTCTGGAAGTCGACGGTCAGGGTGCGCCCAGCAAAGGCGCCGCTGCCCTCCAGCAGCAGCCGGCCGCGGGCGAAGCCCTGCGTCGTCTGCCGCTGCACATCCACCACTTTCCCTGCGAGGCAGAAGGGCTGAGGACATGCTGCGTCAGGGTGGAGAGAGGGCTGACAGCCAAACCTCTGCAGCCAGCCCCCAGCGACAGCCGCAGCCCCACCTGTGAACAGCACGCGCCCACCGCCTGCCGCGGCGATGGCGGCGGGAGCGTCCTGCTTGGCATGCTGCGCTGCCGCCACCGCCGAGCCCAGCCGCAATGCCAGGCTGAGGGAGTGTGGCACCACCACCTGCTTTAGCTGCTGGCCTGCATGGGAAGACCAGTTGTGGCAGTGGAGGCAGTCAGTGGCAGCCAGCGTCTCAAGGTCGCACCACGCAACCCACCCTGCTGCACACGCATGCACGTGCCTTACTGCCTGGCGGCAACCAAGGCCTGCCCCAGCCCCTGGCGCGTGCAGCCGGCACGGCGCGCCTGTAAGCGGGCAGGAGCTGAAGCCGGCGCTGCACCCCATCTCTGTGCACACCGGGCGCAGCAGGCGCTCCAGCCAGGCGGGGCTGGCGGCGCGCTGCACTGCCAGGCAGTTGCCCTTCTCGTCCGCCACCGCCGCCGGCAACACCGGCAGGCCGTAGATGGCGCTCGTCATCATCTGCACAGCTGCGCAGCTCAGGCGGCATGTCAGGGTGGGCCAGCGGTCGGCGGACAGCTGCCGCTGCCTCCGCCGGCTGGCAGCATGGGTGCGCTGGTGCTGATGCCCACACCCCAGTGCATGCGCTCGTCGGCTGGCTAGCATCACGCCGCACACATAAACCTGCCAACCCAACCTCCACCCCACCTGCAGCTCAGGGAAGGCTCGCCCCATGAGGTCCCCATCCACCACAGGCAGCCCCAGGCGGCTGCCCACCACGAGAGGCTCTATGCCATTGCCGCCGCCAACCTCTCCCGCCATCAGCGCCGCCAGCTGGCGCTGAGCTGGCTGGGCTGCCGCTGCGGGAGCGGCGGTGTCGAGTGCCGGCTGGGTGCTAGCACCCTCGCTGCTGCCCTCGCCGCCCATATGCGGCGGCTCGGCGCGGCGCTCGGCAGCGGGCGCGGCGCTGCTGCGGTATGCTTCCAGTACCGCCTGTACCGCAGCTTCCGCCTGGTCGGCATCCAGCTTCTCGTTGCCCACCGTGGGGGCGCCCATGTAGCCGGCATCCACTACCAGCCGCTCGTCAGGCACGGCTGCAGGAGAGATGACTCGCATGCTGCCCACGCCAGCCCTGCAAGCCCGCCGAGGGACGGGCGGATGGCGTGATAGAGTCAGTCAGCAGCCAGCGGCGTACGCTTGCCTGCCTGAACAGGCGATCCACAGAGGTCGTATCGCACTCGGTTGCAGGGAAGCTGACCGGGCACTCACCTCTGCAGCTGCATCAGAGCCTTGAGCATCGCCTTGCTGGGGCTGCCGCCCCCTCCGCAGCCCAGGATGCCGCAGCCGGTGGCGATGAGGTGCAGGTCCTCGCTGCGAAGGATCCACTCCCCCTGCTGGTTCACGCGCGGCTGCCACCCGGCCAGCTGAGCCGGCATCGGGTCCTCGCCCCTGCCAGCCAGCGGCGGCCAGCCTGCAACCTCACTGGCGCTGCTGGCAGAGCTGGCGGCGGCGGTGCTGATGCCCCCGGAGGCGGCCGCTGCGGGCCGCTGCTCTGCCACCTCCCGGTCTGCTGCCGCTGCCGCTCCTCGTCCTGCCGCCCCTCGTCCTGCCGCCCAGCCTGGCGCCGGGCCTTCCGTGGGCGCACGGCTGTCGCTGGCGCCGCCGCCAGCAGCCGCCTCAGGGGTGGCTGCAGAGCGGTCCAGGCTGGAAAGGTCTAGGTCACCGATGACTTCCACCCTCACCCTGCTGAAGCTGCCGGGAAGGTAGGCCAGGGGCACATCCTCCCGTACCGCCACCCTGCACGACCCCGGCACGGCGCCCGCCGCCGCTGCCCGCCGCTCCGCCAGGCGCTGCGCCTGCTGCAGTACCGCTGTCCTGCTGGCTGCGGTACCGCCCATGTCGTACACGGCATCCACTGAGCCGCTGACCTGGGCTATGGCGGCCCCCACTGCGTTGGCCACAGCAGTGTGGCGCGGCCGCACCACTGCCGAGGCGCCACGCAGGCTGGCGCCGCACAGCGGGGCGCCGCCGCCAACCACCACCACGGGCACGTCGCCTGCATGCAGGGCAAGCCACGAGAACAATGGAAGGCTGCCAGTAATTGGATCCCACAGTCAACACGTCCATCGGAGTCCCTGCGGCAACAGGCCTCTTGGTGGCACCAGAGCCAAAAAGCAATTTCCCACCCCCATCTTGAGCCACAGCTTCCCCCATCTGCCTCGGTCTTCACGGCATCAAGGCAGTCTTCGAGCGCCCGCTGCATCTCCGCCCACGCCGCCTCCGCCTGTTCTTCTGACAGCCCTGCGGCAGCTGCCTCGCGGCTGCCCAGCTCCATCCTGCCCAGCAGTACTGCCACATCGGAGGCGGTACATGTGCCGCCCCCCACGCACAGCGCCTCCCGTGGCAGGCCAGCTCCCACGCTGTCAGGGCCCACAGTGCAGGCTGCCGCCTCTGGTGCCATCTCTGATGGCGCGCTGCCGGCTGGGGCTGCCTCAGCGCGGCGGCCGCCAGGCTGGGGGAAGCGCACCAGCGAGCCGCCGCCGAGGCCGATGCTGAGCACGTCTGGCATCTGGAAGTTGGTGGCAGCGCCGGCGAGGCGGACGGCTCGGGGCGCGGGCCGCGGCAGGCCGCCAACCAGCAGCCCCACGTCGGTGGTGGTGCCGCCCACGTCTATCACAGCGCCGTCTGCGATCCCCGTCAGCAGCGCCGCGCCGCGCAGGCTGTTGACTGGGCCGGACTGGAAGGTGGCTACCGGCACCTGCAGGCCGGGCAGGCAGATCAGGAGGGTGTCAGGGCCTGCCACGCCATGGGGACATGAAAGCAGGGCCAGCACAGGATGCGTGGCAGAAAACAAAAAACACCAGCTGCTGCCAGGCTGGCCCTCCCTTCTTTTCTCCAGCGCACCTTCAGTGCATCCTGCGCCGACAGCAGGGTCCCGTCGTTTGCTGTGAAGAAGAGCGGCGCTTGGATGCCTGCGGCAGCCAGCGCTGCGACGCAGGCGGGCACCACGCGGCGCGCAAGCGGCTGCAGGGCTGCGTTCAGCACCGCCGCATTCTCCCGCTCCAGGAGCCCCAGCCGCCCCACCTCGTGGCTCTGGCACACCAGCAGCGGCCCCTGCCCCTGCCCCTGCCCTTCACATTCCTGCTGCTGCTGCTGCCGCTGCTCGATGGCCCCCCCTAGCGCGTCTGCCTCTGCGTCCGCTGCCGCCGCCTCATCTGCCAGGATGACCGCCGCACGCTGCTCCTGCGCCGCCTGGACAGGAGAGAAGACGCCAGACACCACCGCGCAGCGGATGCCGGCGGCCAGGATTCGGCGAGCGATCCTGCGCAGCTGCTGCTCATCCAGGGGAGCAATCTCGCTGCTGCCATCAAACTCGTAGCCGCCTGCACACCATCCGCGCCGCACCGAGTGATTTCTCGGCATCTGAGGTCAAATGCCCAGCGCATGGGTTGCCGGCTGCCGCTGCCGGCTGCCGATGCTGCGGCAGCTCTTGCACCGAGACAAGTGCGACCCCCTGCAAGCCCACCTGAAGCCAGGAAGTAGCAGCCACCCACTGCCTGCCGCAGTCTTGGTGGCATGTCGCAGAAGGGCGGCAGCGAGTGCGTGGCGGGGCCACACAGGCGCACAACCGCAACGTGGGCCAGGCCCTTGAGCTGGATGCAGGCGTTGACGAACTGCGTAGTTCCGAGCATGACCGCACCCACCGCACCAGGCTCTGCGTGCAGGAGGTGCAGCCTTGCTGTGTTTGGGTGCCACTGGCGTGTGTTGGGCAGCAGGCGGGGCGCTGAGCGGGCGCTACCTTGCCCGGCGCGCTGCAGCGCCCCCGTCACGGCTCCCACGATCCCCTGCAGGACATCTGGGCTGGTGGGCTCCTTGCACCACCCCAGCACAACGTTGCCTTCGTCGAGCAGCACGGCATCGGTATTGGTGCCTCCAGCATCCACGCCAACACGCAGCAGCGGCATGATTGATCTCAATGCAACACAAAGATGCTTGGATGTGAATGCGGTCAGCGCGCCGAGAATTTGGGGCCGCCTACATGGCGCCGCAGCGCACCGAGCAGGGTGAGCAATTTTGGTGGCAAGGGCCACTCAAACCGAGCTCCATCGATGCCTACCAACCCCATTCACCTCGCAGCTCCAGGCAAGCCAAGTTTGGTCGACATGGGCTGCTGCATGTCCTGCTACGGTGGCTTCCGGGTGTGTAGAACGATCCTCAGTAGTAGTGGCTGGGTTGCTGCGCTGCCCTCTTGCGGTTGAAGCACTCGCAGCGCGCGGAGGTGAATGGGCACCGGCGCCGTGCTGCTGGCCGCCCCGCCAGCTCTTGCCCACACGTCGGCGCCTGCCGGTGCGCTTTGCCTTGCAGAGCCCCCAACCCCGAATGAACGTGGACTTGGTCAGGAGCGCGCTGCAGGCGCTGCACAGCCTCACGGTGTCGCCGGATGATATCCCACGGTTTTGGGATCCAGGCTTTTGCCTGCGGTCCAACGGAAGCAGCTACGACTGTGCGGGCCTTGTGCGCATGCTGAAGGAGAGGCAGGTGGGCTCTGTCTGCTGCGGCTGATCAGCTGAGTCCATCTTAGCGGTGCTGCAAGAGGTTGTTTGCGGGCTGCTTGCAGGCGCACCTTAACCCCCCCACTGTCCGATTTGTGGACATCTTTGGCAAAAACGACTGGGTTGCTGCCTGGCGCACAGCGTCGCTGACCACCAAGGAGGGCAAGCAGGCGCCCAGCCTCGTGCTCGTGGATGTGTGGCACGTCAAGGAGGGGAAGGTGAGGGGGGTGCCTGCCAGCCACTGCCTGTGCCATGCACTGCAGTGCAGCGCAGTCGGAGCGTGAAGCATCCGGCCCTCGACCCTGCCCTGACCCTGCCACTCCTCCTGCTCTCAGATCGTGTCGGGCGAGCAGTGCTGGCAGGAGCTGCGCGTGGGCGATGAGCTGGCGCTGACGCCGCACGAGGCGGACACAGAGGCGGTAGTGCTGGGCGCGCTGGAGGGGCTGGAGGGGCTGGTGCTTGGGCAGGGCACGGTGGAGCCGCTCTGGGCGCCAGAGGTGGAGGGGCACGTAGATGGCGTGGCGCTGGACCTGGACGCGCTGCGGCGGCACTGGGCCGCGCTGAAGGTGGGTGAGGGGCAGGTGTGGGGCATTCTCGGGCCGCCCCGCTGGCACCGTGCCCGCTCGCCATGCACCGGTGCATCAGACCAGCGCCCCTGGAGCTCTTCCCTCTGCGCATGCAGGCTTCACTGGCGTCCCTGGCCGTGGAGGTGAAGCAGATGGTAGTGCAGGGCAGTGTGGTGGGTGCTGTGTATCACGTGGCCGCCACCAAGAAGGCTGGCGGCAGCTGCGAGGTGCAGGTGGTGGCGGTGTTCACCGTGGTGCACCGCAGCAAGATCGCAAGCTGCCAGGCGGTGTCGCGGCTGGTCAGCGGCAGCCCTGGGGATGAGGGGCTGGCCACGCTGGAGCTGCAAGCGTGAGGTGGAGGGCGGCGGCGCTCCCGCCCCGTCACCGCCAGTGGGGCTTGCCCATGGCCGCGGGCCACACATCTCCCCTGCGCTCACTGCTCAATTGTAAGCAGCCATGTGAGAGGCTGTGCTCGGTAACGGCCGTAGGTTCTTCGCGGGCGCCGCATTCGAGAGCCAGAATTGGCTGGAGAGCACCCTCAAATGTGTAGAACATTAGCACTGCGAGCTTATCGCGCCGCGATTGCAACGCGCAGCGGGCCGGGCGCTCGCGAGCTGCTGGCACTTCCTGCCGCCGCCGCCTGGCGGCACGCGCCACGCCATGCCACGGCCGCTGCCGCAACCTTGCAGCAGCAGACGGCCCAGCCGCAGGCTCGTGGGGAGGAGCAGCAGCAGCAGCAGCACCTACAGCCTACGCGCTTCCAGACAGTGATGCAGAATTCAAGGCTGACGCACATAGCGCAGGAGCTCGCTAAGCAAGCCATCCAGCCGGGAGACGTGGTGGTGGATGCAACTTGCGGCAAGGGACACGATTCGGCATTCCTGGCAGCCGCCGTGGGCAGCGCTGGCACCGTGCACGCCTTTGATATCCAGCCCGCCGCCATTGCGGCCACCCAGCAGCGCGTTGCCGAGGGCGTGGCAGCGGGCGGAGCGCCGTCACCGCTAGTATGCCACCTGACATCGCATGCGGAGATGCTGCTGCATGTGGGCGCCTCCTGCGCCCGCGTCGTGATGTTCAATCTGGGTAAACTGCACTTTCATCAGCTCTTCACTGAGCAGAGGCGCTGCCGCTGCCGCTAGTTCCGACGTATGCGGCTGCGAGCTTACCAGTGCTGCTGTTATCCCACCACAGCTTTCAGATCCATGGCTTCCCCTGTCTTGCCTGGCTGCAGGCTACCTTCCAGGCAGCGACAGGGCAACCACCACGCAGGAGAGCAGCACGCTGGCAGGCGTGCAGGCGGCCTGCGACGTGCTGCAGCCGGGAGGGCTGTGCTCCATCCTCTGCTACACCGGGCATCCAGGTAGAGGCTGGCCGGGCAGCTTTCATGCTGTACCTGCTCAGCATGAACCTGAACCTGCTCAGCATTCTGTCGTAAAATGGGTTCCTGCCTGGCCATGCTGCCACAGTCTCACCAACTGTGTGTTCTCGGCTGCCGGGCTGCAGGCGGCATGGAGGAGTACCAGGCCGTCAAGGCGCTGGTGGCAGCGCTGCCTCCCTCGCGCTGGAACAGCTCCGAGGTGCGGCTGCTCAACCGCCCCGACGCACCCGCGCTGCTGCTCCTGTGGAAGCGGCTGTGACGCCGCGACTGGCATCCTTTCTTGCAAGCATGGAGGCAGAACAAGCTAAGGAGGAGAAAAACAAGGAATCCACAGAATGAGCATCATCTTGAACTGGCGCCATGTTGGGTAATGTTTCATGATGTTTCGCTGTCCCCATCTGGACTCCCGTCGGAGTGTTAGCAGGGCCCCTGGTGCCGCTGCCTCAGGCGGGCCAGGTGGCGCTGCAGCTGCCTGGCCAGCTCCTCACGTAGCTCCCGCTCCCGCTTGTCGGTGCATGCGCCCAGGCTCTCCCTCATCTCTGCTAGCTCACGCTCATACGCGGCTACCTGTGCCGCCACCCCTGCCGCTCCCAGCTTGTGCGCCTGCTGACGAGGAGTAGCCGCATTGCTCAGCATTGTCTGGCTGCCGCCGCTGGCTGTGCCCGTGCCGCCGCAGGAGGGGCAGGTGCGCTGGATGCTCCTGCAGTCGTAGCACTCTGCCACCGTGCCGCTGCCGCCACAGGCTATGCACAGGTGGACGGGTGGCACCTGAGGCGCCGCCGCGGGGGTGGAGGCGGGTGGAGCTGGCGCAGCGGGGACAGTAGTTGCAGACTCAGCAGCGGGGGTGCTGCTGCTGCCAGAGTATTTTGCCTTCAGCTGGGCAACCAGCGCATCTTCCTCGGCTGTCAATGCGGCCGGGTAGGTAGCAGCGCACTCCACTGCGGCAGTCATGGTGTGCAATTTTTGTAAATGGATGAGTCGCAAAGCTGTTTGCGTGAAGTCAACTTTGCTGCGCGCTGGGGGCGCGCAGCACACTCTCAGCACGAGTTGCGCTTGCAGCACATCTGACCCCAAATATGAGATAAGCTCCCAGAGTGCCTTGTCCCAGTGTCTCCCCCTGCCGGCAAACTTGCCGTCGAAACCCGCCGCGATCGGGCCAGTTTACGCGCGTTCTTGCGGCAGCACAAGCAGCACAGATGCATGCACAGCACCGCAGCACCTGCCTGACTGGCGGCGCAGTGCCACAGCGGCGGCTGCTGGCGGCACGCCGCAGGCGGCCAGTTGGGCGTGCGGTGCACGCCCTGCCTGTTGAATTTGGCAGCGAGGTCCTGCTAGCTGCGCTGTCCACCTACCCAGAGTTTGCAGCAGACACATTCGAGCCGCAGCTGCAGCCAGAAATACTAATAGCGGCGGGGTTTGCGGCGACACCTCCCATCCTGTTCTGGGCTCGCATCTTCTCGGCCAATCAGCGGCGCCTGCGGGAGATTGCTGAGGCCCAGGCAGCAGAGGAGCAGCGGCAGCAGGAGCGCGAGGTGGGTCGCAGCGGAGGCCCTGGCTGCCGGGGTGCAGGCTGTGGCCCAGCACCTGGCTGCATGAGAAGGGACGGCTCAGATAATCGCCTGCCTGCTTGTTGTGCATGCCTTCAGCGCCCTTCACATCTGGCTGGCTGCAGGAGCTGAAGCGCAAGATCACGGGCCAGTGGAACGAGCCGCCCGCGAGCTGAGCCAGCGGCACCCGCAGGTGGCTGCCCGCCTGGCTGCCCTGTACCAACATTATCGCATGTAAACGCCAAGCTGTACTCTTTCCCTAGCGCCAGGGAGCGACCGCCCTGGTGTCTGAGACAGCAAGGAATCTGTTGAAAGACTGGTTTGCTCAGTAACGCACAATAAGCCATTCTCACAGTGCAGCTGAGTGGCAGGCAGGCGGGGACAGCTACACATGCACCCTGAAGCGCTCCCAGTGGGCCCGCTGCTCCGCCTCGTCCAGCGCCGCCTCGATGGCGCTGCGGCAGGCGGCATATGCCGCCTCCTCGCCGACAGCGCCGCCGCCTGCTGCCGCAGCCAGCCTGTGCATCACTCCCTGCAGCCTGCCGCCGCCTCCGTCGCTGCCGCTGCTGCCAACCAGCTGGCCGCCGCCTGCCGAGCCGCCACCCAGCAGGGAGCCCAGGCCAAACACGTCACGGATGCTGGGCTGCGGCGCCTCGGAGCAGAGCAGGAAGCGGGCCTTCTCTCCAAACTGCTCCTGCACACGGGCAGCCTCCAAATGGCACTGCCTTAGCTGTGGGTGGTTGATCTGCGGTTGACAGGCATATGCTGGCACATAGTACGGGCCGCCACCACTCGGCGCCCCCATGACTGACCTGCATGACGCTCCGCATGTCGCCCAGCCCATCCACCAGGCCAAGCTTGAGTGCCTGCCGCCCCGTCCAGGCCCGCCCTGCAGCAGCAGGAGAGTCGGCGCACGCCCCACGCCACGTGACGACAAGCTGGTGGCCCGTACGCTGCACCTGCTGCCTCCCAGTCCTGCGATCGCCTCCATGGATCCCGCTGGAGCTGGCACAACGGCTCACCTGAGAACAGCTCATCGTCGCGGCCCGCCGCCAGGCGCTCGCCCCTGCTGCCGCGCACCCGCTCCTTGAAGGCCTGGTGCAGGTCGTCCATGATGTCGCGCAGCCGTGCCTCCTGCGGTACCAGCGGTACAAGAGGAGGAAGAAAGTGAGCAACGGCGGGACAGGTTGGGCGCAAACGCGAGAGCGGTCGCAGGCGCATGGCAGTGACTGGCACAGCGCAGGGACCAGCGTAGTAGTGCTGGACCGCAATGGACAGCCTCAAGCTGGACAAGTGCACTTGGGAGCCCTGCTCACCTGGTCGGGCTGCACCGGCAGGAAGGGGTCCAGCTGCATCTTGGCCTCCCCCGCGGTGAACACGCGCCGCTCCACCCCCAGCTTCTTGGCGGCTTCTGTGGCACCAAAGGTGGCGCTGATGACGCCCACGCTGCCCACCAGGGACGTCTGAAAGCAGGCGGGTGTGCCGGTGGGGAGCACGCGGGAAGTACCGTCTGGGCCCAGTGCTCACAGATCACACGGCATGTAGAAGCTTTGCAGGACTGGTTTGTGGAGGGCCGGCAGGGATGCATGTCCTGCTGGTACTGGCAGTTCAACCTACCCACCTCCAATGCATACGACTTGTCGCCTGCGCACCTGCACATGCGGGGGTTTGTGGTGAGCAGCAGCATGTGAGTGGGGCCGGCAGCAGCAGCAGAAGGCAGCAGCAGGCGAAGCAAGGCCGACGTCAGGCAAACACCAACAGGCGATAGCAGGTGATGCTAACATGAGCCAGTAGCCGCCGCTCGCCGCCACATCCTCAGCAAAGGTGTACACTGGGATGCCTGTGCTCTTGGACAGGCGGCGGATGAGGCCAAATATCAATTCAGACTGAACGGGCGAGCCACCTGCAAGGGACAGAGGCTCCTTTGTGATGCATCAGAAGTCGCATCGCACATGGTGCTGGTGTGCTTAGCAGGCTGTGATCGTGCCTGGGCTGTTGATGGCCACCGCACAAGCGGCTGGCTTCAGGCCCTTGGTAAACGCCCTGGCAAACCACTTCTCTGCACGCAGAGGCGGCAAGAGTGCTTGCTGACGCTCTGCAAAACAGGTTTGGACTCAGGCAGCGCTGCCCATCCGCAGCAGCAGACAGCTCACCCACGCGATCCAGGTAGAGCAGACGGCGGGCCTGCAGGGGAGCGTTGCGAGGGCTGTGCGCAGTCGGAGGGCTCTTTCAAGCAGCGCCCAAAGGGTCATGAGGTCACTCCGCCGCCCACCTGCGGGGCACGCGCCGGCCCTGTGAAGGCCTGCAGCACGCCCGACAGCTTGACCACCGTGATGAGCGCCTCGTTGAAGTCTTTCCTGCCCATGATGCTCCATCTCGCCAGCCGGTTCATCCTGGGTGAGAGGAGAGGGACGTGGGCAGGGCAGGGCACCAGCGTGTCGGCAGGCGGAGCAGGCGGCGGCAGCGGCATAGACTGCTCAGCCACTCCGTGACCCGAGCGGGGGCCCCGTGCAATCCGTATCCAATCGTTCACCTCTTCAGAGCTCCAAGCTGGGAAGCGGGGAGGTGAATTGCCGAAGCCCTTGGGTTGGAGTTAGTCCGCCCAACCCACCACGGTGCCTCGGATCTCCACGAGTTCAGGCGATCAATGTGGTGCGATCGGCGGAGACCTGTGGATCACAACGCGCCTGACGCCCGCCTGGCCGCTCAGCGCCCTTAGCGCACCGCCTCCCGCCTCCGCTAATGTGTGCCAGCCCACCTCGTCCTCATTTGTAAACGGCGGCATGTGATGCGAGTGGGCATAACGTGGGGTTGAAGCAGAATGGAGGGCACCGCAGTGATGGGCTGGCCCGGTCAAAGCAGATGAACGGCAATGACGGCAGGCCCGCTCAGCTGTTCTGTCTAAGCGAAGTGATGGTGATCACAAGGGCTTAACGACTGACTGACTGCAGCAGGGCGACAGCAGAGCAGCCGACAAGGCAGCCGCTGCAGCCACCAGCGCCACGAGCCAGAGCCGCACCGCCGCCAAGCTCGCCTCGCCCTGGGAGCAATCCACCACGGGGCTGAAATCGGGGAGCTCGAGGCTGCCGCTGGTGAGCGGGTATGTGCCGACTGTGGGGATGGTGAGGGACTTGGGGCAGTTGAAGGCGCCGCCATCCATCTCGTCCGACACGTTGAACCCTGGTGTCTTGTTGAAGCAGAGCCGGAGGTCGGCAATGCCAGCGCCGCCCTTGTACGGCTCAGTGACGTACTCTGCGGTGGATTGGGCATGGCCGCACCTGTGTGGATGCCATGTGTGCTGCCATTAAGTGCGCCACTTGCCCTAGTTAGCGCCACCGCGTGCGCCTGGCTGCTGCACTTGCCTACGGTGCAGGGCGAGCCCTGCGCCACGCACACCATGCGGTTGCTTGTTCCCAGGCAGTACAGGCAGTAGGCTTGGGAGCCGGCGGCGAACGATCTGCCGTCGGCGCCGCTCACTCCCGCCGCCGCCGAGAGCAGCAGCAGGGCGGAGGCCGCAAGCGCCGGCAGCGACATACCAGCCGCTCTGTTCAAGGCCGGGCTCATTCTACCTCTGCAGAGATGTGCTGCACTCGTAACAAGTAAGAACACAGGATGGGGAGGGAGGGGAGCAGGCACCAAGGAATGCCTGTAGCGGGGCCAATGGGTGTGTCAGTGGCGCCTTGGAATGCGGCTGGGCTTCGAATCAGGGCCTGAAGCTCCCGAATCGAAGGCCTTGAGGAATGGAGGAAGAATGCGCCACGCTTTCTTCACGCCCTGCGCCCGAGTGTGCACCACGGGAGCCACCGGTCTTGTCAGTTGAGCGAGTGAACCCACTCACTGAGCTCAGGGGCGTTCCCCGACGTTTCACCGCGGGTTTGAGAACCAACCCCACTCCCTGGCAGCTTCGACGAGTAGTATGGAGGGCATCAGCGGCTGGGGTCTTCCCCCAGGGGTGGAAGGGGCGTCTGCCCAGGGCGGCTTCGTCAGCGGCGGTGGCGGCAGCGGCGGCGGCGGTGGCGAGGCTGGCACACCCGCCGGGATGCAGGATCTGCCTGACGAGCTCCTGGGCGCTGTGCTGGCGCTGGTGGGACGCGAGGAGGGGTGAGCTGTGCTGCTGCATCTCCCAGCCAGTCTCTTGCCTCTCGATCCATTGCTACCCTGCTGACTGAGCCGTCCGCCTGCAAACTCCCGAGCAGGCGGGCGCTCCCAGCCGTCTCCCGCCGCTTCTGCCGCGTGTTTTGGAGCACGGCGCCGCTGTGGCGGCAGCTGCGCATTGCCATCGATCACACCGTGGCTGGGCTGACTGATGCGGAGCTGGCCTGCTGGTTTGAGGGCAGGCAGCGCCTGTTGCAGCGCGTGGCGGGCATGGCGCAGCGGGTGGAGATAGCCGGCGAGCCGGAGCCGGATGTACACCGCAGCGGTGATGGGCTGCCGGGAGAAGGGCAGTGGGCACGCGTCGGCTGGCGCGCAGCGGCGCTGCTGGCCGGCCTAGACCGCCCGGGCGCTGCGGTGGAGAGCGTGACAGTCAGGGTGTGGGGGCTGCGGCTGTCGTGGGCGGAGGCGGCCGCGCTGTGCCGCCTGCCCCGGCTGCAGCGGCTGTGGCTGGGCCCGTCGGACGAGTTTGACGAAGAGCTCTTTGAGGGGCGCTGCCAGCTGCCAGCCACCGCGGCGAGCGCGCTGGGCCAGCTGTCCGCCATGCTGCAAGTGCTGTGCCTCATCGTGGACTGCCTGCCCAGTACCGCGGTGCCGGCCATCTGCCGCCTGGCTGGCCTGACGCAGCTGACGCTCGACAGCTCCGCCCCGCTGCCGAGCCTTCAGCGCCTGGAGGATCTGCGGCAGCTGCAGATGCTGCGCCTGCAGGAGCTGTACAGCAACCCCGAGGGCTTGCGCCCGCCAGATCCAGGCCTGATGCCCGCCCTGGTCACGCTTCAGATGGTCGCCAGGCGCATCCAGGTGGGCGGCTAGGAACCAAGGGAGTGGGAAGTGAACAGGTGAGACCGAGGGTGTGGGCAGCCAGCGGCATGGCGACGCCAGGAACCGCCGCGCACCGTGGCGCATGCCCCATCGAAGGGCTGGAGCGATCACTGTATCTCGGCACGCGCCTCCGCCCGCTTGCAGGTGCCCGAGCGATCCGGCGGCGGCATCGTGCGGGGCTGCATCGATCCCAAGGAGGACAGCGTCTGCGCCCTTGAGATGTTCCAGGTGATGGTTAGGGAGCACGTGGGAATGCCAGGTGGTCCCGACTGTCGCAGAGCAGGGGGGGGGCTTGTCGTCTAACCACCTGTCCCGAGCCAGTCCACCCTGATGCGCCGGATGCTGCACCCGCCCGCAGTGCATGTGCTGCGACAACCGCACCCTGCAGCTGCGCGGCGTGTGCATGCAGCACAGCGCGTGCCTGCTGGCCATTATGGACGCGTGCGGGGTGGGGCAGGGCCAGCTGGAGCACCTGCAGCTGCAGCGGTGCCACGTGGCGGCGGAGGGGCTGAAGCCGCCGCCCGGCGTCTCGGCGGAGCGGCAGCAGCAGGCGCTGAGCCACCTCACCATTCTGGAGGTGTCCGGCTGCTTCCCTGTGGAGGCGGAGGGCGGCATGGAAGACTTCCTGCACCACCTGCTGCCCCAGCTGCCCGGCATGCGCTCCCTCGCCTTTGAGAGATGCGAGCTGGATGGCAGCCCAGAGCTGGCCGAGGCGCTCGGCAGCAGCCCGCCCCTGCTCAGCCTGTCGCTCACCAGCTGCGGCCTGGACAGCCTCCCCGCCGGCCCATACCTGGAAGGTGGGGGGTGCGGGCAGTTCCCTCGGCTTGATGCCGTAACTGTGCCCGTCGTGGTGCGCTGATGGCTGTAGGTCGGCCTGCCTGGGCCAGGCTGCGCACGGCATCAGCACAAGACAATGGCACACTGCCGCCCTTGGCCCTGCAGGCCTGGAGGAGCTGCGCCTGGGTGCCAACCGGCTGGCGGAAGTGCCGCCGTGCCTGACAGCATGCGCCACCAGCCTCACCATCCTCGACCTGGGAGGCAATGCTGAGCTGGCGGTGACGGAGGGGGCTGTGGAGGGCATCCTGCTGCAGCTGCCTCGCCTGCACCATCTGGGCCTGTGGGGCACAGCCACACCGCCCGAACCGCTGGCCTACCTCGAGGACCGGGCCCCTTGGCTGGATGTGAGGACCACCCCCCCCAGAGCGCAGCAACTGGTCTTCTCTGTCCAATGACGAGGACGGCAGCGAGGCTTAGCGCTGATGCGTCAACAGCCAGAGCGCCCAAGCGTTCTGTTTGCTTCCTGCTCTGCACCGCTTAGCGTTGGTGGTCGTGCCTGCTTTGACGTGACCTGCTATTGCGCCAGTTGCTACCAAACTAGCCACATGGCATGAAATGTGATGCACAGAGTGTTTCCTCACCAAAGCTGAAATGCGAACGCCAGCGCCGCCAAGCTGTCGCGCCGCCACCCGCCCCTCTGTTGGAACTAGCAGCCAGCCCAGAAGGCCCCACTCCAGCGCGTTCTCAATCGAGCTGGCGATCACTATGAGCTCAACAATCGCACCCAGGGCGGCGCCTGCGGGCCAGTTCAGGGGGGGGCAGCGCAGTGCCGCCTGCCGGCCGCACACTCACGCCATCAGCAGGCTTCGGAGCTGCCGGATGCAATCCACGCATCGGGAGCCCGAGGTGGTGAAGACTGGCGATGAAGGTGATCAAAGTGTGATCAAGCAGTGTGGGAGGCGTGCATACACCGCGCTGTTGTGTTGGGATCGCCACCGCAATCAGGGCAAGCGCCCCGCAGCGTTGGGGCGCTGGGCGCGAGGGCTGGCACCGCCGCCGCCGCCGCCCGTCACTGCCGCCCTCTGCAACTCCCCACGCTCTACCACAGACCTTACAGCACTGCTTCAACTTTTCCCACCAATCTCACCAATCTCATTCACGTGCACCCGGCCGTCTCCCGTCGTCCCCTCCGCTGTGTGCCACCGCAGACACGGAGGACTTGAGCGACAAGTACACAGACGTGATGCAGGAGCGCATGGGCTCCGCAGTGCTCACCTACCGCCACGAGGACGGCACCAACTTCTCCCGCATCCTGGAGGACCTCATCGTGGGCTCCTGCCTGCAGCAGCCCGCCGACGTGGACAGGCGCGTGTGTGTGGGTGCCCCCGGGGTCGGGGGAGGGGCAAGGGGCGGCGGGGCCAGGGCAAGGGAGGCAGAGGCAGGCGGGCCCTGTGGAGGGGCGTCGCCTGTGTTGCCGACATCAGCCGTCAGCCAATGGCCGGCAGCAGTGCCCCCACATGCCACTCACGCCGTCCCTCCCCTGGCATCCTCAACCACCCCCTCACTCCCGCTCCCGCAGGGTGGCGGACGGCGAGGATGTGCGCACCGTGCTGTGCCTGCAGGAGGACAGCGACATGGCTTACTTTGATCTGGACCTCACACCCATCTTGGAGCGCATCGGCGAGCGGGGGGACGTGCGCCACGTGCGCCACCGCATCAGGTGCGCGGCTAAATGAAGGGGGAAGGGGCCGCGTTTCGGTTGGCCGTTCGGGCTGTCAGATGGCACCTGGTTGGCGTGGCACAAGCGCCCATGGTCCCTGCTGCCAGCCGCCATCGCTCAGCTGCTCCTCTCACAGCTGCTGCCGCCGCCGCCGCTGCTGCTGCGGCCCAGCTCCGCTCACAACCGCTCCCGACGACTGCTGCCGCTGCCGCGGTCGCCGCCGCAGGGACTTTGACCCCTTCTCGCTGCGCATGGAGCTGCCGGGCGCGGTGGCGGCGCTGGCCCAGAATGCGGCGGCCAACGGCGGTACCGCCTACGTGCACTGCACGGGTGGGAGCGGCAGCTGCCGGCTGCCAGCAGAACCTTGCGTTGCCCTGGGCTGCCTGGGGCCTCGAGTAGCCAGGAGCAGCCACGCCAGCGCTGTGCTGTGCACCTGCCGTGCGGGCACAATCGCTACCCTGCCATGCCCACGGCCCCGCTTCCGCCGCTTGCTGCCCTCCCCGTCTGCCGCTGCTGCAGCCGGGCTGGGGCGGGCGCCTGCCACCGCGCTGGCTTACATGTGGTGGTTCAAGGGGTGGCACCTGGAGGATGCCTACCAGCACCTGACAGGTGCGGCTGTGGGACTGGCTGTGAGGCTGCTGAGGGGGCGGCAGCAGGGCACAGCGCGGCGTGCGGGCGGGTCACCCAGCCAGCTGCCTAGCCCACCGCACTGCTGACTTGCCCAGCCTGTTCTGACCGCCCCGCCTACGCCCTGCCGTCATGCGGCCCGCCCTGCCGCAGGCATCCGCACCTGCAAGCCCAACGCGCAGGCCATCCGCAACGCCGCCGCGGATGTGCTGTACGGCGAGCCGCCCACCCCGGTCTGCATTACGCTGCCGCGGTACGGTGTGGAGGGCGTACCGCAGGCGAGCCTTCGCTGGCGGGCTTCCGGCCTGGCGCCGTGCCGGCGCTGCTTGTGATCGGCACTTGCTATGCTCGCGCTGTGCAGTTTTGCGGTGCAAGGGCAGTAGGCGTTATGCCTGCGTGAGCAGCAAGCTTCCTCTCCTCACATGCCTGTCTCCTGGCGGTTTCTTCACCGCAGGTGGCGGGCCTGGATGTGGGGTGGGGCCAGCAGCTGGACATGGCGCCAGACCCGCAGTTCCAGCACCGCTTCCTGCTGCAGCGCTGCCTGCCGCCCGGCACCTACCAGTTCAAGTTCATCATCGTGAGTGCCTGGGTTGCAGGAAGAAATTAAGAAAGAAACTTGCACAGGGTCAACTTTGAGTGCAAGCGGAACAATTAGATCTGGGGCGCAGCAGAAAGAACGTCGGTCTTGCTTTCTTGGGACGCTCACCCGCCCCTCTGACTTTACCCCTGCTTGCCCCCGCATTGCCGCAGAACGGGCGCTGGGGGTATGCGCCCAACCACCCCACCCGCCTGGATGGCGACAACCTGAACAATTACGTGGCGGTACCGTATAGCAACACCGACCCGGCAGTACAGGTGCGGCACAGGCGGCAGCTGCGGCGGCACTCAAGCCGACGTGCAGCCCGCTGCGCTGTCGCCAAACCCCTGTGCTGACCGTTCCTGGCCCACCGCCTCGCTCCACAACCCGTGCTGCTGCCCGTGGGACCGCAGGCGGCGCGTGAGCGGCTGCTGGCGCCTGGCGGGCGCCTGACTGAGGAGGAGGCGGCCCGGATCCAGCAGATCTTGCTGGCCCTGCCCCTGAACGGCGGCGGTACCACAGGCAACCTTTCCGCTACCTCCTCCTCCTCTGAGGAGTGAGGTGAGGACCAAACGAAGAGCTGGGAGAAAAATCCCAGTACCCAGCCAGCACCTCCCTGCAGCACTGTACCCTCCCGCATGCAACGTAGCAGCCATCGATTCCAGCACGGTACCACCTTCCTGCGAGCCTGTCTACCTACCTTAGCTCCCTCTGTTTGCATCTCCTGGCACCATTTTCTCGCACTGTTCCTGATTGTTGCGGTGCTTCCAAGCACCTTTTGCCCCAATTGCCGCTGCTCCTGTTCCGCACTCCTGCCGTTACTACGTATGTTGACATTCTTTGTGTTACTGGTCTCTTAGGTTCTGAGTTCTGTGTTGGAGCCACTGCCCAGGTTCAGGCTGAGCTGCAGCATGGTCTGGTGTACGGGGCATGCCGCAGCCACCAAGGCAATCCCCAAGCAGCCAGACAGCCCGCTGGCGAGCAGCCAGACAGTCCGCTGGCGAGCAGCCAGACAGGCCGCCGAAGCTCAGTCCAGCGCCACGTCAGCCGACAGCCACTTGTGATCCGACAGCTCGTAGCCGTGGTTGCCCACCGCCTGCGCTGCCACCCGCAGCCGCCGCAGCAGCACCCAGTCCAGCTTGCCCTTCATCAGGCTCAGCCCAAACCACCGGTACTGAGGATTGTCGAGCGTCACGGTTGTGCAAGGGTCAAATGGATCTGCAGGCGAGGAAAGGCATGCAGCTGAGGGTGCTGCAGTGGCAGGTGCATGTCTGCAGCTGGCAGCAGCCGGAGGCGCAAAACAATGGCAGGTCTGGCAAGGAACGGCAGCAGCACAGGCAGCAGAAACGAGCCCTGACCGACCTGCAAAACCGGGGTTGACCGCGTCTCTCGCCACCGCCTCGCCCAGCCCCCAGGCCAGCAGCTGCCGGTTGATGGGTATGCCCGCCACGCCCGCTGCCTCCAGCATAGCTGTTTCTCCTCCTGATCCTGTTCCTGCCGCTGCTCCTGCTGCGTCTGCGCCTGCCGCTGCTGCTGCCACGGCCTCTGCGGCTGCTCCGGGCCCAACGGATGCGCTGGAGGCATCACTGCTGCCTGCTGTGTAGCGTGGGTCGGTAACTGGCAGCACATGGCGGTACCACACCATGGCCTCATCCAGCCCAATGCTCCTGCACAGGTGGCAGATCCGGCAGCACTGGGATGCTGGGGGTGCCTGGGTCGCGCGGCGAGCAGCGGCAAGACCCATCCTCCGTATCCACACAGAGACACATACACAGGACGCCGCCAGGCCCAAACCTGTAGCGCATAGGGTCGCAGCAGTAGTGGCGGGAGAGGCGGGCGATGCCGTGCGCCATGGTGTTGAGGTCGCCTGCAAGTGACGGCGGCGTGTTTGGCGTGGCGTGTGGTGAAACAAGGGATGTTCAATTTTCATTTTTGCCTTCCCAGCCCACCTAGGATGGCCTGGTGCTGCAGGCCTCGGTCAGCCATGCGGCGAGCGTCGGCCCAGATGTCGCTCAGCTGCGCTATGCGGGCCAGCAGGCCGCAGAACACTTCCAGGTGGGCGTTGTACACGACCAATGGGCCCTGCAGCAGCGGGTGCGCGCCAACAAGGGGTTGAGGCCGGCAGCAGGGCAGCAGAACAGGGCAGAAGAACGGAGGGGAGGGGCGGCAGCAGCCGTAGCCGCACCTGCGGCGTCGCCACCACCGCCCGCAGCACGGCGCGCTCGCCGCGCCGGGGCTCGCGCTTGGCCAGTGCGTGGGTGGGGTTGTTCCAGTCTACAGGGTGTATCCTGCAAGACACGATTTGGACAGCGATAGGTTGCGCCGCCGAAGTACTTTCGTACCGCAGCCGCCAAGCGCGCCGAGAGGGCAGCCATTCTGCAGCTTAATCCTTGAATCCTTGCTCTGCTCCTCCAAGGTTGTGTACCAGCATGGCCAGAGCTGAGGGCTTCGTCAGGGTCAGCCCCGACCGCACACGGCTCGAGCTGCCAGACGGCCGGCCCTTCTACTTTGCAGGAGCCAACTGCTACTACCTGCTGGTGAGCTTAACATGAGGGGCAGCAGGCCCCCGCTCGCCCATAGCATTGGGCCCAGAGCGGCGGAGCAGTGGCCGCTGCACCGCACCGGGACCAAACTGGCGTCAACCCGCAGCGCCCTGCCAATTCTGGCGACCCGGGCAGCTGCGCTGTGTGCCACAACCTTGGACTGCTGCAGACGCGGGCGGCAGACCCGGGTCTGCGCCACGAGTGCACCCGCGTGCTGGACGACGCGGCGGCGGCAGGGATCACCGTGCTGCGACTGTGGGCGTTTGCCGACGGGGATGAGTGGAACGCGCTGCAGGCGGGTCTGGCTGCGGCTGCGACAAGCCTGGGGCAGCGGCGGCCATGCCAGCCCCAAGCTGAGAGGAAGCAGGCCCGCCGCTGCTTAACCTTTCACGCCCACTTCCCCAACTGCAGCCCATAACCCTCCATGCCTACATCCCCAACTGCAGCCCAGCCCCGGACGGTTTGATGAGCGGGTGTTCCGAGGCCTGGACTGGCTGGTAGCGGAGGCGGCTGCCCGCGGCCTGCGCCTGCTGCCCGTGCTCACAAACTACTGGCAGGAGTATGGCGGCATGCGCTGCTACGTGCGCTGGGCGTGCGCCCAGCGCGGCCAACAGGTGCTGCTTGGGCTTTGCCGCCTGGGCGATTATGTTGGGAGCGTGCTACAGCATCGCAGGGTAGAGCCGCTTTTGCAGCGGGGGGCTGCTCCAAAAGCCCGGCCTGATCAGCGCCGCGCAGTGCCCGCTGCCCTCCCGGCTCCTCCCCCCCACCTTGTGCAGCCACCCACCGGGGAAGGCGAGGCGGCGGAGCCCTTCTATTCCGACCCCGACTGCCAGCGCATGTTCCACGCCGCGCTGCACGCCCTGGTGCACCGCACCAACAGCCTGACGGGACGCATGTACAGGCGCGGGCCGCCGCTTGAGCCTTGACCCTGGCTGCCGCCACTCCCGCAGGGCCTGATGCGCCTGGCTGGCGCCACGGCTGCCCTGCCCACCCGCCCGGCTGCCTCCACAAGCCCTCAGGCAACCTGAGGTGGCCCACCCTGGCCTTCCCTTCCCCTGCAGGGACGACCCAGCGATCCTGGGCTGGGCACTGGCCAACGAGCCGCGCTGCGCAGGGGACACCAGCTGCGCCAGGGTGGCGCTGTGGGCGCACCATGCCGCCACCTTCCTGAAAGAGCTGGACCCTCACCACCTGGTGACGCTAGTGAGGAGCCCCAGGGGTTGGCTGTGTGTGCTGGCGTGGGTGCGTGTTTTTGCAAGTGAGATTGGCAGCAGGCAGCAGCCGCACACTCGGCCCAAACACCAGCCAGCCTGGCGCCAAACGAGCAGAAAGGGTGCGCTGCCCATGCCAGCCACGGGCAACGCGGGGCAGCCCGCTGCAGGGCAGTCCCAAAAGGGACCGCCGCGCACTGCCCCCGCTCCTTCCGCAGGACTGCGAGGGCTTCCTGGGCCCCTCCACCCCCGCCGCCTGCCGTGCCAACCCCTTCGACTGCGCCGCCAGCGGCTGCGACTTTGCCTCCGACTGCGGCTCCCCAGCCATCGACTTTGCCTGCTGCCACCTGTACCCAGACCACTGGCTGCCGCGGGCAGGCGAGCAGGCACGTGGCACACCGTGCCCGCACGACGCGTCTGCCATGCACCTGCTGCCCCGGCATGGCGCATTGCGGCGCGCTGTTCCACATTCCACACAAAGGTATTGCCTGAGCTATCATGTCCTTGCAGGAGCAGCTGCGCTTTGCGCTGGGCTGGCTGGACTGCCACGTGGAGCTGAGCCGGCAGCTGGGCAAGCCGCTGGTGCTCAGCGAGTTTGGGAAGCGGCGCGGCGGGTGGCCAGGGGCCGCGGCGGCAGGCCGCGGGGACGAGCAGCGGGCGGAGTATTACCGCCAGGTGCGGGGCCCGGCAAGCCTGGCAAGGCGCTGGGAGCACTTCCTCTTGCGCAGGCCAGGAGTCCACTCAGATGCCTGCCAAGCTTTGTCAGCAACTCCCTTCCACACACTGCCCCAAGCACCACCCCCCAAGCGCACCGCCCTGCGTGCGAATGCAGGTGCTGGGCGCCGCGCTGCGCCACATGCGCGCGGGCAGCGGGCTGGCGGGCTGGGCGTTCTGGATGCTGGCGGCCCCCTCCTATCCCGATTATGATGGGTTCACTGTATACTTCAGTGGCGGGCCTGATGGGGCAGGCAGCGGCAGCAGCCGCACCGCAGGGGTGATCAAGGAGGCGGCGGCGGCGGTGGCAGCACTGAATCGCGAGGCGGCGCCTGCCGCAGCGCAGGGGGGAGGGCAAGCAGACCACCTCAGCCCGCTGCTGGGGCTGGGTGCGCCCGCGGGCCCAACAACGCCGGCAGGCAGCAGCGGCCGAAGCCAGGCTGGCGCCGGGAGCAGCGCTTGCTCGGACTGTGCATGCATGTGACGCTCCAGGCGCCCAAGCAGCCTCCATGAGGTCATGGTGCTTGAACCGCACAGCATCCAGTAAAGAGTCATCAGCAGTGAACGGGGACGAGAGAGTTGTGTGCCCCGGCCACCACTGCGCCACACCACGCCCACCACACACCGACTTGGCATCAGCGCTTGCCTGTGGGGCACCACCGCGGCTTCTTGGATGTCAAACTTTGTTAGAATGGCGTTGCCGTGCACGCCGCCGCCCTGCAACAATTCGGCACAGCAGAAATGCAACGCAACACACGCAGTGTGAGCACCGCAGTCCGAATGAAGGGAAGCCGATGAGGCGCGCATGCCGTAGCCGCCAGCTGCTCGCTGCTTCATGGCTCCCTTCCGCCATGAAGGGTCTGGCACCAGCTGGCCTCATGGCGTGTCCATGAGGCCAGCTGGTGCCAGCTCCCAGGCCTGGAGCCTGCCGACCTGCCTGTGTCCTGGCGTCCCGCAGCGGCGAGTGCAGCTCCTCAAATTCTGAAAGGAAGACGTAATTCAGCTGGAGGGCCTCGGCAATGGCCACGCCTGTGTACTGACGGGGGGTGGGGTGTTGGTGAGAAGGTGGGTGGTGGAAGGGAGGAGTTGGGAGGAGTGTGTCGTGAGTGCGTTGGCAGCAGCAGCAGGCATAGCATGGGCCCTGGCAGCGCAGCTGCAGCGGCTGGGATGGGAGAAGGGCGCACCGGTGTCGACGCTGCCGCTGCGCTCGCAGCCCACATCCACCTCCTGCAGCAGGGCAGGGCAGGGCTGGACTGAGCAGGTGCAGCGTGGTGGCTGCGGGTCAGTCCCGTCACTAACCGCCTCCTGCTCCTTCCGCCCACCTGCAGGGACAGGATGTCAGCATCGATGGCTCGCAGCTCCTCGATGATGCCAGCCAGCTGGTAGCCTCGCTCGATGTTCCACTGCAGGCAGCAGGGGATGGTGCCAGCAGGTGAGAACCACAAAGTCCCCGTCCAGGCGGGCGAGTGGGAGGCGGCGAGTGGTCGGCAGGGGGGGCACACCCATCCGGTGCACGCAACTCGCACCTGCAGCAGCTTGATGGTGCTCTTAGCCTCTGGCCGGGCCGGGCCGGCCGGCCTACAGTCCCTCCGGAACAGCTTGCCAGGCAGGGTGAGCTCCATCTCCATGGCTGCTAGTTGTGCGGTCTCCCAATGCCCCACCAATCGATGGGTATGTGCGCTCGCAGGGCAGCCTGCGCCATGGCGCGCCAGGCAAGCAGTCACCACAGCATTCTCAGCAGGCTCCGCTGAGCCGAATGCCAGGGGCGCTCGTCTCGTTCCTGAATGCAAGGCACTTCGTAGAGGGCCTCCACTGCTGTAACTCGCTCCAGGCGCTTCCTGCCGTCCAATTCTGTTGCTTTCTGCCCCTCCAGCGCAGCCCAGCAGCTCCAGCCATGGACTGGGATATGCCCGAGAGTAGTGACGACAGCGAGGAGGGCTCTCTCGGCGGCGGTGAGGCCCACCTGCCGGAAGCCGCTGTGTGCTGCGCCCTGGGGCGTCCCTGTACGCAGTGGGGTTGCCACCGAGGCATGCATGTGCCTGAACGTGCCATCGACGGGCAGTCCCTTGCCCGCCGCCGCCGCCGCCGCCAATGCCTCCGCCACCGTCACGCTTGGGGTGACCGACCCGCCTTGCCCTTGCGCAGGCTCCGTTGTCAGAGAGGGGGGTGCTGCAGCGCTGGGCATGGACGCCCAGGCTCCAGAGTTTTACGATGCAGAGGCAGACGACAAGGACGAGGCGTGGGTGCAGAAGATGCGCGGGTGGGTGCAGGGCAGGAGAGGCACACCGTGTCCCTTCCTCCGCCACTCGCTGGCTCCTCTGCCGGCCACGGTTGCACATGTCTCCAGAGCTGCTGCTGGTACTGGGCTGCTGGGCTGCAGTGGCAACCGCGCCTCCTGCTGGCCGACCATCCCCTGTGCCGCAGCTCGCACAAGTCTGATGCCCTGCTGAGCTGCCCGCTGTGCTTCACCACGCTGTGCATCGACTGCCAGCAGCACGCGGTGTACGACAACCAGTTCAGGGCCATGTTTGTGATGAACTGTAGGTGAGCCAGGCGGTCGAGCTGGCGGCTTGGCAGCGACTTGTGTGCAAGGGCACAGAGACCCGTGGCGCTGGTGCTTGCCTTTGCTGGCCCAGTCAACAAGCGAATCCCGCCTCTGCTGCCGTGCAGGGTAAATACTGGAGAGTTGGTGACGATGCCAACCCAGCCTGCCAAGCGAAGCAAGCAGCGAAAGCAGAGACAAGAGGCGGGGCAGCAGCTGGCGCAGCAGCAGCAGCAGCAACAACCAGAGCAGCAGCAGCAGCCAGGACAAGCAGCGGCGGGGGCTCAGCAGCAGCAAGAAGGGCCCGCAAGCTCACAGCCCCCGCCGTCGAGCCGGCTCAACCCGGTGTGCTGCGCTGTGTGCGAAACCGAGGTGGGACTGCGGGACGCGACTGATGGCGTCTACATTTTCATCAATGTTTTTGCCAGCAACTCGTAACACTGTGGAAACTGCACAGCGACCTGGCACCAGCCCACGCCTGCGCATGCAGTCACGGCAGCACTGCCACCACCTTACATCATGCATGGCAGCATGGCAGCGGCTGTTTGCAAGCCTTCAAGGATTAAAGAATCATCCAGCAGGCAAAAAGCTGGGCAAAATGGGCATGCCCCTCTGCACATGGCCAGGGGACTTGTGAATAAAAGGCCCACGGCTGGCATGGAGCGAAGCAGTACACGAGGGGGAGGCCCCCGGTTCAGGCGCGGGCAAGTGATGGTACACCGGAAGAATAAAATCGATCCATCGGACAGGAGAGGCTCGTTGCCGTGATTCGTTGGTGTGAGCAATACTATGGGGCCTGGCGACGGCCCACAGTGCATGTGGCTGGCCTCCACCCTATGTGGCAAACGCGAGGCACTCGGGCATGCCGGCAGTGAGCTGCGCAGCCATGTCGTCGCTGAGCATCATCAGCCCTGCAAAGGTGAAGGGAGGGTTCAGCGCAGGCAGCAGCATCTGCAGCGGCTGCCGAGCCTAGTGCTGCCACGGCTGCCAGCCGATGAACCCAAAGCAGGTGGAGGGGCTGCCGCTGACACGATGGTGCTGCAGGAGCCAGCCTCGATCCTATGCTGCCATCGGCTGCTGCCACGCAGCCCGCACCTGCAGGCGGCCCCGAGATGGCCAGGTTGGCCTGCAGCAAGCCCACGCGCACTTCCCAAGCGCCGGTGTGGGGCATCACTGTCACCAGCCGCACATCCGCATCAGGTTGCTGCAGCGGCAGCGGCACGGCACAGCGGTTGGCAACAGCGGTTGGCAAGGCGGCGAGCTGCTGGGGCAACGGGCCACGCACTGCCTCTTCAGGGTCCAAGTGCTGTGTTTGGGCATGCAGCAGAATGAGCCCAGGCCATGCATTCCGGGCGCCCACTCACCGAGGGCAGGCGGCGGAAGTAGATTGCGAGGCGCTGCTCGGGCGCGGCGCCCCATTCCCGCAGGTTCTCCGCCCACTCAATCACCGACACCGACCTTGGGAAGGTGCCCGCAATGACCTCGCAGTCGGCGTCGCTGGGCCGTGACAAGTTGCCCACATCATAGTGAAGTATTGGCAGCTCTGCGGCGGGATGAAGGGATGGGGCCCATGGCGTTGGGGCGTCGTACATGCAATGTGCGAGCCAGTACTCAAGCGCCGAGTGCGCTGGAATGCTGCCATCCCGCTGTTTCCCACCTCCAAACTCTGCGGGCTCCACCAAGCCGTGGCCGCTGTACTCGTTGGGCCGCAGGCCCTGCGGCGGCGGCGCCACCGCCAGCCCCTGGTCCTGGGCGGCGGAGCGGATAAAGGCGCGGCTGCACCGGCGGCGGCGGGGCAGCAGGGGACTTTCGGTGATCTCACAGGCAGTAGTACGATCGTCCAGGCTCCCCTCAAGCTTGCCTGAGGTCATCCTGCGCCTTACTACCACTGGCATGCTGACATGGCACTACCACAGCCGCGGCGGGCCTCCCCGAACACCCCCTCGGGCCCAGGGGCGCCACAGAGGCGGCTGAACTCACGCCCAGGTGCTCTTGCCGCCCCCAGCATCGCCCTTCAAGCAGAAGGCGTCTCCAGCTCGGAGGTCGGCTGCCATAAGCTCTGCAAGGTGCTGGGTGGCATCTATGCTGGTAGCCAGAACCGTGAACTGCCTGCCCGTGAACTGTTCCGGCAGCGCCGAGGCGTACACCCGTGCTTGAAGCCTGCCGCTGCGCCGCGAGCCAGGCCGACTGGCCGCAGGCACTGCGCGATGTGCTTTGAGCGCCTGCATGCTGGATGTTGCGAATGGTTTGACGCGGGCAATGGATCAGGCCTAATGGTGGTTGGCCCAGCACAGCGCAGCGCACGAACTGCTGCCGCCGCCGCCGCCCCCGCATCGCCAGCCGCTGTCTGCACCTCTGCTCATCGTCCTTTTCATTAAAAGCGCCAGTCCAGGCTCACAACAACAGAAGCTCAGCAACATTGTCCGCTGTGAACAGGCGCTGCCGACTTGCCGTGAGCGGGTTGTGTCACAATGCAACGGTTGCATTGCTGGGTCGCTGTCCAGCAGGGCAGATGCAGCGAGTCAACACCCATGAAACCTGTTCATTGCATGCAACTCTGAGTTGATGGGCCTGTTGTGGTCTTGCTGAACCTGCCTGTGAGGCACGATGCCCAGGGGCATGCATGGCGGAGGAAATCATCAGCAAATGTGTGTCGTGGGCAGTGTGGCCTGCACAATAGCATCTACGCATACCCATCTGCAATTTTGCTTCCTTTGCCCCAGCGCCTCAGCAACATCAGGCAGCCACTGCTCAATTGGCACAAGGCGGCGCTGCCGCTGCCGCAGTACCTTTGCACGCCACAACTCAGTCCCTCCCCGCTCCGCATCTTCTGTTGTGTGGTTGGATCGGGTCGTGGGAAGAGGCCTGGGAAGCTGCGAGTTGAGCAAGAGCCTGTTTCCCGCTCCGGGAAGCCGCCGAGAAGCGGCTCGGGGACAGTCAAGTTTTGCTCGCTATTTAGGCAGTTCGTCATCCTTTCTGGTTACCACTTGCCTCTTCTTCACTCCTCGGCACACCACACCCCTCCTCCCCTCGAGTCATCGTCGTCTGAGGATGCTCTCGGCTCTCTCTGGTGCCCTAAAGACCTTGCAGCGCGGCCTAGGAAGCCGCGAAGTGGCGCCAGAGACAGCCGATCCACCCTCCAAGGGGCGAGGCTGCCCCTTCACGGGTTCCGTCGCCGCCGCCCCTGCCAGCGGGGAGCCTTCGCTGTTGGAGCGCATTGGCGGCAGCGCAGCTCTCAAGGCGTGCGTCGACGACTTCTATGGCCGGCTGCTTCAGGAGCCGAGCCTGCAGGCGTACCTGGAGGGCGTGGACCTCGCCCGGCTGAAGGCCCACCAGTACAACTTCATGCGTATTGCCTTCACGAAGATCCCAGACGGCATGGACGTCGTGGCGGTGATCAGAAAGGTGGGTGGCAGCTGGGCACGCCCTCCGTGGGGCTGGGAGTGGGGGCCGGAGGTGCCCGCCAGGTCAATGTGTCGCACAACAGATCCCTGCCTTGGGAGATGCAAGCGCTGCTGCGCAACTCACGCGCTGCCCCTTTGCTGCTGTTTGCAACCTGCAGGCCCACGCCCGCCTCTTTGCCAAGGGCTTGTGCGAGACGCACTTCGACCTGGTGGCTGGCCACCTTGTGGCCACCATGAGGGATGCCGGGGTGGCGGAAAAGGAGATCGATGAGGCGGTGGCCATCATCGAGCCGCTGCGGGCAGTCTTCCAGCAGGCCGCGTAGCGGCAGCTGGCAGGGAGGCGGCGGCGCGCTGCTGGGTGCATGCACCCGCGCAGCTGTGCCTGCCCCCCGCGCCCGCCACCCTGCTGCAGCCACATGCGGCCCCCTGTTTTCTTCCCGTCAGGCTGGCTCGACTCAGCTCTACCCATGCCCATGATATCATTATTCCTGCCCACTCCCCCTCCCCTCTACCTCTCCCTTCTCTACTCTGCTACCCCAACTATTTGACAGCAAGCTAGTAACTAACTTCGAAGTGTAACCAGCACTGCAATGCATGGAATGCCACCAACAATGGCAAGCGCATTTCGGAACACTGTTCAGGCAGTAGACACCCCCGCCACAGCACAGCGCAGGACTGACTGACTGAGTTAGGGCTGTGCAGCAGCGGCTTCCTGATCTCCCACACGGTTTCCGGCGCGCCTGAGACCACACACATGGGGGATCGGATGCAATGGATTGTCTGAATTTGTCGCAAAACATTGAGAAATACCTCCTCAGAGAGAATGCACAGAAAGTACAACAAGGCGGGCTACATATTTCATACATGCGAGGCTGAGGCTGGCCCCGCCCCAAAGGGTACGAGCGGGGCGGTATGGACCAGGACCCCGCCGCACCGTCAGCTTCTGCTGCTATTGCCGTGGCTGTGGCACGCCCGCCTCCAGGTCTGCATACCGCTGCCGCACCTCGTCTAAATCCACAACCTGCCGCCGCGGCCGGCGCACTGCATACCAATTCAAGCGTACCAGCTGTTTAGGGAAGCGTGTGCGGTGTGTTCTGCTGCTGCTGGAGAGCGTGCCATGCCAGCTCGGGCCATGACGTCAATGAGCACAGCAAGGCAGGGTTGGCCCCTCCTCCCGCACCCTGCCAGCCCCGCAGCTCACCCGGCCGCTGCATTGTGCGCAGGCACACCCAGGCCGTGAGCAGCACAACCCTGACCAGCCACGCTCCCGCCCCCGCCGCCGCGCCGCCTTCGCCTGCACACACACGGGGCAGCAGGCCGCGCAGGCCATCCATCAACGGCTGCGCACCGCTCTGCCTACCAGCACGCCGGCAGCTGCCCTCCGTCCCCCTGTCAGCACCAGCAGCGCACCAGCAGTGGCGGCGGCAGCAGCGGTGGCAGCAGCGGCACCAAGCCACCCCTCCCTGCCTACCTTCCTGCGCCGCGGCACTGAATGAGAAGGCTCCCAGGAGGCAGACCAGCACTAGCGCCACAATGGCGACGGAGCAGAGGGTGGAGCCGCAGCAGCGTGCCTCCTCCCCCGCCTCCTCCTCCTCCTCGCCCCGCCACCCCTCGCCCTCGCCCGGCTCTCCACCGGGCGGCACCACCACGCGCGCCACAATGGCCCCAGTCTCCGGGTCCGCCAGCAGGATGATGCGGTTGTCGGCGTTGTCAGTTTGCAGCGAGGCAGCGAGCGGCGCAGGCGGCGGGCGCGGCGGCGGCGCCCGGAAGCCGCCCCGGAACGGCGCCTTGCACACCTCGCACGTGCTGTCGTGCTTCTCGTCGATCCAGCGCTGGATGCAGGCGTGGTGGGCCCACTGCAGCATGTGGGCAGTCGGGGGGCGGGGTGAGGACCGGCGGGAAGCATAGAGGGCCCGCGGCAGTCGCGAGAGGGGCAGGCGGAGCGGGGTCGGGTCGGTGCGCCGCCAATCGCGCTCTGCTCACCGCCATGCTCCCTGCGCAGCTGCACGGCGTCACCATGCCGGCCTCGTCCTCTTGCAGGCATATCCGGCAGGCGGGCTGCGACGGCGCTGCTGGTTGTGGGTCTGCTGCTGCTAGTGGGGGCGTGGCCGGCGGCCCAAGTCCAACGGCGGCGACGGGCGGTGCAGCGGTGGTGCCGTCCGCCCTGCCGCTGCACCGCTGCACTCGAGGGCTGCGGGCTGCAGGCGCCCCGACGAGCGGTTGGCGCTCCTCGTCCGCCTCTGCTCCTGGTGGAGTCATGGCCTCAGGTGCCGCGGACGGCAGTAGTAGGCTGCCCTGTGCTGCTCGCCAGAGGGCAGAGATCCGGGACAAGAGGGAGCAGGGGCGAGGGGTTTGTCGGGAGGGCTGCCCTGGTGAGAGCCCTTGGGCTGGACACAACAACCCCAACACAGGTGTGCGGCCAGTGCCCTGGCTTGGGTTTACAAACAGCGATGCCCAGTACAGGCGGCAGAAACGGATGAAGACGGCCGGAGGAAAAGGCCCAGTGGCAAGTCGCGCAAAGCGGGGCGGCGCAAGTCTTGCCGGGAACCCGCCACGCCCTCACCACATGCCCCGGCCCTGCTTGGCTGCCGCCCTGTCCTTGCGGTGGTGGTTGCCGATGGCGGCCTTGTGCTGATCCTTGAAGCGCTGGTCGCCCCGCCCGCCTCGCCCTCTTCCGCCGCCGCCGCCGCCGCCATCACGCCCGCCGCCGCCACCCCTGCCGCCGCCGCCCGGCGCGGCCCCAGCGCCACTGCCCTCGCCCGCAGCTCCGCCAGGGCCCTCCTGCCGCTGCTGCTGCTGCTGCCGCTGCTGCTGCTGCTCCTGCGCCCGCCACGGCTTGTTGCCGCCGGGGCCCAGCCCCATCACCGCCTGCGAGGCCTGCTGCGCTGCCGCCAGCACCGCGCCTGCCTCCTCCCGGCCGCTCACCTCCTGCGCCCCAGGCTTGGCATAGTTGTAAATGCGGCCATCCAGCACCCACAGCTTGCTGCCCTTGGCCTTGGGCCCACGCTGCGCCTGCTGAGGCTGCGCCCCCGCCGCCGCCTGGGCGCCGACGCCGGGCTGGGATGCGGCGGCCGCCGACTGCAGGCCCGGCGCCGCGCCGCCGCGCCGCCCCGCGGCCCCCTGCGGCTGCGCCTGCAGCGACAGGCCCTGCATGCCGCGCTGGGCGGCCGCGGCGGAGGGCCCGGGCCCGTACCCCGGCGCCAGCACCCCCGCCGCCTCCTCATCCTCCTCTATCTCCGCAGCACCGGCCGCCCCAAACTTCACCAGGTCCTCCATCGAATCATCCCACTCATCATCATACTCCCACTGCAGAGCAGACGAGAAGAAGAAAGGAAGGCCCATTGGACAAGGCAAAGTGCGGAGGAAAAGGGCGGAGGCGAAGTGAGGACAGGGGGAGTGCTCCAGAGCGTGTGCAGGCAAGCCGGGCTGCTGACGGCGGCCGCGGCGCAGGCCGGAGTCGGGGCACAGCCATAGGTGCATGCAGGCAGTGCCAGGCCGGGGCCAGGCATGCAAGCCTGCCCGCCCCAGCATCAGCGCCGCACCTGGGCCGCGTTGGCGGCGGTGACGAGGGCCTCACGGTACGAAGCGTCCCGCACATCCAGGTACCGCGCGGTCCTGTCCTCGGCACGCGGCGCCCCCGCTCTGCCCGCAGCCTCTGCCGCCGCCGCCGCAGCCGCCGACGACGACGCAGCCGCCGACACGCCTCCAGCGCCGCTGCCGCTGCCGGGCAGGGTGGCCGGGAACTCGGAGTCATAGGAGGGCGCCGCGGGCTGCTTGCCCTTGTCCGCCGCCGCCTGCCACGCGGCCAGGCCCAGCTGGGCGTCCAGCGCCGCCAGCGGCGCAGGGAGGAGGCCCTCCAGCAGCGCGTTGACCACGCGCTCGGGGCTGCCGCCCAGCTGCTGCAGGCAGGCGGCCACGAAGCCGTCGCCGTACCCTGGCAGCAGGTCCCTGACCTGCGGGGGCAGGGCAGCAGGGCAGCAGGGCAAAGCAAGCAAGCTAACACATGAGCTGGGGTGCTGCAAGGTCTCTGAGCTGTGGCACGCACGGCTTCAGCTGGTGCCCAGGAGCAGGACGCAAGCCTCTTGGGGCAGACCCTTCTCTGTGCAGCTCCACCAGGCAGCCCACAACAGACAACCTCCCCTTGCAGCCAGCACCTGAGCCCACCTGCTGGATCTGGGTCTTCAGCGCAGCCATGTCCCTTGCAGCAGGCGCCGGGCCACCGGCCGTGGCGGCGGGCGCGCTGCCGTTTGCGCCGCCGCCGAGGCGGCCGCGGCCGCCGCCTGGCAGCGGCGGTCCCGGCGCTTCCGCCAGGCTCGACACCCCCAGCAGCGCTGCCACATAGTCTGCCTGCGCGTCGTCCAGGGACAGGCTGCCGCCCAGCAGTGCGGCCTGGATGCTGCCGCCCAGCCCAAACCGCTGCGCCAGGGCGTGGCCCAAGCTGAGGCCGCCGCCGCCGCCGCCGCCGCCGCCGGCCTCCTCCTCGCGGTGGCCCAGCAGCATGAGGGCGTGCAGCAGCGCCTCGCCGCGGGCCACCGGCGAGCCGCCGGCGCCGCCCGCGGCGCTGCTGCCAGCTGCGGCGGCGCCGCTGGCGGGCGCCGCCGCCGGCTGCAGGTAGCCGTGCAGCAGCAGCAGCTGGGCCAGCCGCTCGCTGGCCAGCTCAACGTGACACGCGCGGCGCAGCAGCAGCAGCAGGTCGGGGCGGGCGCCACCGGCTGCTGCGCTGCGGGCCAGACTGTGTACCGCAGGCAGCAGCTGGTCGTGTACCGCCCCCAGCGCCTCCACCGGCTCCGGGCCCTGCTGCAGCAGCGCCGCCGCGGCGGCAGGGTGGGCGGCCACCAGGCTGGCCAGAGTGAGGCAGGTGTCTCGCAGGTAAGAGATCCCGTCTGCAGGCGGGAAGAAAGAAAGCGGGCCGGCGGGTGGCAACGGCTGGCATGAGCGGTGGAGCACCGGCAGCCAGCCCCAGCACCAGCTGCTCCGCGGTACACAAGAAGCTACCTTGCACGGCGGGGAGCCTGCCAGCCCACCCCGCCCTCCCTCCCTGCACCCACCCTGCAAGCTCCGCATCATGTCTGCTTGCTTGGTGGCCTGGCCCGCGGCCGTCAGGCACGCCTCAGCCACCTGGCCCAGGTTGTGGGCGATGATGGGCGCCGCCTGCGCCGCCTGGCTGCCCAGCTTCGGCAGCAGCGCCAGCACGCCTGCCACCACCTGCGCCGGCTGGTCGCGGCTGCCGCCGCCGCCGCTGCCGTTGCCAGGCATGGCGCCGTACAGAGCGCAGATGTCCAGCAGGCGAGGGAAGTCGAGGAGGCGGGAGAGGAGCGCGGCGCGGTCGGCTTTAAGTGGCGCCCCCCGCTCCTCCGCGCACACCCTGCGCCAGGCAGGCAGGCAGGGCACCGAGGGGACGGAGGTTAGAAGAGTGGAAGAAAGGGAGGGCATGTTGCAGCAAAGCTGGGCCGCTGCTCTCGTGATGTGGCAACAAGATGGCAATGCATGGCTCGGCTGCTCACAGGCGGTGCAGCAGCGGCAGCATGCGCTGCCAGATGGCCGCCTCGGTTGCAGACTGCTGCTGGAAGTTTTCATCAAAGGGCCGCCTGCAAGCTCGGAGGCCAAGGCAGCGCAGATCACAATTAGAGAGGAATGAGGAGTTGCGGGGGGCGGCAGGCACACCGGCGTGCACCGCCGCACCGCCTGCCCGTCAGCACATGCGTGCATTGGCGGCGCTGCTGTCACACAGCTCATTGGATCGACCAAGCGGGCTGCACGGGGGCCCCCCTGGGGCACCTGGCATACTGCAGGAAGGTGGCGACCAGCATGGCGAGGCTGGGGTCGGACTTGGCCACCGCCCATAGCTCCTCGGTGGGAGCGGTCAGCAGCCATTCGATGTCGTCCTCGATCACCGCCAGCGCCTCACCCCCCGCTCCCGCTGAGTCGCCATCGGGCAGGAACGGCAGAAAACGCTGCATGGCGAGATTGATTCTAGCAGGCAGACATCGTGGGGTGGTGCTGGACTGATGCAGAAGCAACATAGGTGTGCGCCATGTGGCCACGTCACGCCACCCGCGCAACGGCGACGCAGCCGTTCATGGTGGCCAGGCCATCATGGTGGCCTGTTGGTAACGTCTGGAGAGCCGATTCAGTGTGTCTAGTCAGACGAGTTGCATCACAAATTAATACAATGCAACGATCAGTTTGCGGCAGGAGGTGCAACTAGCAGCGCAGCAATGCCCGGAACGCTCCTTTGGCTTGTGCGGTTGTTGCTGCATGCGCTGCTTGTCGCACATGCCTACGGAACCACCACCGCCGCTGCCGCCGCCGCCGGCCTGCCGCCGGCAGACGCGTGCCCCTGCAGCCGGCCCTCGCTGTGCCAGCCGGTCACAGCCACCCACCAGCGTGAAGTGTTTGGCTTCTCTGTCAGCCAGGATACGCCGTACGAGCGGTGAGTTTTGCCCCAGGCTTGCCTCTCGCACCAACCATCGGCCAGGCGAGAGCGGTTTGAGCAGCTCCTCTGCGAGCAACCTGGTCCCCCTGCCCAAGCAGGTATGACTGGAGCCAGCTGACGACCGTGGCCTGGAACGAGGACCCCGCCCTCATGTGCGCCGCACACGCCGCCGGCGCACGGGTGGTGCTGGACGGGCGCGGCGCCGACGCGCGTGGCGTGTACGTCAACAGGACAGCGCGGGCCGCCTGGCTGGCGGAGCGGGTGCAGCACGCGCTGCGGCATCACCTGGATGGCATCAACTTCGACCTGGTGAGCCCATCTAGGACATTTTTGGAGCTGTGCTGTGGAGCTGTTGCTGCATGCTAACAGGGCGCAGCCGCGAAACGGAAGTGTTCAGCCCCCGGCTCGCCGCTCGCTGTGTGACCCGCTGCTTCCACTCCCCATGTGCCGCTTGCAGGAGGACCCCCTGCCCCCTGGTGACCCCCTGGCCGGCGAGTATGCCGCGCTGGTGGCGGAGGCGGCGGCCGCCTTCCACGCCACCATCCCCGGCTCCCAGGTGTCTGTGGATGTGCCGTGGTCGCCCTACGGCATCGACGGGCGGTACTATGACTGGAGCGGCCTGGCTGGGGCTGCCGACCTGCTGTTTGTGATGATGTACGATACCCAGTCGCAGGTGAGGGGAGAGAGAGAAAGGGTAGTGGGGAAGGTAGCGAAGGGGGGAGAGGAAGGCATCAGCTGTATAGAAGCTGTTGGTGCACCGTGCAGGAGCGCTGCATGCTGTTAGCTGTTTGGCAACAGCACTTTGGCGTTATGGGCTGACTGTGTGGCTGTCCCTCGGCCCCTCCTTGCTGAGCAGATGTGGGGCCGCTGTGTGGCAGCTGCCAACTCGCCGCTGGCGCTGGCACGGCGCGGCGTGCAGCAGTGGCTCGACCTCGGCGTGCCTGCCAACAAACTTGTGCTGGGTTTGCCTTGGTATGGCTACGTCTATCCCTGCACCAACCATGCATTTGCTGCGGGTCAAGAGCAGGAGCTGTGCCAGCTGGCACCTGTCGGTTTTGCCGGCGCCCCGTGCAGCGATGCAGCTGGGCGCCAGACCTGTTACTCTGACATTGCTGCCATGGTGCGGCGTGGCAGCAGCGAAGGCAGTAATGGCAGCAGGGCCAGCAGCGGTAGCAGCAATGGAGGCGGTGGCAGCAGGGGTCTGCTGATAGGGCAGCGGGGAGGGGCTGGGGGCCTAGAGCGGCAGGAAGCAGAGCAGGGGCAGCAGCAGCAGCAGCAGGAGGAGGTGTTGGCATGCGAGCAGCCTCGATGGGACGACGCACAGGCCGCCCCTTACGCGCGGTGCCGCCGGGCATCCGACCCGCTCACGCACTCGCACCAGGTCTGGTGCTGGTGGCATGGCAGGAGGCTGGCAGCGCTGCTTTGGGGCGGGCGTTCGGTTGCCAGACTCCCACCTGTTGTTTCTGGCTCCCGCTGCATCTGAAGGTGTGGTTTGATGACCCAGCCAGCCTGGAGCGCAAGTGTGCGCTGGCGGCGGAGCTGGGCCTGCGCGGGGTGGGCATGTGGCATCTGGACTGCCTGGATTACCGCTGCACCGACTCCACCTGCCGCCAGGGCACCGAGGCCATGTGGGCAGCACTGCGGGCGTTTACAGGCGGGGCACAGGTGCAGATAGATGATGTTGCTTGATCCCAATTTTGCAACGCTTTGGACACTTGGAAGATGGAAGATACCCCCAGGGCTGCACATGGCAAGTGCATCATGCACCTTTCCATATCAGGCTGCCGCCGCCCGCCAGGTCAGCGGCGCTTTTGAAAGAAACTTGCGCCGCCGGCGATCGCCCCTCCCAGCAGTCTGTGGCAGGTTAACGGTTCCTGGAGGGCCTCAATCAGCTGCGCAGCGGGCATGGCTTTTTGAACGCACAACTCAAAGCTTGCCGAGGCCAGGGGCGGCCACCATGTTTCGAGCAATCACCAAGAAGAGCGCCAATGGGCATGGTGCCGATTCAAAGGGCACGCTCACGGCGCTGTGGAGCAAGGCCGGCAGCAAGGCGGACAACAAGGAGGCGCCTCTGAGCGATGCGGCCCCCGAGGGCGCTGCGGAGCCACCCTCGGCCCAGTTCACGCCGGCAGCGGCCTCCAGGGCCAGCGACGAGGCTGCGGCGGCAGGCCAGGCGGCGCCACCCACGACAGGCGGCGACGTGGCGATTGGCGCCGCGCCTGAGCCTTCGCCCGAGCCGATCGCTGTTGCCGCCCAGGTGGCGGCCGAGGTGCAGCCGCCGGCCAACCCCGATGCCCAGCCGAGCAAGGTGGGGAACTCAGCATGTGCAGGAAGTGCGGCACGGTCTGCCAGGGGGCCAGATGGCCCTCATCAGCTGGCAGCAGCTGGCAACAGTGCATCCTGGCAGTGGCACATACCCACCCCGCTCGGCGCTCCCTGCCGCGCCCAACCCAGCTGAAAGTTCTGTCTTCAAGTATTGCTGATGCCAAGCACGCTGGCCCGGCCTGTGCTGCAGGGCACCACCGCCGAGAAGAAGCGCAAGCGCAGCAGCGCCGCCGCCAACAGCGGGTTTAGCGAGGAGCAGCTGGAGCGGCTGCAGGTGGGATGATGCCGGGCTGCAGCGCTGCACCCTGCCGTCCCACACAGGCGCTTGTTAGCAGCCCTGCTTGCTACTGTGGGGGGCGCAGCCTGGAGGCAACACAGACATTTTCTGTTGTGTGGGAGAAACTGTCGAGTCCTGGAACCCATCCACTGCCACCTTCCCTACCATGCCGCTCCTCCGCCTCGCCGTGCAGGCGCTCTTTGCCCAGAACGAGTATGCCGGCACTGCAGCCAAGACCGCGCTTGCCACAGAGCTTGGGGTGGAGCTTGTGCAGGTGTGGTGGGTGGCTTGTTGGGCAACAGGCTGCTGGCTGGAGGGGTGACTGGGGCCGGTCTGTTGGCTCCATGGCAGTAGAGGTGCTGTCTCTCTGTCCAGCTGTCCAGCATGCTCCCTGCTTCCTCTGGGCCTGTGCCGGTCGCAGGTGAGCAAGTGGTTTGAGAAGCAGAGGAAGAAAGTGCGGGAGGAGACGGGCGCGCCGCCCAAGCGCGGCCGCCCCAAGTCGGGTGCAGCCAGCGGCAGCAAGCCGGCCCCGGCTGCTGCTGCCCCAGACAAGGTGGAGCCTGCGGCTGCTGCGGCTGGCCAGGAGGGCGGTGAGGCAGCAGCGGCAGCAGCAGATGCGGTAGAGGCTGGGGAGGGGCAGGAGGTGGAGGCTATGGATGTCGATGGTGCGGCTGAGGATGACCAGGCGGCAGCGCAGCAGCAACAGACACCCAGTGCGCCGCCCGCTCCCGTAGCGGCCCCTGCAGCAGCACTAGAGCCTGCGGAGGCAATGGCAGCCGATGAAGCAGGCGTCGAGCCTGCCGCAGCAGCAGCGGGTGCCGCACCCGCTACCGAGATCACGCCTGCCGCCGCCACCAGGCCGGCCGCAGAGGCAGCGCCAGCCACGCAGCAGGCCGTCTCAGCAGAGCGGCCGGCAGCGGCGCCTGCTGCTGCCAGCAGCCCGCCGACCGGCGCGGCCGCTGCTCCTGCCAAGACACCCGCCTCTGTACCGCAGCAGTACAGCCTGTCAACCGAAGACAAGGCCAAGCTAGTGGCTGATCTGGAAGCAGAGGCGGAGCAGTTGCGTCGGCAGGGCCTCGCTGCTCCGCTGCAGGTGCTGCCTGCCGATCCTCCAGCCGAGCGCCAGCCGTTTAGCGACGCCCGGCTGGCGGCGGCCGTGGCGGCGCAGCGCGCGCCGCTGTCGCAGCTGGCGGCGGCGGCGCTGCTGCTGTTCACGGCGCCAGATGGCGAGGCTCCGGTGGAGGAGGCTGTGCTGCGCAGGTGTGTGGAGGGCACCTGCCTCTGCGCCCCTGCTGGTTGCTGCCGTTGCTTTGGTTCTGCTGTTGAGGACTCGCTGCCAGGCCCGATGCGTGGCATCTGCTGCACAAGGCGCGCTTAGTCGACCATTGCCGTTACTGATCTTGGTGGTCCCGCCTGCCTGCCTGCCTGCCTGCCTGCCTGCAGCCGCATTGTGGACCTGGCGGCCCGCAAGAGCTTTGCGCCAAAGGAGAGGGATGGTGCGCTGGCCTGATGGGGCAGCTGCCCGCCTGCCTGCGTGCCCTGCATCAACCTCAGCACAGCTCAGTGGCGCGCCTGGCGCCAAGTGGCCCTCCCCTGGCTGCTGCAGGCGGTACCGGGATGGCAGACGCGCTGGAGGATGGCAGCGCTGCACACCTGTGGCAGTGGGAGCTTCGGGACCACAAGGCATGCGCCGCCGCATCTCTGTTGCCTCTGACTGCCGCCTGCTGTGCCAGCTTGTGGTATCCCTGCAGCTCGCCGAACCTTCCAGCCTCTCCCAGCAACCCCCTGTGCTGGATCAGCGTCCGAGCTGCTGCCTCTGCCTGCCCCTGCCTGCCTGCAGGTGCTTCCAAAGGAGCTTCGCACCGCAGCGCAGCAGACCAAGAAGCGTGCAGCTCGGGTGCAGGAGCGGCTGAGCGCCGTGTGCGCCGCGCTGCGCCTGCTGGGCCCGCACCAGCAGGGCAAGGCCTCCGCCAAGCTCGCCAAGGCGCTGGATGCGCTGAAGAAAGCCAAGGTGGGGTGGGGGCCTGCTGAGGCGACAGCAGAGCGCTGCGGGGATTCGCTGGGCATTTGGCGCCTGCACACACACGGGAGGCTACTCGGGCACCACATGGTGCTGAGACATGGGGCTGCCTGCCTGCTTACCTGCCTGCCCTCCTGCATTCAGACTCTGGCCCAGGTGGAGGAGGAGCAGCAGGCTGAGCGGGAGGCGGCCACTGCCAAGGAAGCCGCCAAGAAGCAGCAGAGCGCCGGCAAGACGGGGATGAGTGCCGAGGAGAAGGCACGGCTCAAGGTGGGCTTAGGGTCTGGATGCTGCAGGAATGCTCGCAAGCAAGCTTGATTGGAGGAGGCAGGTCAGGCGATGTGCAGGGTTGCTCAACGGTGAGATCAGCACTGTGTGCTATGCGCTGCATTTCCTGCAGGCCGAAAAGGAGGCAGCCAAGGAGGCCGAGAAGGAGCGGGTGAAAATGGAGAAGGAGGCGGAGAAAGAGCGGCTGAAGGTGGGCGGGGCTCAGCGTGAAAGTGGCGCCGCTCGCTCCGGGTGCGTTGGTTGGGAGAGCTCGAGGAGCTACCCTCACAGGTTGCGTGCTGCCTTGTGCCCCGCTGCCCTGCCCAGGCTGAGAAGGAGGCCGAGAAGGAGCGGGCAAAAGCTGAGAAAGAGGCGGAGCGAGAGAAGGCCAAGGTGGGCTCAGCCGCAGTACAGGCAGTACCGTTGCAGGCGCGATGTGTCGGTTGGTTTGACTGGCCTGTGTGCCTGGGCTTGCAGGCGGAGCGGGAGGCTGAGAAGGAGCGCAAACACAAGGAAGCAGAGGTGAGGGGCCGGCTGGAGCCATAGGGTGTAAGACGCACCTGCACACACAGTTGCTGACCTGGCATCCCTGTAGCGTTTAGGTCAATTCTAGCGCTTGCCTCCACTTCGCTGTCTCCACCCCTGCCGGCCTTCTGCTTGCCTGTGGCTTCCCGCAGGAGGCGAAGCTGGCTAAGAAGACAGGCTTCAAGGATGCCACTGTGCTGAAGAAGACAAGCAACAAGTTCCTGTCTTTCTTCCAGGCCAAGGCCACCCCGGGCGGCACCCCCGGCCGCGCCGACGCCAGCGCAGTCACGCCCGTGCAGCCGGGCGCGTCCAGCCAGCAGCAGGGCGGCGCGTCGCAGCTGGGCGGCGGCGGCAGCCAGCAGCAGCAGGGTGCTGAGGGGACCGCCACTGGCAAGCGGGAGAAGGGCTACTGCGAACTGTTCCTGAAGCCCGAGGGCGCAAACCTGCGCAGGTGTGTGTGTGGGTGTCTGTGCGGCAGCAGGAGCAGAGGTGCCAGCCCAGCTGTTGTCTGCCGCTTAGTGGTTACCTGCGCCGCTCTCTGTTTGCATGTCGTTGCTGTGCTTGCAAGTCTTCCCTGGGGAAGGGAAGGTGGATGCCATTCCATGCCCCCGCCCGCGCTGCCATTCCCCCTCTGCAGCCTGCCGCCCCAGCCCTCGGCAGCAGAGCGCATGGACGCGGCGGCGGGGCAGCCGTTTGCGTTTGAGGCGGCACAGGCGGAGTGGCAGCAGCTGCTGCAGGGCATGAAGCGGCGCCGCCGCGAGGCGGCAGCGCAGGTGGGGTGACTTTTGGCATCCTGGTGCCTCCTGCTCTGAAAGTGGCTTTGGCCCGAGCAGCAGGGCTCTCACGCTGCGTGTGCTCACCCCGCTGTTGCTGCTCTGCCTATCCACCCGTGCAGCCCCGCCCGCTGGGCCTGCCGCCTACCTGGGCCCGCAAGTCCAACGCCGTGGAGCTGGCACAGCAGCACCTGGACAAGCTGCAGGTTGGTTGGTTGGTTGGCTGGCTGGTCGGGGCGCAGCTGTGCTGCTGCATCCAAGTTCCTGCCTCGACTTGTTGCCACGCGGACCAACCCACCTATCTCCTGTCTGCCCGCAGGAAAGCGGCGCTGACCTGGCCGCCACCCGCACCTGGCGCCGCAAGCTCATCTTCTTCCCGGCCGACTCCAAGCGGCCGGCCTTCTACGGCTCATGCACGCCCAGGTGCGCCTGCTGAACTCCCTCCCTTTGACCGTGCCTCTCCCGCTGTCTCCCCTTGCCACCAATACCCCCGCTGCCTCCGCCCACCTATCCCTCTGCCCCGCCGGCCGGCCTGGCACCTTGCATGTGGTGCAGCCCTGCGGTTGGGCCGCGCAGCTACCTGGGCCGGGATGAGGCGCTTGACTATGATGCCATGAGCGATCTTGAATGGGTGGAGGAGCCAGAGGATGGTGAGACCCCAGCCCGCCTCCTGGGGGCGCTTTGGGGTGGGGCGGGACGCCGCTGCCACTGGGAGCAGCAAGGCATGTGCGGCAGCAAAGCAGCGCGCATTGCGGCTAGCCAAACTCGTCCTGTGGATGGGCGTCGCATGTGGTGAGTGGGCGGCTCGCAATGGTGCCACCGCTGACCCACTGCCGCTGCTGCGCCTGCAGGCTGCTCGCTGTCGGATGTCGAGGAGGAGGAAAGCGAGATGGGGGGTGGCGAGGAGGAGGAGGAGCACGACAGCTTCATCTGCGAAGACGGCTACCTGTCAGGTGCGCTTTCCGCGCAGCATGGCGGCGGCAGCAGCAGCAGCGCTTGGGGGCGAGGCAGGGTACGGCTGGCTCTTCGACCCCGTACTGAGGACACCACACCTGCCCCGCGCCTGCTTCCCACCCCGCTTTGCTGCCTGCCTGTGCAGAGGATGAGGGTGTGCGGGTGGAGGATTTGGAGGGAGACGACATGCAGGTCGATGGGGAGGAGGGTGAGTGGCTTAGGGCTGGCTGTGCATGGGGCCAAGGGAGGGCTGGGAAGGCTGCGGAAGGCGGCAACAGGGGTGGAGCTTCTGCTGATGTGGCAGGCAGGCCGCATGCCACACGATGCCTGGCATCAGCATCAGACGTGAGCCAACTGCGCATCGCCGGCGCCTTGTGTGCAGGGCTCCCCGAGGGCGCGGCGGCGGCGGCAGGCATCGACCCGCAGCGCCTGCTCAGCATGCAGCAGCTGGAGGTGCAGGTGGGCAGGGAGGTGCGGCTTTGGTGGAGCTTGGTGTCATTGGCTGTGCCCCACTCGTTGGTTCCTGGCAGTCTGAGCTGAGCAGCCTCGCCACACAGCCGCAACCCAATCCTTTTGCTCTCCCCTGCTGCCACAGATGGAGAGGGCGCGGCGGGCGGGCAAGCCTCTCATCATCTCCCGCCTGCCCACCCGCGCCGCCAGCGGCAACCAGCCCAACGGCGCATTCATCCAGGCACGCACACCTCAGCTCGTGCTTCTGCCAGCCGACGCCACCTGCCAGCCACCTAGCAAGCAGCCACTGCCCAGGGCTCATCGGTTGCTTCCGTGAATCCTTCCTTTGCTGGCTGCCTGCGTGCAGGGAGACCCGTCCCTCCTGGGTGCCCTGGCGGCAGAGGTGCTGCTGCCGGGCCTGAGGCTGACGCTGCCAGAAGACCTTGCCGCGGAGCCGGCATCGGGGGCTGCGGGGGCGCCGGCAACAGCCACCAAGGATGCGTCCCCGGCAGGCGCGTCTCTGGGGCGCTGGCCTGCATGCCATGGCGCACGGGCTGGGCCTGGGTTACATGCCAGTGAGGCCCCGCTGCGTGTTTCTGTGTGTGTGCATGGAGCGAAGCGACTGACCACACACACCACCTGACCCTCCCTGGCGTGCGCCGTGCAGCTGCCGGCGGCGGCGCCACCGGTGACGCAGCCAAGCCGTCTGGCCGTGGCAGGCGCCCCGCGACGCGGCCGGACGACCTCCTGCCAGACCTGCTGCGCATGGTGCAGGCGGCGCCCAGGAACAACAAGAGCAAGGTGCGGCTTCGCCCGCCTGCCTGCCGCTCCCCGCCCTGCGCCAGACAGGCTTGATCCGCTGCTGCTGCTGCTGCTGCTTCTGTGGTGCAACTCCTGCTGGGAGTCAACCTGCATCTGCCCCTCTGTTGCGGCCAGACAGCCTGGTGTGCCAGAAAGGCCACTGCAAGCACGAGCGTGCGGCTGCTCCTCCCCGCTGCTGCCGCAGATCGCCGAGGCTTTTGTGCAGGCGCACGCTGAGCGCGCTGTGACCAAGAAGTGGGTGGGAGACATGCTGAAGCAGCATGCCGACTGGCGCGGCACAGTGCAGGGCTACTCCCTCAAGCCCGCAGCCCTGCACCTGGTGGACCCCTTGGCCGGCGCAGCGGCGGCGGCGGCAGCGCTGGGAGCGGCCCCCACCCTGGCCGCCGCCGCCGCGGCAGCCCCTGCTGCGGCGGTTGCGCAGCCGGGCCCCAGACCGGTGGCTGCGGCACCAGCTGGAGATGGCGCCTTGGGTAGGGCGGGCGCAGCGGCAGCGGCAGAGGCGGAGGAGGCTGGGCAGGCGCCGCAGGACGCGGGTGGCGCTGCGGCTGCGGAGCCCACGCCAGCGGGCATCAAGCCTGCCGCGCCTGGCATCGCGCGCTTCTTCAAAAAGGTGGGTGGCAGCCTGCCTGCCCTGCTTGAGGTAGCCTTGCCCGGGCAGGGGAGCCTGGCAGGGTGGGAAGCCTTGGTGTTGGGCCAGGCCAGGGGATGGCGCAGGCCCACCAGCATCTCCGCCGGTGGCTCTTCTCCTCTCTATGCTAACCCCGCCAGCCTGCCTCCCTGCCTGCGCCCTTGCCTGCAGGGCGCGGCGGCGGCGGCCACGCCGGCGGTGCCCTCTGCCCTGCGCCCCAATGCGCCGCCCTCCGACCTCAAGGCTCCCGGCCGCCTGGTGACCACCACCGCTGCTGGGGCTGCAGCAGAGGCGGCGACGCTGGCGGTGCCAGAGTGTGTGAGCGGCACGGCAGACCCGTTTTGGCGCTGCCTGCTGCAGCACATAGAGGGCGCCGACGGCGCCCCGGGCCAGCAGCCTCAGTTCCTGGCCGCTTTCCAGCCAGCCGTGCTGGCCCGCCTGGCGGCTGGCATGCCGGCCGGCGTCATCGCTGCTCTGGTGGCGGGCGTGGCGGCGGCCGCCACCCCCGCCGCCACCCGGGCCGCCTACCTGCGCTGCCTCGAGGCGGCGGTGCAGGCGCTGGCGGCCATGGAGGCAGAGGCGGCAGGAGACAACCTCTCTGCCTCCCAGCAGGTCTGGCAGCCACGCGGAGCCCCCGTCGCCGCTTCCCTGGCGGAGCTGTGCCGGGAGCCGCAGCTGCTCAGCGGCCTGCAGGCATGCCTGGAGGCAGCCACCGCTGCAGGCAGCGGCGGCGGCACCGACGCTCCATCCAGCAGCGGCAGCGGAGCCGCCGCCGTGGCGGACGCCGCCCAGGCGGCCGCGGCGCTGGCGGCTGCGCTGCTTGCCAGCGAGGCGGCCAGGGCGGCGCTGGCGACGGCGGATCCCGCGGCGGCGGCCGGCGGCGGCGGCGGCCCGCAGGAGCAGCTGGCGGCGCTGGTGGCGGCAGCCCGCGAGCTGGCGGCCTGAGCGTGTGACGGCCCGCAGCGGCTTGTGTGGAGGAACTGCGTGTAATGGTGCTCTGTGACTGGTGCCTGTGTGGCGGTTGGGATTGGGAAGCCGGTGTAACTGGAATGGATGCATAACATGAGCCGGTTGCCGCTCCTCCCGTCGCACGCCGTGCGAAGCGCGCCTATGACATCAGCCTGACATGAGCCCCTGTGGTACCAGTACCCCCTATCTGCCCTCCTGCTGGCTGTTCGCATCGGTAGGCGCTCAGACACGCGAGTGAGCCGCACTGGTGGGAAGCAGTGCAAGCAGACGGGCGATCGGTGCAGTGCACTACTATTGCGTGCAGGGGACCAGAAACGCTCGGCAAGCCACAAAATGGCAGCAATTAAACTAGGCGTGATCGGCGCTGGTGCGGTGGGTTCAACGCTCGGCTCTAAACTGGCGGCTTCGGGCCGCTACCAAGTCCAGTATGGTGAGCACATACGGAGACACACGCTTGGGAGGGAGTGAAGCTCGGGTTCGCCAGAAACTGTTGCCCGGCAGTACCCTCCCGCCGCCGCCGAATGCATGGCGCAGTGCGCCGCCGCCTACCTGGCATTTACCTGATCTGCATCGCCTGCCTGCCTAATCGGATCTGCAGCCTCCCGTGACCCCTCTTCTGAGAAGATGATGGCCCTGATTGCCAGCCAGCCTGGGGTGACGGCGGGCACCATCCCAGCCGTGGCGGAGTGGGCCGAGGTGGGGCGGGGAGGCAGAGGCGCCGCACGGCAGCCTGCCCAGCCCTCCCTACAGCGCGCGGGCAAGCATGGCAGCAGCGCATGACGTCACAATGGCAGCCCTGGCGCAGGTGCTGATCCTGTCCACGCCCTCTTGGGACCCGCCCAAGCAGCGGGAGCAGATCAAGGCGATGGCGGCCTCGCTGGGGCCGGGCGCCAAGGGCAAATTGCTGATCGACGTCATCAACGGCCTCAACGCCTGGCCCTCCCTGGCCCTCGAGTGAGCCAGCGGCGCAGCCTCACATCCCACCTTGCCTACCTGCGCATGCCCGCCTGCCTCTGCCCACCTGCCCGGCTACACGCCTGTATGCCCGTGCCTCGCTCCTCCCTGACGCACACTCCTGTGTGGCGCCCCTCGCCTCTTCCTTCGCCGCAGCTGGGCCGGCGGCCCCTCCAGCTCCGAGATTGTGCAAGAGGAGCTGCCCGAGACTGCTGTGTACAAGGCGTTCAGCACGGTGGGCGTGGAGCAGATGACCGCGCCAGACGGCTCGCTCATCAACGGCCAGCAGCTGACCATGCTGTTTGCGGGGCCGGCGGAGAAGAAGGACGCTGTGGCGGCGGTGGTGGCGGGCGCGGGTTTCCAGCCGCGCTACGTGGGCCCCATCCGCTACGCCCGGAACCTGGACGCCATCGCGGAGCTGTGGTGAGGCTGCCAGCCGTCGCGTGCCTCTCCTGTCTGCCTGCCTAGCTTGCCTGCCAGCTAGCCTGCCCGAGCACCCGCTGCCGCTGGGCGGCGGCTGCCCCGCCGTGCAGGATCCACCTCAGCATCCCCGGGGCCGGCGAGACGCCCGAGTGCTGGGGCCGCAACTTCCATTTCCAAGTGGTGGAGAAGCTGTAGGGTGGTTGACAAATACTTGCTTGGCCCGCTCAACCGCACGGCGCCCAAGTTGCCTTGTATCAATGAGAATGGCTGTTCCGCAGCGTTTGCCGCCAATGACCATTTCAAAGCTATCTTTGTGCACTGGGAGGGAGCAGCGCTATAGCAGACGGGTGGAACTTGTGTTGTGGTGCCCTTGAGATGGGAGGAGAGGGAGGCACATGGGCGGCGGTGGCAGCCATGCACGGGAGCGGCGGCACCCGTCAACCTATGAGACGGCAGGAGACGCAGGCATAATGCGGCAACCAAGGGCCCAAATCAAATGCTGGCAAGATTTGAACGGGTTGTAGAGTCTCTGCATTTGAAAAAGGAACCCTCCTGAAAAGGGACATGTGCGACATGCGGCGGCGGCAATTGCCGCTGAATGGCGGCGCTGCCGCACCCTGCAGGCATATTGTAGGCACCTGGGCTGCTGGCCAGCTTGCCGTGAGAACTCCAACCGCATCTAGATGTATCTGGTCGATCAAATTTGAATGGCGATGGTAGAATTGGGATGGGCGGCCGTCAGAGGCCCTCAGCCGACTGGACCATCCACTCCGAGCCACAGCCTGAATCAAACCAACTTATTTTATTTTTTCGCGCTTCGGGCCAATCCAGGCGGCAGGCAACCTGCGTTCTTGTGGACCGCAAGCCCCACACCCGCTCTCCACAAGCATGGTAGGCCCCCAGCCGGTGATGGCTCAGGCTCAGGCCTCTGATGCGCCTTCCCTTGCGGTGTGATTGCCTGTCATGGCGGTTTGGCGGCATCCAGGGGGCGAGCGGGCCCTGAGGGGCCCCTGACACCGAGCTCCGGCGTTTCCCGCCGCTGGCGCAGCTGTCCCACCCCCACCTCTCTGTGCGTTCCCCGGCCTGCAGTTCGCCCTGCCGCCAATCCGGACCAAGCCAGCAGCCTCTCTGGCGCCGATGAGGCCAGAGCTGGAGGCCGATGAGGTGGGGTCCCCCCGCACCCCCACCGGCGCAGCCATCCCCAAGCCCATGGTCTGCCCGGGCGCGCCCCGCCCGCCGGCGGCGGCCCGCCGGCTGCCCATCCCGCCGGCGCCCTGGCGGCTGGTGGAGGCCGTCCGCGGCTCTCCCGCCATCAAGCCGGTCGACGGAAAGGCGGGCCTGCCGCTGCGCGTCTGCCTGCCCGGCCCGCCGGCCACCAAGCGGCGGCTGAGCCCGTCGCTGGCGCCCCGGCCGCCGAGCCCCGCCGAGGCCGCGCTCAAGCGCCGCCGCTCCGCCACCACCCGCCCTTTTTCCACCATGGCTATTGCCGTCATGTTTGCCAGCAAGCTGCGGCGGGCGGCGCGGCGGGGCCGCGTGTGCGCCGCGCCCAAGTGAGCTGCGCCGCCAGCCTTCGCCAGCTGTCCTGCCCCGACAGCTGCCCGGCGATTACAAGTCCCCGCCTTGCAAGTTTTTGCCCACCCTTCCAACCCTGGTCTTCCACTCAACGAACTGAATTTCATAATCCACCTCGTCCACTGAACGAATGCTCTTGCTTCTCTTACTTACTACCCCTGCCATCCCCTTTCCTACTAGACGAGTCCAACAGGTAGCCGCCATTCATTGCACCGCACCCCTAACCTTCTGAACGCCAGCTAGAACGAGCGCAGTCCCTTGCTTTCATGCACGGCCAACCCCCCCTCTGCTATTGGCTGCAATCTCAGTCTTTTCCAGCCTTTTCCCCCCCACGAATGCGTACTCGGAAAATCAATCCCCTTCTGCCGCCCTTCGTTTCTCAAAGCAACAGGTCATGCGGTGTCACTTGCGATGTGCCAGAACCATTGCATGAACACTGCTCCCCCTCCCCTCCCCCTTCCACACACACACACCACACCCCCTTTTTGCTGAGACGGAACCAAGCCAACTGTGTCAAGCCCTGCCCCACCGCACTCCACACCTTAACTTTTTCTTCACCTTGGAATGAGAACCCCGCCGCCTGGTGCGCGCGGGGCGAGATTTGATTTTTGAGGCCCCACCCGTAGCGCAGCGTACTACATTTCATGCCGTTGCCCTGGCCCCCCGGCCCAGCTGTTTCATTGCACCCTCAGTTTTGCAAGCCTCCCTCCGGCCTTTCCCTCCCATCGGTGTCCCCTCCTGCTTTGGGGTAATCTGAGTAAAGCTCTGGTAGTACTTTGCTTGTCGGTCGTATTGCATCCATCCTATCCCTCAGATAATAACTAAAAAACAGGCGCCGTGCCCCGGTCTTGTCTCGCTACTATTAGCAACTTACAGCGCCGCAGTGTTGGTGCATCAGTACCGGTTTGGTTTTGTTCCTCCAATAAACAGTGCTGGTGCTGCCGAGCGGCCAGCAGCGTGCCGGCACGCCAGTGCCACGTGTAACAACAGTCAAGACCGTCACGACTGGCACGGGGCGCCGGGAGGGTACAGCGGTGCTGGTGTGGGAGGGCGGGGGTCCGCCGCGAGGAGCCGCTGCCGCTGCCGCTACCGTAGCTCGTCATGGGGTGTGTCTTTGAGCAGCTCGTTGTAGATGTCTGTCTCCAGCTCGTGCACGCTCATGTCTGCAGGGAGGGTGGCAGCGGGGGTGGCGGTGGCGATGGGGGAGAAGAAAAAAGAGCAAGATGATGGAGATCAAAGTTGGTTTCTTGCTGCTGCGCGCCTGAGCCGTATCGCTTGATGGCGCGGCCGCCCTTGTCCACCAGAAACTTCTCGAAGTTCCAGGCCAGGTCCCCGCCCTGCTGCCGCCCTGCAGGGCCAGCGGGCACAGCGCAGCGCCAGCAGGAGGGGTGGGCGGGGGCAAGGGGGCAGGGAGCGATGGCACCCGCCGGCCCGCGCCTGCTGCCTCGCCAATCCTGAAGCCGGGCCCTTGCTGCTGCTCCCCTGCCCAACCGCTGTCCAGACGCACGGCACAAGCCCCGGCAGCTGGCCGTCGCAGCGCAGCCCATCGCAGCGAGCAGCCCCGCCAGCCCCAGCAGGCAGCACCGCATGCAGCACCCCAGCCAGCAGCTCGGCGGCGCGCCAGCAGCGCAGCCAGCATGCCCAGGGCCCCACCTGGCGGCGCGGGCGCGTTGGCCTTGAGCCAGGCAAACACGGGGTGCTGGTGCTCGCCGTTGACATCTACCTTGGCCATGAGCGGGAAGGTGGCTGCGTAGCGCTCCGTGGCAAAGCTGCTGATGTCGGCCGCCTCCCCCGGCTCCTGCCCGCCAAACTGCAGGCGTGCCAAGAGAGGGAGTGTGTGTGTCAGTGTGTGTGAGTGCATGTGTGTGTGTGAGAGAGAGTGAGTGTGCTGGTGGGCGCGTGGGGCTGGCTGGCTGGGGCGGACTGGGGAGGCGGTGGGCAGAGGTGAGGCGCCGCGGCGAGCTGGCGCGCAAGGCGCCGACGGGCTGGGGAGGGCTGGCGTCTGGCGGGGCAAGGCAGGGCAAGGCCGGCGCCTCGCCTGGTTGCAGGGGAACGCCAGTATCTCCAGCCCAAAATCCTGGTACTTGGCGTATGCCGTCTGCAACCCCTTGTAGTTTGCGTCTGCAGGCAGAGGCAGTCAGTCAGGCGCACAGAGAGGTAAGGAGCACGGCCAGCAGGCAGGGCGGCGTGGCTGTTCAGCAGGAGGAGCGTGGCAGGCAGGTGGCGACAGCAGCTGGCAGCACACCAGCGCGAGGCGCAGCATTGGGGAGCGGGGCCGCGGAACGGCGCCGAGACAGCAGCCCTCGGCCTGCAGGCGGGCGCCCCTGCCCTTGCCCACCCACGCCGGTTGATGCCAGGTCAGCTGTACCGCAGCTCACCCGTGTACCCGCACTGCGACGCCACATTCACTATCACCGTCACCTTGCCCGCCAGGTCAGCCAGCGGCATCTCGTGCCCATTGATGTCCATGGCTGCCCGGCACAAGGGGAAGGGAGGGAAGGGAGGCAGGGGGAGGCAGGGGCAGGGGCGGCGGGCAAGCGTCAGCGCGCGTGCGCCGCCTGTGCGGGAGGCGCCACACCGCCGCTGCACGCTGCCTTGGCAGGGCCACGCAGTGCGGGTCCTGGGGCCCTGGCCTGGCCGGCCGACATGGGCCGCAGGGGGCAGCTGTGCCGGGCTGCTCTGCAGGCGGCAGCTGCGCCACCGGCCGTTGCGCAGGCCAGGCGGCGTGGGCTGCTGGCGGCAGCGGCCACCCACCAGAGAAGCCTCCCGTGTACAGGCTCTTCGCATTCGGGTCATGGCCCTCTGCCGCTGTGCCCGCCGGGCAGGCCACTGCAGCATCAGGTGGGGGCAGGCAGCCGGCGGCGGTGGTCGCATGAACCATCAGTGCCAGCCAGCAGGTGCAGCAAGCGACAGGCCCTAGCCTGTCTGTGCAGCCGGGGCGCAGGCGGCCACGTAGCAGCTCACCCAGCAGACAGGCCGTCACTGTGGTGAAACATGCGCGCCCCAGCATGGCGCAAGATCTCGCCCCTCTGCAGGCAGGCAAGCGCGACGGGGCACGCACTTGGCGGGCGGTGAGGCGGCGGCGGGCGGGAGTGGCAGCACGCAGCCACGGTCCGACAGGCCGGGCGGTGTCATCATGTCAATCACAACCCACGAGCGCGGAAACCCTTTGCAGTGCAGCTTGTGTGGGCTTTGAGGAGGACATGGCGGACGCCATGTCGCAGGCAAGGCCTGCCCAGGCTGCTGGAGGCTGCGACCAGCAGCGTATCGCAACAAACCCATCATGGTCAATCCCGAGGAGGCCCCAAGCAGGGAGGTTGCCCACCTGTCGACTCTCAGGCGATTCACTGTGATAGGCACGGTCCTCTCCCCCTCTGCTTGCCTCCTGCAGCCTGAAGGCCGTCGTTTGAGAAGGCAGCGCAGCTGACGGGGCTGGTGATGTGGCACGGCAGCGGTACGGCGGGCCAGCAGGCCAACGCCTTTTCCCCCCACAGGCAGCGGCCCTTGTCCATCTCTCCCCACCGCAGCTACAGCTGAGTTGGTTACAGGGGAGGGGATGGAGTCAGGCGGGCGCGTGCGGCACGGCCATACATTTTTGGCAGTGATAACAGAGCGGGGGCTGCAGTCTCAGGCGGCAGGCGGCCAGAAAACTGGGGGGCTCGCAGGGTTGGGGAGCCTGCCCAGGCCGCGCTACCCGGGCGCTGGCAAAATCGAAGTGAGGTGGCAGTGGTCTCAGAAGGGGTGGGGCAAACCGCGGCAGGGCGAGGATGCGTCAGGGGCGAGGACCAAAACTGAGGCCAATGGAAACTGGAGGCGGGTACAACAAGGATCAGGCATCAAAATAGTCTCTTCTCTCTTTTTTCGTAAGACTCAGTACCGGGTGGATTCACGCGCGCCGCTGGTGTTGCTGTTAGTGGGTAAAATGGGTGGGGTGAGGGGCAGGGAGCAGCTGCAGCCGCCCCCACCCGCACGCCCACCCCATGCCCCAGGGTGGCAGCGCAGCCAGGGTTGAGAGACAGGAGGATACGAGGGGACGGGACAGGACACAGAAGACGGTGCCGGGGGCGTGTACAGGTGCAGAGGGGGCTGTGTGCGGGCGGGCCCATGCCCAGTCAGGCAATGCGATTGTGGGGGTGCAAGCGTCGGTGCACAGGGTGGTGTCGGTCAAAGAATGGGGAGCACACACTGGGCAGTGCGGGGCACGGGGCCTGCGCCGCGGCAGGCCCCCCAACAGCACACCGCACACGCGGGGGCCGGCAGGGCACGGCACAAAAACGGGGACGGGGCGCGCGGCGAACCAAAGGGGAACAGGGGTGGGGAGCGAGCGGGCGGGAGGGCGCCGCGGCTGGCCAGCCACGCGCGCCAGCCTGGTTAACAGGCAGGCGCGTGGGCCTGGCCAGCTGGAAGCCGTGCGCTCTCACATGTCCAGGTCCCAGTTCTTGGAGAGCATGATGGTGGGCTGCTGCACGTTGTCCTTGTCCAGCTTCATGCGCGCGGTCAGCCGCGTCTCGCCGCCGCCGCCCAGGCTGCCGGTGTTGTACCAGGTCAGGGTGCCCTGCGGCGGCGCGCGGGACGGGGGGGGAGGGCGCGGGTCGAGGCAGGGAAAGGGGCAGAGCAGGCGGGTCGGCACAGCCAGAGGCAGGCAGAGCTGAGAGCTGGCAGGCACAAGGGGGTGGCTGGTGCGCTGCCAGAGTCGCTCCCAGCCCTCCTCCTCAACGCGAACGCGCACTCCTCCTTCACTCTTGTGGTGGCCGTGGTGGTGTGGTGGAGGTTGTGCCACACACACGTGCGTACACACACACACACGCAACACACCTCGTTGGAGCCCATGTCGTAGATGGCGCGCACGCGGTTCTCGTCGTCCATGCGGTACGTCACCCCCGCAGACAGCGACTCGGTGCCCAGGTTGAAGCGGGGCTCAATCTGCGGGAGGCATGGGGCCCAGGCGGGGCGGCGGGGATGGGTGGAGCGCGTGTCGCGGCGCCGGGCTGGGGCTCGGGAGGCACGTGGCGAGGCCAGAAGGGGCAGCGCGCAGCACAGGCTGGTGCCGAGAGCGGTTGGCTCAGCGCGGAAGCAGGGGTGAGGGCCTCACCTCGATGTCGTCCTTGCGGTAGCACCAGCCCACGGTGGCGTTGCGGTGGTCCAGCCTGCAAGGCGTGGGTGGGAGAGGCAGTCAGTAGGAAAACACGGCGGTCAGGAGATGAGGGACAGGCAGAGGCTGCTGGGCAAAGCGCGCAGAGGGGATGCAGGGACAGAGTGGAGACGGCCGGCGATGCGCGCTGGAAGCGGCCAGCCCCACGCCGCAGCGGAGCTCACTTGTTGCCGGGGTTGCAGCGGTAGATGACCTTGGCGGTGTTGTTGTCATCCACGCTCACCGCGCAGTTCACGTAGGTGGCTGCAAAGGCAAGGCAGGAGAGGGAAGGCCAGGTGAGCGGCGGTGGCACAGAGGCGGCGGCGGGATGGCAGGCCAAACGGCTAGCATTGCTAGCGTGCTCGATTCCGATTTCCACGGGCACTCAGCGGGCTGCCAATTTCTCCGCGCATGCAGCCCAGCCGAAAGGGGGCCTCCGCGGGTGTCGGAGTTTTGCCCATCACTCCCATCACGTGAGCAGTGTCGGGCCCCCACTCACCCCGCTCGGCGCCCGAGATGTCGGTGATCTTGACGCGAACCTGCAGGGTGCACAGAGGGCATCGCGCTCAGACAGGCCTGAGCCCCATCCCAGCCTCACCAACGGGATTGTGCCACTGCCTCTGCCCGGCGGCCCTTGCTCGAACTCACATCCTTGTCGCGGACCTGCAGGGGGTGCAGCGGGCGGCATCGGGCTCAGGATAGGTTGCAGGTTGCGCTGGCCCCCTATCCCACTCAGCTCGTTGTGCTGCTGCCTCTGCCCAGCGGCCCTCAATCCACTTACCGACACCGTGTTCTGCACGCGCAGCAGGTGGTGGCCGTTGTTGGGCTCGTACACAGCCTCCAAGCTCCCATCGTTGAGCCTGCATGCAGCAGGGCCAGATGAGGTTCCGGAGCACTCTCCCGGCACTGCTGATCACTGTTCCTGGTGTGTCTGAGGCTCACCTCATGCCCAGGCGCAGCCCATCGAGGACATCACCGCCGCGCACGCCCGCGTCGGTCACCGCAACAGAGTACGTTGCGTTGCCGTGATCCATCATCGCCTTCACGCCGCCAGAGGCCTCCTGCTTCTCGGACAGGCGCAGGTTGGGGCGGACAGTGAGCTTCACCATGTTTGCTGCTTGGGGACCTTGCAGGGGTTTCGGGGGGTGGGGGAGAGCCTCTGCGGAGGGACCAAAGACAGAAACTGGCGAATGGATGGTGTCGGGGGCTGTCTGCGCACATTGGCTTTCCAAATCTCAGGAAACCAACAACCAAACCGGGGTCACAACACTTTGGGCGGGAGCCCGCAATTGCCGGGTTGCGTTGCCGGCAGGGCTTTTACAGAGTGCTCTTACAGAGTGTCTGGCCAGCTGGAACCAAGCCGCGCCCCTTCCGAAATTGAAAAATGTTGCCGCCAGGCGGGGGCCGGCGGCGGCGGCGACCCGCCGCACACTCCGGCATGGTCTAGTGTGCAAAACCCTCCACCAGCGGGCTTCTCCCATAGACACGGCCCCGGCTAGGCCACCAGGTCGCTGATTGGCTTGCGGTCCATGGCCGCCATCGCCTGCCGCGCGCTCTTGCGCAGCGGCGGCAGCAGCGTGTCGCAGTGCGCTACCTGCAGCAGGGCAGAGGGCGGCAGCGCTCACAGGCTGCCTTTTCCAAGCCTGTCCACCAGCTGGGGTATCCCGGAGGCCAGGGCTTGGCCTGGAGCAGCGCTCCGGCAAAGCAAAGGCAGCCTAAGCAAGTTGAGCACCTGGCGAAGCAAATCAACCGTCCGGGTCAGCAGGCGCGCCACGTCGCCGTCGTCCAGGCTGCAGTCCTGCACACACACGCACACACACACACACAGCCAGTCAGGCCGCACGTTCTCGGCACCGGCGTCAGCAGGGCAGGCAGCGAGGCATGCCCGCTGCGCCGCAGCAACAGAAACTCCGGCATGTCCTCCGCCAGGCAACAACCCTCACAGCCGCACACCATCGGTTCAGGAGCAGCACCCCCTGCCGCCGCCTCACCTGCATCACTTGCTCCCAGGAGCACCCCGCAGCCCAGGCCTCCACCAGCCCCGCCAGCCGCAGGTCAACCGAGATGGGGGCATCCACGCCGTGCCGCACCTGCAGCCCCGCCAGCCGCTGCCGCGCATCCTCCACCGCCGCCACCGCCGCCGTCACGCCCTCGGTGGCCGAATAGGCGGCCCACACGGTGGGACGCGACACGCACTCCGCCGATATCACTGCAGGGCGGGCAGACCAGGCCAGGGGCAGCGCACGGAGGAGGCTGGTAGGCGGGAGGCAGAGAGGCAGGCGCAGGGGCAGCCAGCAGGCACCGCGCCAGCTGGTGGGCTGCCAGCGCTTGCCCTGCGTCTGCACCCTGCCCCGCACCTGCGCTCAGCGCGCCGGCTAGCTGCGGCGGCGGCAGCGCCTGCAGGGCGTCGTGCGTCAGCACCAGCGCCATCCACAGCTCGTTGGCACAGTTGACCTCCCGCGCCACCAGGCCCAGAGGCGTGAAGGCCACCTGCCCGCCGCTGCCGGCACCGACGGGGGCGGCAGCCGCAGAGCCGCCACCATCGTTAACCTCGTCACTGACGCTGCTGACGCTGCTGTCGCTGCTACCAGTGCTAGGGACTATTCCTAAACTGGTGCCACCGCTGCCGCTGGCGCTGCTTGCTGTGTCGTCGCCCGCGTCCTCCCGCGCCACCGCCGCCTGCAGCTGCGGCGGGCCCGACAGGGCCTCCACCTCCTGCAGGATGGCCAGCAGGTCCTCAAACGCCCGCCAGCTGCTGCCCGCCTGCTCCTCAACCTCAGTCCGCAGCACCGCCGCACGCTCCAGCAGCGTGGCCGCCTTGGCTGCCTGCGTGCAGGCACAGGCAGGCGGGAGAGGCAAGCCAGGCGGAGGCAACATGCAGGCATGTAAAAGCAGAGGCGCCGGGAGGTGAAGCTTTGGAACCGCAGCCCACCAACCCCCAGCAACCACAGCAGCAGTATGAGCACGGCAAAGCGCGCGTGGCGCTGGCTGCAGGTGGCTGCGGGGGTGCTGGTGGCAGCGGGCTGCTGGTAGCGGCAGGCGGCGGCAGCGTGCCTGCTTGTTGAGGGCCTTGGCAGCCTTCATGAAGCCCCGGTCCACCTTGATCTCATTCACCTGCGCTTTCACGGCCCGCACCCGCTGCCGCTGCCCCTCCAGGGCCGCCAGGCCCTCTGGGGACGGCAGCACTGCAGGCAGCAGCGGCGGCAGCACCAGGCAGTGCAAGGTGAACCAAGCGTGTGGAATGGGAAAAGGCAACAGGCCGTGCCACCAGGCTGACGCTGGGACTCATGCACAGCATGCTGCTGCTTACGTGGCACCAGATCAGCGGGGAGCAGCAGCTTGGAGGCCACCAGCGCCGTCACCACAGACCCCTCGGCGCACCCCACATCCCCCGACAGCTCGCTCCAGCCTGTGGAAGCACACACATACACGTGCAGGCAGCTCTGAGCGCCAACGCGTACATTTGAGGCAGTAGACTCTGCCAGGCAGCTGTGCCTCCATTTATCCTGCTGCCACTGCTGCTGCTGCTGCCGCTGCTGCTGCTGCCGCCGCGCAACAAAAGATCGCATCCGAACCACCCCACCCAAGCTCCAGCTGCCCAGCTCACTCCTGCTGCGCAGCGCCTGAGCGTGCCGCATCACCCCGGCGCACGCCTCGGCATCGTTGGCAACGGGGTGCGGGCCGGGCGCGATGCCGTTGATGTGGCGGGCCCCCACCTGCGCAAGGAGGCGGGCGGGCAAGGGAGCCAGGTGCCAGCTGTCGGGTGGCCGCGGTGGCGCAGCTGAGCTGAGGTGGGCACCAAGAAAGGGAGCAAGCTGGGAGGGGCAAGCCCAGTCCGGCCCTCACTCCCTGAATGCTGACACAGTACAGGCACACCGCCATGCCCACAACCACCACAGACATGTAGCACAAAACTCTCCACACCTCCACACCTGGTACAGCTTGTTGTCCGCCCCGAGGCACAGATAGTCTGGCCCCGCCTCCAACACCCACACACCAGACGAACCCCGCTCCAGGTTGCACAGCAGCAGCGCGGGCAGGCGGTAGTCGGAGTCGGCTGCAGGGCGGGCCCAGAGGGGTGGGGGGGGTGGCAGGTGGGAGGGTGGCGTGGGCGGGTGATGGGTGTGGTTGCTTGCAATGATGAAGAGCGGGGTGGCAGGCCCACTGTACTGTGTGTGTGTGCGTGTGGTGCCTGCAGCCTGGTGGCTGTTTGCAAGGGTGGCCGGTTGGGTGGCGAGCCCCTGAGGCCGACGTGCCAGCAGGCCCGACTGGCACACCTAGGTTGGAGGCAGACAGGTCCAGGCCCACCAGGCGGGGCAGGCTCAGCCGCTCCAGCGCCAGCTCTGCAGGGCGGGAGGCAGGCAGGCAGGGCTGTGCTCATGCAGGCAGGCAACCTGGCAGGGCAGCAGCGGCAGCGCCAACAGCAGCGGAAGCTGCAGCGGCAGCAGCAGCAGCAGCAGCAGCACTAGCGACTGGGAGGCAGCAGCCAAGGGGAGGGGCGCACCTGCCGCTGCCGCCCGTTCGTCCGCCAGCTGCGCGCGGAGCAGCTTGGCTGCCCGCTTCTCCTCCTTCAGCCGCCCCTGCAGCTTCTGGTACCTGCCGCCGCGGTACCAGAGGGGGCAGAAGGGGCACATGCCCTCATCACCTTCCAGCCGGGTCCCACGGCTGCTGGCACAACACGGCTCAAGAGGAGGGCCGGCCAGGCACACGCAACCCGGCTGGCTGGCGGCTGGCTGGCTGGCTGGCTGGCTGGCTGGCTGGCTGGGCCCCGGGACGCCGCGCAGGCCGCACTCACTTGGCCCAGAGCCCCTCCGCCTGCTCGCTGATCCCCGCACGGCGAGCCATATCACCCATGACCTCAGCAGCCCGTGCCTCCAGGCGGCCAGCCTCCGCCAGCCGCCGCTGCGGCAGGGGCGGCGCGGCGCGGCGGATGAGCCGGCTGCACACGCAACCACACACGTGCGCACCCCAAACACATAGGCGCACCCCACACACGCGCCCGCACAATGCAGACATGCGCAAACGTGCACACCTGCGCGCCGATGGATGCCAGGTACCGCGAGAACGATCGGTCCAGGAAGGCGCGCGCCTCGGCCAGGGGGCGGGTGTAGAGCAGGTTGAGGACCATGCCGTAGCCGGTGGAGAACTGGGAGGAAAGAGAAGG